AGGTATATTGGACTGTTTACCTAATCTAACAACTGATGAAACTAACATTTATATTTTAACTCTTAATAAGAGCAGGTCAACTTCCTTTCATTACAATTAGATTCATCCATAAAAAAAATTATTATATAACTAGATTTACCCTCTCTTTTTCGAATATCATTAACTGAATCAATACCAGAAATATCACATTTAGAGTCAAGCGACAACATCCTTTTTTAAATCTTAATTTTATTTTTTCAAAGCAATTATTTCAGTTGTAAAAGTATCCATTCGAGCTAAAATGGCTGATGATGTATTCTTCTGAGTTAACAATTTAATTTTAATGGCTTATATATCATTTCTCATAGTTTTCAAGGTATTCATGATATCCGTGAGTGAATAATCATGTTTAGCTCTATACATAATAAACGGTGATTTATTCATATTGAAATATACAGTAACTATTATTAGCATAAATATGCACTCTAATATTGTGTACCTAGTGAATTTAGTTCAAACAAGTTTTAATGTAATAGAAAATATGAGAGTGAACTTATCAAAAACGTTAACAAAAGGTCTATTCAAGATAGAAAACTGAAATAAGAAATAAACCAGTTACGCATATTTGTCCGTCATGAAAGTTGAAACTATACTGAGTATTATAATAAAAGTTAAATAGGGGTTTGATAAATTTGAATATTAAGGAGCGGAAAAAGGGATTAAAAGGTTTTCAAAGTTGATTGCATTAGCGTTTACATAAGGTGACGAAACTTTCCGTTCCTCGTATCTTTGTCCCGTTGTCCCCTGAAGAATCTTCGGGCTACTAAAATGTTTCGTTTTCAGAAAGTAGTGAAAAAAAAGGTTATAAATTTTAATTCGTTGATGAAATACTGTTTTATTATATTTAACTATTATGTGTGCATGTGACTGTACCATACGTACTGTACTACTTATAGGCGTGCGCAGACCTGTATTTCGAAGGATGCCTACAATATTTTTGGGCTCTTTATTAAAAAAACGTTTAGGTAGACTAGTGATAGGCATAATCGAATGATTTCAATAATCGAAATATAAGTAGTAGAGACATTTTTATAATTGAGAAATGGCTCGAAATAATCACTCGAAATAATCATTCGAAATGTTCAATTGAAATATTAATAATCGAGATACGAGATAATGTCATACTAGGGAGATCACTCGATCAAAATAATGGAAATGTTTTGAACATAATATTCTCCCCATTCTCCCCTAATAATAAGTTTATGGGTGGCATAACATTTATTTTCGCTAGTGATTTCCGTCAAACCTTACCAGTAATCCCTAAAGGTACTCGAGCTGATGTCGTTAATGCTTGCTTAAAATCTTCCCCTATATGGAACTATGTTGAAAAACTTTATTTGCGAACAAACATGAGAGTTTATTTATGCGGAGGGAACGATATTTTTCCAGCACAGTTGTTGAAAATTGGAAATGGAACTTTAGAAAATGAAAATGGTTACATTTCTGTCAATCACACGATTGGACGGGTGGTCAATAACGTGGAAGAGTTGATTTCTACAGTTTATCCTGGCATTTTTAATCTGTCCAATAAATCTTATCAGTGGTTATGTGAAAGAGTTATTATTTCTCCGAGAAATGTAACAGCAGGAGAAATTAATGATATCATCCTTCTAAAATTCGATGGACACTCACGTGAATATCTATCTATTGATACAGTGACATCAACAGATGATGTCATTCATTATCCACAAAAATTACTCAATTCTCTTTCTCCTTCGGGATTTACTCCTCATAAGCTAAAATTAAAAATTGGTGCTCCAATTACATTATTACGTAATCTTCAACCACCAAACTTATGTAACGGTACAAGATTACAAATAAAATCGTTGCGAAATAATATTATAGAAGCCGTAATTCTTACAGGGCCATCGAAAGGAGAAATTGCATTTATTCCAAGAATTCCCATGATTCTCTCTGACTTGCCGTTTTCTTTCAAACGGCTTCAATTCCCGGTTAAAGTTTCTTTTGCCATTACCATAAACAAAGCGCAAGGTCAAACATTCAAGTACGTTGGCGTAGATCTTCGTACAGAGTGCTTTTCACATGGGCAATTATACGTGGCATTTTCTCGAACTGGGGACCCGAATCATCTTATGATTTTAATTTCAACAGGAAATACAACAAAAAACATCATATACTCAGAAGTCTTATAAAATTCTTATTTTAATTCTTTTTTTTTCTTTTTTTTCTTCATCAACTTCAATCAAATTCTTTATCAACCATAAATTATTTCTTTTTTATCTGTATTTATTTTTATCATTTATAACGCTAGAAAAATTTCAATCCGTTTTCATTAACCGTTTTTTTTTTATTTACTTGCCGATCACATTAAACAATAATATTTGAATAAAAAATTCTACATATCATAGTCCGAAGGCAAAATAAACAATCAATCACGGGCGAAGCTGTGACGGGTCGGCTAGTTATTTAAATAATTTTAAAAATATCTATTTAAAAGAAAAGATAAAATATGCAATAAAAATTTAAGACATATGCAATAATAGAAAAAAGTTGGAAATAGGTATGCATAAATATACGCAAAAAACTTTTAAATTTCAAATCTAGACACCACAAAATAAATTTATAACGAATCACATTTATTCTGTTTGCTTTCCGAACAAATTTTTGGCAAATTTGAAATTTGCAAATGCACAGTCCCGATCCCTGATAATTAGGTTACAACCATAGGCACCAAATTTTCAAAAATGTATTGGTTGCTCTTACCAATGTTAAGCAGTGATGCACGCTGGGTTGTAGGGGGTAAGGGATCTCAACCCCCCTCGAAATTTCTCCGAGACCTAGGATAATGTCAGGGCTATACATATTTATCTCTATAGTAAATTATTATATATAGAATAACATCCCTCCCCCCGAAAAAATCATGTGTGTCACTGACGTCAAGTATTAGTGAGGGGCTTTTCCTCTCACTCCCTAAATTTTCTATAAACTGGTTAATAACTGGTAACCTGGTAACTGCAAGACCTTTGTCACTTTTATAAAATTGATGATGAACATAAAACAAAAAGGTTTATATAATCTTATGAAAATACCGGGAGAAATCAAAAGGTACAGAAAAATACAGTGCATCCAACAAAAGAAAATTTTTTTTTTTAATTTTGACTTACGAGGTTTTACTGTGTAGTCGTTGATATACAATGAACGTGGTGATAACGGTTTACTTATTATAATTAATATATTGGCTATTGGGTGCTCCGCACCCAATGAATATTTTCAATGGGTGCTCGAAGACCCGAGCACCTTTTCTACTTGGCGCCTATGGTTACAACATTATTATTAGGGAACAGATTTATATGTAAATGTATATTTTTATTAAAACGATATATTTAAGATTCGATAAGAAACGTTCATGATTTAAATCATTCCTATTAATATGATGCTACTTTTATTATACATGTTTTTACATATTTCACTAATTTGTAAATATTTTTAAACATATTTTATCATTTCACGTCTTCATACAATAATACAAGAAATTATTTCAAATTTAGATCCAGTAACTTCTATCACTATTAGAAAAGCTCAAAATATTATGCAAAATGAAACATTGAAAACTAATTTAATTTTAATTTCAGTGAGTTTTAGTTTAATTGCGCATACATTTACAAAATTAGAAAAAAAATATGTGCTTGAATGATAGTATGCAAATTGTCGAATCAACGATTGAAAAATGAAAACACGTAAGCGGACCAATAGATGTTGTAAAAAAGAAAATTCATGCTGTTACAGAAAAAAATTACAGGCTATATTGATTTTAAATCAATCAATGACATGAGTGGCAGACACCCTTCTAAAAATTTGGAATTATCGCTTTCTGATATTATGCACTTCAAATATGCTTTAATTAACCGATGTAGGTTAATGTTGAACGATCATTTAGCCGTTTTAAAAATATTTTCAGATCTAATAGGCGACATTTAATATTTGATAATTTAAAAGATATTGCAATAATTCAATGCAACTAACCATTTTGATAATTTAATAATTATATATATATTTTTTTTTTAATTAAATTATTTTTCTACATATTTGGATGTTTTTAGCACATATTTTTTAAATTATACTTACATATATACGAGTATGTACATATTTCTGTATTTTTATTACATATAAATCTGTTCCCTAATTATTATAATAAAGTAAATAAACATATTTAATGTCGTCAGAAATTACAACACTGCCAAGATGATAGATGTGATAACCCCGCCAACCGGTGATATTCTGTCTGATTTTAACATAGACATAATATAATATATTATGTCTATGGATTTTAAGCACGGTTTATAAATAAACCTTTATCTATATATCTTGAGTTATATGAGATAATATAAATAAATAAATTCTGATAATATTAGAATAATTTAAAAATTAATTTAATTAAAATTTTAAAAAAATTTTCACAAAAAATATTTTTTAACTTATTGGTGTAATATCATTGATTAAAAACAAATGTTATTATTCAACTAGTTTTAATCAACATGTGTAGTTCATAAAAATACATCATCAAAACATTTTTAGTATACTTAATATAATATTTAATTAATTTTCTGACTTAAGTCTAAAAAAAAATTTTTTCCCGATATACCTATTACTGGATAAGTAAGTTATTCCATTTTTCATATTAAACAAATTTTGTTTTTTTTTACAATTAATTAATATATTTAATAAATTGAATTAACCAAGTAGAGTAGTGCTTATGGAATACTCTTGAAACTTAATTCTTTTATTTGACATATTTTAAAAACAACTTTTTATGTAATATCTTCTACCTAATATTTTTGTTAAATTTTTTAATAGTTTATATTATTCAAAAACATGAAAATCAATCTAAAGAAACTTTTATGCAGATATTCATAATTTAATATTCTATTTATGTGGGTATTTGTAATAAGTATATGTTTACAATTATTATTTAATAATAATTACATGTTAAATAATAACAGCTACGATTAACTACAAAATTACAAATCATAAATAATTACAACTATCTGAGAAAAATATACATCATTCAAGGAAAGCATATTCATTGCGACTAATTACAATATTAAATATACAAGCATGTTTTGTTAAGATAGTGCTCAAATTGTAAGCACTCCCTGAGATACAGGTCTGCGGATGTTTATGTTAGGAGAAGGACATACATTAGACTAAGTAATTCAATTATCTGACTACTCTTTATAACAAACATTTCTATAATAAATTATTAAATTAGTTACACATTAACAAATATATTTAATAATATCATTAAATTAAATAATTTAACAAATTTAGTTGTGCTTTTGATTAAAATTGATAAAAAATTCAAAAAATTTATATCTATTATTCAATGAATATAACTATATTGCAATATTTACATCTAATGTGTTGTTAGTAATTATTTAAAAACAAATGAAAACTTACCTTATAAAAATATTTTCTACTAATAAAATTAATTTTTTTTATCTTTATTTTTTTAGATAATTTTGTTTTGTTTTTAATGGAATCCATTGAAAAAGTTTTGAAAACTTTGAGTGCTGATCAAATGGCACAAGTAATTGCTAATGTTCAAAAAGATTTGGAAAGTGAAATAATCAATAAAAAACAAACATTAGAACAAATTGATCAAAATATTTACTCATGTATTGCTAATTTAAAAAAATTAAGAAGAAGCATCATAATTTCACATTATGCTAAAATGAAAAATAATGTTGAAGGCCAAAAAAATGTTCAAAGAGATGCTATTCTCAAAAATTTAGATTGTGAAGATGAAGCTAAGGATTTAAGTATATTTATGACCAATCTTAAAAATGTATCTGTCCAAATAAAAAATGAACCTTTGAGCAACATTGAACAAATAAGCAAACCCATTTTACATAATGCATTGCCTTATTTAAATTTTGTTCCTGGTACAGGGTTAACTGATTTAACATATGTTATAGGAAATACTGTCAAAATCAATGATTCTGATAATGAAATGAAATACAAATGGACAGTTTATGTGCGTAATGCTGAAGAAGGAATAGATAATCTAATATACATTGATAAAGTTACATATTTCTTACACGAATCTTATGAACCTAATCATATTATAGATGTGGTTCAGAAACCATTTTCATTAACCAGGCATGGATGGGGTGAATTTGTAGTTCGCTTACGGTTATATTTTAAAGGCAACATGAATGTTCAAACTGATGTATATCATAAACTGTGTCTGGATAAAGACATAACAGTTGGTATCCCAATGGTAGCTAGGGAACAAACTGTTAAGTATAAATTATTACTACACAAATAGTACTGATCACATTTTTAAATAAATAATTCATCATATGTATTTAAATGTTATTTATGTTTAAATATGTATACATGGTATTCTGTATTTATATATATTCTATTGCATTTTGTGAATAAAAATTTAATTTATATAATGCATACTAATTATAAACTAATAAAAATAAAATAAAATGCATTCATTATATTTCATCCTGTATTTTGTACTATGTTTAATTAGAATTCAAAGTTTTTTCCACGAGCCCCATTTTCTAATATTTTGAGAAATTATATTATTAATTATTATTTATTATATTATTATACTTTGATTAATTACGTTTTAATTATTTTAATACTTTATTTATGGTTTTAAAGGTAAATTAAGTAGTATCATATTTTAAAGTTATATTGTTATAATAATACAAAATTGAAATTACAAATTCAGACTTATGTCTCTATAGTATCTATTAAACATTCTTAATTGAATAAACAATTTTAGTTGTTTAAACAAATAATTTTATTTTTAGAGTAATTTTTGCAATTGTTGTGTATTAATTGATATTACAATATGGTAACAATTTTGTAATTTTATATAATTTACCAAAATACTTTAAAAAATTCAGAATTTGCATATGAGAAACAAGCAGTAGCACCGCCCATGTAGGGTACCAAGTGGTGCAATTGCACTGATTTTTCGTGGGTCCCGGAGCCTACATATATCTGAAGGCCCCACTTTGGTCTCTGGAGCAAACTACAAATGTATAATTATTCATCTGGATCTTTAGATTGTTGAATACATAATATGCTATTATTTTAATATGCAACTACCATATATAAATAAATTATGATGAAGTAATAGATACATTTTTTAAAACAAGTCAAAATATATTCAATGCTTTAAATTAAATCACTGATCAAAACTATTATATATGTTGCAGTATTATCTGAAATTTTTAATAATCAATTAGTTACTGTATGTGAAAAACTGCTCTGAGCAATATCAATTGGAGAAGATTTTTTTTTTTTGTATAAAATTTTAAATTCAAATCCCTATTAAAAAAAAAATGTTTTACAGGAATTTGCAATATTTTCAAATTTATTTAAGATAAACATGCATTTGGAAAAATGTATTTCAATCAAAAGAATATGGTCGTATAGAGGACAGATGTAGACCAAAATAAATGTGGGGGCCTTATAATTATAACTGCAATAGTTCATAGAAAACCTGTTAGTGCCAATAGAAACAAGTAGATAGATATAGGTTTTCATTGAGTTGAAGAATTGTTTCAATTACAGTACCTACATTGAAATATAAGACCTGATGCAAACATATTGGTTAAGCCTTTAGTAAAGGAACATTTCAAGAAACTTTGGTTTGACATAGAAATTACAAAAATAAAATAAATTATTTATTAAAAGAGGGTATTGAAATATACGTTTAATATGTTATGTTTTCAAGATTTATAATCTTATAAATGTTTGGTAATTCATTATTAAGTAGAATTATATTATTTTAATAATAACTATTTATTGCAAATTTTTATATAATTAGACTAAATTTAATCGAGTTTATGAATACATTTTATATTATAGGATAGTAATTTTTAAGATAAAAGTTGTAAAGTATTTTATCCACTAAAAATCAGAGTATGTTTTCAACTTATTTTATTTAAAAATGTTAAATACTAAATTTAATAAAACGTAAGAAATAATTAAAGTCCGTTTCCTGAGATTAAATGTATTGGTTAAGTAAAGAGTATGTGTTTATATAAATAATGTCATTAACCACGACAATATTTTTAGTTTGTTCCGTAAAAAATATTCAATTCAATTTAAAATAATTTTATAGTCAATGAGCAGTCTTACGATATATATAAACCATATTATAAATGGTCCTATGTTTTATCATTGTAAGCTTTCATATTTTAATATTTTATTGATTTTTCATAATTGTCAACATTCGTAATTTCCATTTTAACTGATATAAACAGCTGAGTGTTTTTGTTCTTATCTGGCAATAATAAAGATTAGAAACGCATTACGTACAGAGGAAAAACATTAATTTGACTTAAGGTGGGTGGACCATAGTCCATTATGGTCCATAACTTAGTGTAACAGTTGTTAGAAATATTATTACCTATTTATATATAATTTATTATATAAATAAATCGTTTATGGTATGATATATCATTAATGTTTAACACTTCATTGTTATTAATATTTTTGGACAAAAGTGTATTTTTAAATTGTATTTAATTATGATATATTTTGCTTAGCATTAAATAATTTAACTCAAATAATTAAAGTTATTTATTTAATAATGAGTCAAAAATCAGAATTTTCATCCAAATGTCGAACAGTAAGTACCCAGTTTTAATAAGTTACAAGTTGAAACAATTTTTTAATACTACATTGATTTAATATTAAATATTAATTAAACTAAGTTAACTATTAACACTTAAGTCCTAAGTCTCTAAATATACCTTATTTATAATTGTTGGGATATATCTAACTTGTTAAATTCTGTAGTTTTATTATGAAAAATAATCCTCTATTATAATTGTAATATTTTCTGCATCATTGTAAATACATGTTTATATTTGCGTGTGTGTCTTATCTTTTTAAAACATATCACAAAAATCCTGTTTTATTCTTATAGAAAAAAATGTTTGTAAAAGAATCAGTTTTTTATATTTACTTCAGTAGTGATCTGGCTTGTATATGCAGAATATTTGCCTAGTATTCACTATTCTATTTAATGACTGTACAATATTATAAATACTCAACTGTAGAAAATGTATAGATCTTTCTACAAATAAAAGACTAATTTATTCTAATAATAGTATTTTGATTATATTCTTTTTGGTATTCAACCCTTAAGGTTGGTTTTACAATTGTATATTTGCTTTCCATTCTTCTCTGTTCTCAACTAGCCTTTTCATTTTGGTGTAACTTATTAGTCTAGCCTCGGAGATCATTTGTTTGAAAAATAAAGTTCTCGGATGTCCTCGGTCCCTTTTGCCTTCAATTATTCCTTCTATTATTCTATGAGTTCGTCAATTTTCGTGTCTCAATATATGACCCATAATTTTTCATCATCTTGTTCTGATGGATTTCAGTAATTCTCTTCGTTTACTGAGTATGTTTTTGTTGTTAAGGAGTTCTATCCAACTCTTTGATTATATAATTATAAATAATAATTGCTCCACTTTTTGACTAAAAACCTTCAGGGCAGGGGTGGACTGGCTAGGGAGTGTTATTTTAATAAAAATTATATATACTTGTATAAAAATGTAATATTTAAATTTAGTATTTTTGTAAAACATTATTGTAAAAAAGTACAAAAAAATTAAAATAAAAAAAAAATGAATTGAAACTATTAATTAAAAATATTTATTTGTTGAAATGTGATAATAATACTTGATTAACCTCCTAGGCTCCTCAATAACCAGTCCACCACTGCTTAGAGGTTTCTTGTGATGTTACTTTGGTATTGTTATATTCAGTGTTGTGCATTATCTAGATAAAAACTTTAATCTTCTTATCTTATCTAGATAATAATAATTAAAGTATCTTTTTATCCATCTTTTTAAATAAAATGGTTATTTAAGATAAATTATCAAGATCATTTTTGAAAAAGATAATTTTTTTTATGAGAAGGGAAACGAGGAATAATAAACACTTAGATAATACACGGATTTATATGGAATAGTATTAAAATTATGATATATTTAATCAAACTTGAGTTGAAACTATTATTTGCATTTAACTGAGTGTAAATCGAAAACAAAGTAATGAGTCATTACTGTTGACCATTAAATTAAATTTGAATATTACAAGATAACAAACTAGAGTTACATACATCTATAGAAAGTATTATGTAGATTTCTAATCCATGAATACCTAGGTATATGTTTAAATCGTAAAAATTATAAAACTAGGTACATTTTTAATTATACATTATTTAAATTATAATAAATTAATTTGATCTGTAAACTAATTAATAAAATAAAATAAAAAGAAAATAAAAATAGTTTATTTATAATTGGTTTATGTACTGTTTTCTGTCTAAATTAGCAAAATCAATTAAGATTATTTTAAACCAATTAAATCATAATAAATAATTAATTTTTTATTCATAGAAATATAACCATTTTACAAATGTAAGTTCTGAATAATGAAATTGTTTAAAAAAAATTTTTTATTTAGTTTTATCTGTTTTTTATTTAGATAAATGTAGTCTTTTATCTATTATCCAGATACATTTTTAAGTAGTCATCTATTATCTTATCTAGATGAAATTTTAATGTATTATCCGTTATCTTATCTAGATAATATTTTGGTTATCTATGTACAATACTGGTTATATTATACATAATATAGTATAATATTTATATATGAAATATAATATATTATTGTGACTAGTGTCTTATGTTGTGGGAAACTGTGGACTATGCGTTATAGCATTATAATATATTTAAATGCTTGAAGAGTAAGTATTTGAATGTTGTGTCTCAATTATACACGTTCAGCATTTCCCTACTATTATTATTATTAGTTTATCTAAAATATACTAAAAACCATTTATACCACTCTAACCCTACCTAACCCTCTCTCTACTATCCCTCTCTCTTAGCCAAACATTTTGTCATGTTAAGAAACCCACACAAAAGACTCAAATAAAAATAGTGACATGAATTGTTATTTATTAATCATTAATTATTTATTTTAATTATTTACTTTAAAGAAATAAGAATAAAATCCTTGTAAATTATTGTCTGCGTGTGGTTTTTTCTTTCCACCATTCATGTTCAGATATTATCTTATAAACGCATAATGAATGATCTGATTGCAAAAAAATCATACTTAATCGTTTATCATTTTACCACATGGGGATGACAGAACATGTTTGGTTAATGTAAGCATTATCCAGGTCATGTTATAGTCCCTGAGTTAATAACTTTTAAATCTAAAAAAAATTCTGTCAATCAATTCAAACAAGAAAATTAATTACATTTTTATTTTTGTTTTGATAAAACTAAATATAAAATATAATTTTTTAAATTATTTATAATTAAATTCTAAATTTAAATTTTTTAAGAAACTTTTTAAGTTGATATGTTTGTTTTTTCATTTTTTGACCAATATTTTGTTAGAAAATATAACTGTTTTAATAAAATAATTCGCTGTAGACAATAAACTATTTAGATATAGTATTTTAAAATATTAAGGTACCTATTAAAATATCTATTAAAAAATGGATATTTTAGTAACATTAAATATATATATATATATATATATATATATATATATATATATTAATTATAGATCTAGATAGTTTGTAGAATTTTGTTACTGTTTCTCTCTTAATTTGGTACATCTATACAAAATGTCTTTTAATCTAAATCAATTCAGTTTAATAATGGTACAATTATTCAAATTAAAATAAATTATTACATGTGCTAACCACTATGACATTATGAGTTAAAAGTTAGATTTATCCATCTGATCTCTGAGGATTTTTAGTTTCTTTATTTTTAATAATTTTTATACACCAATAGAAAATTTGGTTACAATTTTTTTTTTTTTTTACTTTAATTGGAAAATATTTATTGTAAAAATATTAATTAAACAGTCCATCAGTTTAATCATGCGAATAAGATTCTAATTACATTAAAATTAATAAATTTACATAAATATTGCTTTTATAATAATTTCTATACAATAAATTACTTTGTACTCATTAATATTGTCTCAAATTTTAAGATGAAGCGATAAATATTTTTAAATAGTCACTATAACAGTATATAATATCTTAAACACTGGCTTATTTTATTTTCTTGAATGCTCATTAATATATATTTTAATTGCTATGATATATTGGTATGATGTCGTGCTGTTTAAGAACTGGGCTTTTGTTTTTTTTTTTTTTGAATCGATATTGACATTGATATTGATCGTTGACTGTATTATTTTATTTTGATGAAAAAAAAACTTTGTACAATGTCATATTGGAATCAGAAATGGAATTTTCACGGCAAGTTAACTCTATTTTTTTGTACTCAGTTATTGTTCACTTCTAAAATACGTCCTTGATTTTGTTGTGTTGCCGAAATATAATATCGTCAGTATTCATATTATAATAATAGTAATAATAATTGAAAATAGCAATTTGGCAGTGTTGATGGTGATTAATGATGTATTGATAACTATTTTGACATAAACCCAGCAGGAAGTTATACTGTTATGTTTAATATAGGTAGGCATATACATACTGTGGGTTTAGCAGTTGAACATAAAATATTATTTTTTTACTTAACTTTTTGAAAACCTTTGATGTTGCAGCCGTGTAAATTATTTTTAACCAAAATTAGAGTACTTGATAAATAGGTATTTGAATAAACTTATTAATTTAATAATTTCAAAATATTTTTATTAGGACCCCGCGTTATAAATAGTATTTTTAAATTAATTTTTATTTTTATTTGAAAAATAAAAATGTAAAACTTTTCAAATATTTTATAGCTAAATGAAAAATAGCCATTTAATAAATCTGATGTTTATAAAAAGCTTGTGCTATAAACATTTCGTCAATTCTAATAAATTATTTTCTATTAATGTTTAAAGTTTACGGTAATGTAAAAGCGTTTCTCATGTGTGACCGTCACACTCATTAGATTAATTTAATTCCTATTGATTAAATTATTTATTGGATTGGAGAGAATTTTTGAAAAAAATAATATTGTTATATTTAAATACTGCTTAAAAACACCTACTTACAGAAAAAAATAGAATAATTGAAAAAGAGTCTTAATAGAGATGTATGAGATATGTATTTTATAAGAAAATTTTGGATTTTCATTGGTCAGAAGACATTGAGGAGGCGAATACATTATTCGTGGGAGATTATTTACAATTGGACGATAGAGGTCAATGAAAAGAAGGGGTTCCTCGGTAGTCTCATAGATATCTCAGTGTTTCGGTCGTCATCCGATCAATTCGAAATTCACGCTCGTCTTGTTCGTAACCAAACCACCTGTTCTCTTTTTTATAATTGTATACATCAATTGATTTAGTTTTTCTTTTTTAAATAAAATACAATAATATTGTACACAAATACTATTTTTAAAATAATTTTTGTTTTTAATTTGAAATGTCTGTTAACTCAAGACCCAAAGCGGTTCGAGGTCCAAACAGAAATGTACGTATTTAAACATTTTCATTTGTAGGACTCTTTTAGCTTTTGATTTAAACAGTTATATTTTAATAAATACAACTAGATTTTCAATCTTCTATATTGTTATTTGGGTTATTATATAATTTATAAGAACTATTACTTTTTCATACTAACTTCTAAAAAATAATTAAGTAATAAAATATTACAAAAATTAGTAAATTGTCAATATTCGTAAACGAATATATAAATAAATAGTATATTTAAATAAATAAATAAAAATCGCAACTTTATTGACTTAGTGTATAGGTACCCGATGATGAATTTTTAATTCGTAACTGGTTGTTTAAATATAATAATACTCCAGGCTAAGCTTTTATTTATTTATTTTTATGTAATAACCATTTAAAAAATTTTATTTTTAATTAATTTTTTTATTATTTTATGTTTATTATTTGTTGTTTTTTAAACTTATTTTTTCTAGGCATTATAACTGTAGAAGTACAATTATTTTTGCTGCCTAAACAGGATTTCACATTCCCTAATAAATGTTTGTAAATATTATTTTTGAAATTTTTTTTAAAAAAAATTAGTTTTGTTTTATTTTTACCTCCCTTAAAACATTGAAAATATTTTTTATTTCTAATTAACTTATTCTTTTATTTGTATCATAATTGTTGGCTTTTTAAGTTGCAATATTTGATGAAAAATAAATTAATAACAAAAAAAACATATTTTAATAAACAAGCTTTACTGATTTTATTAATTATAATTTAATAATTAATTTGATTATTTATTTAAAGATAATATTTTGATAATAAATATTTTTCCGTACAATTATACTTGTATGAAGGTTACCTAGCTTTCACCAGAGAAAGCAGTTCAGTATACTTGGTTCCGAGCATTAGTCAGATTTGTTTCCTGTCTTTATAATTTAAGTTTCGTAACAACACTTCCTATCATCCTGCGCAGTAATGACATAATTATATTTTTGTTAATTTAAAAACTAGTTATAGATCATAAAACGTTGAAATTTTATTATGGATATGACGTGTCATTTGTATATATTATGTTATATTATAATTTATTTAAAAAGTTAAGAATATTTTACAGGAAGTAATTTTTTTGTAAAGTGACTTGCTATTTTATTCTCATTATGTTTGAAATATTATTTTTATGACGTTCTAAACTATTTGCGCGTTCATATTTTATTTTAAAATTCGTAAATCCCTTGTTTTAATATATTTAATTTAGGATTTCTGGTTATATTATAGAAATATTGTCATTTGAACATTTCCCGTGGAAAAATTAAATTATTAAATTTTTAATACCTATTTGTAAATACAAAATGTTATTAATCTATTGTTGACGACATTAGTGTTAAGACTTTAAGAGTGTGGTGTGCTGCGTGTGTAATGTAATCCGTACGTAAATGCCAAACTGTATTTATTATTGAGAAGTTTGAGACTAAACAATGTACAAGGAGAAAATTGGGAATTGTAAGAATAGTTAATTTTATTATTTTTATTCGTTTATGTATTTGATCTTTTATTTTGATGATTGCATTTTATCATTGGATTTAAAGGATGAATTATTCCCTCAAGCTTTATTGACCACCTATTCACCATTACCATACCTTTGCTTATTGTAATAATTAAATTGCAGATTTTAAAAAAAATAAATAAAAATGTAAATTCAACACTTATTGGAATTTCATGTAAATGCTTTTGAAATAATTATCGCATAAAAAAGAATTTAAGTGCTTATTATTTTCTAAAATGTATCGTTATAATTCTGTTAAAAAAGTTTACTATAGTTTTTGATTATTTGAATATTTGTCCTTACAATTTGTTTTCAGGTGGCAACCAATGTTACAATTCAAAAACATCACGTTTCTCGTGATAAGCGTGGACAGGTTCTCGGAAACGTGCGGGGATTCCGGGGATGCACTGTTTGGTTTACAGGTCAGTTGACAGTTACTGACTCACGTTTTATTTAGGTACATGATTTTAGTTATAGCAATTTTATAATGACCAGGACTCAGGGCCGCCCCGAAGATGAAAATCAAGGGAGGGTGATTAATATGAAAAATGCCGACTACAATTTTTTTACTCGATATATGTAGTATAATTAACTATGTGTATATATGTTTCAGTGTCGCACGCTCTTTAAATTGACAGTTTAATTATATATATATATATAATAATATATTATATTGTATAATAAGTAGTTGTATACATTTTATTCGTGTATACACTGTATTACGAAATATGTAATATTTGTTTTCTGTACGTAAAATTAGGTCCTTTTAAGGTATAATGAAAAAAGTCCGACTGCCGACTAGTGTTTTCGTTGGTGGGGGGGGGATATCCCCCCGAGACCCCTTTCGGGACAGCCTTTCTAGGACTCCTAAGTTCATGCCATGAAAAATGCTTAAATAAGCATGCACTTATACACTAAAATTTGCCAAAATATGCATTGAAATATGCGCTAAAAAATCTAAGACTATGCACTTAAAATACGCGCATTTTAAAAAAAAATCTTAAAAAATTTTCGAATTAACAAGAATTATTTATTAATTTTTTTATAATTATAATTATTATTGTTAGATATTATTAATCGAATGTACGTGCACGTACATGGCCCAATAAGGACTGTATGTAATGTTATATAATGTTATGTAATGAAATACTATAAACGATTGCATTTTTTTATTTTCGTCAAATATTTATTCTTTCATAGAATTTCCAGAATAAAAATGCATATTAATATAATCATATGAATAGGAATGTCAAAATTATAAATAGTATGCCTGATAAAATAGAAATAAGAATGAATAAACCAAATAGGCGTAAAACCTCTAAATATGCCAAAAAATTCAAAATAAAACTTCTCATATTTAATCGTGGTACCTTGAAATAAGTTTTTATATCATTTAGCATTAAGTAAAATTTGAAAAGATTGATTTGCAAATGCATGAACTTACGAGCCCCGATGATGACTATAAAATAAAACTTCTAGGATTGTCTGGTGCTGGTAAAACATCAGTATCTTTCGAACTCGAAGCATATTTAGTTGCCAGAGGAATACCTGCTTATGGACTGGACGGTGATAATATGCGAACTGGTTTAAATAGAGATTTGGGTTTTAGCCCATCTGATCGCGAGGAAAACATTAGACGTGTGGCTGAAGTGGCGAAATTGTTTGCTGACAGTGGTGTCGTTACATTATGCAGTTTTGTCTCTCCCTTTCAATTGGTATGTTTTAAAAACTAATCAATGCTGAAAGAGTAGTAACAAACAATAATATTTGTTTAAAATTAGGATCGTGAAATGGCTAGAAAAATACATAAAGAAGCGGATTTACCATTTTTTGAAGTGTTTGTTGATGCGCCTTTAAGTGTTTGCGAAGAACGTGATGTCAAGGGCTTATATAAGAAAGCCAGAGCTGGTCAAATTAAAGGTGATTTATCATTTTATTATTAGTGTATTGAGATCTAAGTTGGTGCTTATTTATAATTTTTTTTGTGTTTATAAAATAAATTCTGCAGTCTAATTAATATACCTTCTTTTAACTCTTAGGATTTACTGGTGTTGATCAGGTCTATGAAAAACCAGATTCACCTGAATTAGTTCTTAAAACAATTCATTTATCCATTGAAGAAAGTACTATGCAAGTTGTACAAATGCTCGAAGAAAATGTGAGTTATATTACAAATATTTATATGTTTACTGTAGCAATAAGACGTCTTCGGGGATCTTCCTATTCTAAAATATTTTTTGATTTTATATCTAATATGGCAAGGTAATAGAGTAATATGCAGGTGTAGGTCAAACTCTAAATTCTATATTATGTAGTTTTATAATACCTACTCTTAGGTTAGGTTTACTCGACATTTTAACTAGTTACATTTTGTTAGTTTTATTGTTATGATATTATTATTTCTCCTTTTTTTTTATATTTTTATATGCACAATTATCAACCAGAAGCAAATCTGAAGATTGTCTAAAGGAGAAAGGCAATTATGATGTTGCTCCATTATTAACATGCAAGAACATGTTAGTTACATGTATTATTCTAAGTGTTTCAAATAAAATAAGTTTCAATTAAAATCAAAATAGAAAGGAGTCTTATAGTTGGTATTCATTTATTTAATTTTAAGACCAATCTTCTGTGAATTATTATAATAATGAAACATCTTAAACATGGTGTTCCATACACGGGCGGGTTTAAAGGGGCATCAGCCCTCCCCCTTGGGACTAAGCTATCTATTTTATAAAGCAAAGTATTATTATACTCGTATATTAATAATTATAATAAAATATCGTCAATGGTCATTTATGAATATGGTACCAATTTTGTATATATTTTTTATAAATAAATAGCTCACTTTTGTTATTAATTATATGTATTTACCTATATTTTAAAATGGTTTCAGATTAAAATTGATACCAATAATGTAACTATTTAAAATTTGTCATTATTGTGAAGCAATAACTAACTTACTTATGAGGGACTCAAAAACATATTCTGTAATTTAAAATTTTATATAGATTTAAAAAACTAACTAACTAAATTATTAAACCTCCATTAGCCCCTCCCTTGGTTAGTGATAAAACTCGCCCCTGGTTCCATATGTTATAATCTAAAAGTAATACTTAAAATTTTTTAAAGCAAGTAAAATATAAATTAATGGAATTTTATCTTGTATTTTTATTATTTTTCTATGGGCTAGTGGGGCAAACAGTGCCCCCAAAATCACATATGAACATTGATTAGTACATGTAATCATTAATCATGAATTCTTGCATTTAAATCCTTTGCTTACTTTTTTTTATAAAAAAGTTTTCTTTTAATTTTTTTATCTTACACAAACAGTTATTTACTTTCTACTAATTTTCCTTTTTTTATATTTAAAAATATTTAGATACATGGTTTTTTTTATGTTTAAATAAATTTTATAATAAAATTTGATATAAATCAAATCATAATTTGAATAAAATTTTTTTCAACTGAATATATTTTCTGCAGGAAATAATTCCTTTGCAAATCAACCGTGATATTGACCGTGTTCCTGAACTATTTGTCCCAGAAAATGCGATAGAAAAAACCAAATCTGAAGCATTATTACTTCCTCGACTTGATATTGGAAAGATTGATATGCAATGGGTACAAGTATTAGCTGAAGGTTGGGCAGCTCCACTTAATGGATTTATGACAGAAGAAGAATATTTGCAAGTATGGCTTTATCATTGTTTTTTTAGTTTATTGAAACATTATAATTTATTGAAATTCATTATTTACAGACTTTACACTTTAATAGTTTTAGTGAAGATGTTAATCAATCTATTCCTATTGTTTTGCCCATAAGTACTGATAAAAAAGAACAATTAATAGGCTGTGAGGAAATTGCTTTATGGTATAATTCAAAACCAGTTGCTATACTTCATAAACCATCATTTTATCCACATCGTAAAGAAGAAAGAGTATGCCGTCAATTTGGGACATCCCACCCCAATCATCCATACATAAAAGTACATTTATCTCATATAATTAATTAAATAATATTTTATATGTAATGGTACAAAATAATATGTTTATATTATATTCTAGATTATTTATGAGAGTGGCGATTGGTTGGTTGGTGGAAATCTTGACGTCATTGAACGCATTTTATGGAATGACGGTTTGGACGATATTCGCTTCACACCAAATGAGCTACGTGCTAAATGGAGAGAAATGAAAGCTGATGCAATATTTGCTTTCCAACTTCGTAATCCCATACATAACGGTCATGCACTATTAATGCAGGTTTGTTTTTTTTCAACTTTGTGCTAACATTAATTTAATTAATTATTAAATGTTTAATTAGGATACTAAGAAAAAGCTTTTGGAACGTGGGTACAAGAAACCAGTATTACTATTACACCCTCTTGGAGGCTGGACTAAAGATGATGATGTTCCACTACATGTGAGAATACTTCAACACAAAGCTGTTCTCAGAGATGGAATTTTGGATCCAGAATCAACTGTATTAGCTATATTTCCATCACCAATGAATTATGCTGGTCCTACTGAGGTGAATATTTTAGTATAATTTACATTAATTTTAAATGATTGTTATAACAAATAACTAACCTAAGTTTTTGTTTTAATTACAATTCCTACTTTTTATAACATTTATTCTAGGTACAATGGCATGCTAAGGCTCGAATGTCTGCTGGAGCAAACTTTTACATTGTGGGTAGAGATCCAGCTGGAGTTCCACATCCTGATAGCAACCAATCTGGAGATTTATTTGACCCCACTCATGGTGCTCGTGTATTGACAATGGCACCAGGACTGTCCGACTTAGAAATCATTCCATTCCGTGTTGCAGCATACGACAAAACCAAAAAAGCAATGGACTTTTATGATTCTTCCCGACACAATGACTTCAATTTTATATCTGGCACGAAAATGAGAGGTAGATATTTTAATCATGTTTTAATTAGTTTTTCATATTCAAATGTACAATTATATTTATAGGTCTTGCTAAGGATGGTGTTGAACCACCTGCTGGATTTATGGCTCCTTCAGCCTGGGAGGTATTGGCTAACTACTACAAATCATTGAATAAACTTTAATAATTTTTATTTGTCCATAAAGAGCTACAGACATTCCTATTCATTTAAATCACTAACTATGCTTTCATTCCTTTTTAAATTTATGTGTATTTGAATTATTTATTTCATGTTATATAATTTGTTTGTGTTTATAATTGGTGTGTTAAACATAGTATATTTATAGATTATAGAAGTTATAATATTCAGATACTTCAGTTAAACATGCTTTGTAAAACGAAAGCCCTTATTTTTAATATAATAATACAAATTATGTTTGAATTATAATGATAATTATTGTTGTTAATTGAAAATCAATAAATTAAATGGAAAAACAATGATTACAATTATACTAAAAAATTGATAAAATTGTACATAAAAAACTGTGTAGTATTATAAAATGTATTTAATTTATATTTACCATTATTATAATCATACATTATATACATTTCAGCATTTAAAACTATTAATAAAAAATACATTATGAAAACATCATAATGTATTTTTTATTAATATCATTTACCATTATTGATTAAAATTTAATTCATGTTACCATTAATATAAAACTTTTTAACTTGAATATATTTTACTTTAAATATATTTCTTAATTGTTTATGCGTATTTGTAGAATAGAAAAATTACTTTATTATGATTAAATTAAACAGGATATTTTTAATGATATCATAATAATATAAAAATTGTTTATTAAACAGAAAAACATATTGAATTGTTTGTTTGTCTTTATATATAGTAATAAGTTAACAGTTTTTGATTTCACTAGTAGATTTCTTGCCTGAATAATAATTGAATTATATGTCTACTAGAGTACAACCATGTATCCAATAATTGGGAAGATAACTAAAAACATCCAACTAATTAGGTTTATTGTAAGATATTATACAGACAGACTTTTCTTTAAAGATAGAATATGACTATAAGAGAATTACAAATGTAATTACAATTATCATGTAATAAATCAAGAAATATTTGACCACTTGCTGAGAAAACTTCTGTTAATGTAGTAACAGAAATCAACGTTAATACAAGAAAATTGACATTTAAGTTACATTGGTAGAGCCTGAAGTCAAATTGAATGATATTTTAATATCAAAAAATATATATATATATACAATTGTTAAAAAAAATTTTAGAGCTTAATTATTTAATTCTCTTTAAAATTTACTATATTATTCTACTTTAAATATTAACACTGGTTGAAATTTTGATGTAATTCATCTTATTATATTAGGCATTAGATCATGAATGAAGTTGAATCTCAAAATAAAATGTAATTTGCGAAAATATTAAAACAAATAGTGACTTTACTTTTCACTTCTATTGGTAAGATTAATAACTCTTGAACTTTAAATACAATATTTGGTTACATGAATATTATTTTTTAAAGTTAATATTTCCTACCTTCATTGTTAATGTCTGTTTTAAACTTTTTAATAATTTTTCTACCAGATGGAAATATCATCTTTACAAAAATATATTATTTCAATAATAGGTATCAACTAAAAACCAATAATTTACTATAGTAGTGTAGCAAAAATTTAACATATAAACATCACAGTTGAAATTCAGTATAATTAATTGTACAAGTACTTAAATATTTTTATAATATTGATAAGTTCAAAAAGTAAAAAACTATTTATTTATATTATTCAAATAATAAAATGCATATTTAAATGCACAAAAGATAAAATATGAAACTTGAAAGTATATGAAATATGAAGTATATCTTTAGGCAATGGGTATTATAATATAAATTGTGTATTGTTCATTAATATTTACTACATTACTATTGGTTTATAGTAAAATGTTTACAGAATATGCTATAAAAAATATATTCTAAGTTAAAAATGTAACCTCAATAAAACAAAACGACTATTAAGAAGTTAATTTTAAATTTAACGAATAAATATTAGTTAAAATTAATAAGTCTTTATAGACTAGGAAAATATTCAGGTATTCCTATTAGGTATATAATAACCTACCTCATTTGTTATATACTTAATGTATTACAACAGAAAATGGATAATTAAAAACCTAGATATCTCAATGTGTTAGATAAGTTATACTACCATAAGTATCATTTTTTCTATATATTATAGTTCAATACAATTTTATGAATGACTAATATAAAAAAACACCAAATATTTTTGTTTCATAATTTAATGTTTATACTGAGAAATAAAATTTATATATTGTAATATTTTTTTGTAAAATGCAGACAAACTAAGATGAAATTAACTTATTTATATAGATATAAATAAATTAGTTTTATTATAAAATTAATCAAATGGTTTAAAAAAAGTAATTGTAAATAAAAAAAATAGCTTAATTGTTTAAAAATCATTTTTAATATTTTGATTCATTAATAATTAGCCATACGACGTCTTGATCTTTTAATCCTGAAAAAAATAAAAAAACTTTGAAATCATCCTTATACCTAATTAACAAATTTGAATATACCTTTTAGGTCCTTTCACAAAGCACCAATCTACACTTATTTGCTGTCCCAAAATGTCTGTATTATTGAGTCCTTCGCGTGCTCGAGATGCTTCCTTATAAGATTCATATTCAACTAATGCATAACCCTTGAAAAAAAGTTACATTAATTCTTAGGTTAAAAATATAAATACAAAAATAAAATTTACTTTTAAAAATCCAGTTCTACGGTCCAGGTTTAAATGCAGATTTTTTATTTTTCCAAACTCTGCAAATTTATCATGTAAATCATCTTCTTGTGCTTCTTCATGTAAAGAAGATATGAACAAAATCCAGCCTTCAACCGCTGTTAATATTGTAAAAATATAATAAAATGATGCACAAAAATTATAAAACAATAAATAAAATTACATCTTTGAGGTCCAGGTCCATCATCTTCATGATCAACAGAATCAAATTCCATGGCTTCATCTTTAATATTTTCTCTTTTAGATTTATCTTCAAATCCACGTCCTTTTCTCCTTCTAGCTTTTTCTTTCAGTTTAGAGACTCCCTCTATTAAAATAATTTTTTGGCATATCAACACAAATATAATATATATATATATACATTGCACATAAGCATGTACATTTAATATTATTTTTCAATTTTCATAGTAGTATAAAATATGTCTAAAAAAGAATTTATTATAGAAAACCACCCCAATAAAAAAATAATTCATTAAAATTTGAATAGAAAATTAATACAATGTTCTAATTAAAAGCGTATCTATTGAAAAGTCACTGTTAGATGATAGTATTCAATGAACAAGTTAAGTTGTGTTGTTAAGTGTAACATATTCGTAAAGATTAAAGAAATAATCATTTGCATCATTTATGAAATGACAAATATCCTAACTTTGTTATAGTACCATATTAATTTCAATATTTTTATAAAAACCATTAAAAAAAAAAAAACACATTTATATTACCATCATCTTCTTCCACAAACTCTTCAGCGTTCAAGTCTAAGACGTCAGCCATTATGATTTAAACTTGATAAACAAAATTAATTTAAACGTAAACTTAGAATTCAGTATTAAGTAACCAAAAACATGAAATCCAGATTTTCTGCTATTAATGAGAAATTACAAACAAATAAAATGATAACAATACATGTTAAACAACCTGAAAAACGAAATTTCGGCATACGGCCACTGGTGTGGAATACTTATCGTTTATTTATTTTTAATAACCGTGGTCATGAAATATATATATTTAATGTTGATATTTTTGACCATGGTATGCGTTATGATCAAGGATCTAGTTATCTAGATAACCGATGTCCTATCTCTTATAGATAAATTGTACATCCTCTTTGAATGCAAAAATATAGGTCCTTAAATCATGTAAATTTTATGACGTAATGATGTTATATGTGATCCCATTGGGAACTACGTCGTACTACAATTTTAATGAAAAAGTAAATTTTTTAATCTGAACATATTCTTGTTATTGTTAACAGTGTTCATACATATAATAGTATAATTTGGTAAAGTTTCAAATGATTTAGACTTTCATTTATATTACGTATTCAATTTTAATGTATTGGTTGTTCACGTCATTAGTAAGTTATCTGTATTTACATTTAATTCCGTTTTTAGGGCTTTGGAATACAGTTTTTTTACTTCATTGCTATCTCGTATGTTATGTTATTCGCATACCTTAATACGGGCATACTATCTGTAAATAATTGTTATCATTATCGCATTATTAATTATATACCGAACATTTTGTCAATAAATTCGAAATAAATATTAAATCTTCTTTTTCAGTAAGCGACGAAGTTAGTTTCATTGTATCTTCTTAACGATATAATTCTACTATTATCACGACTGACTAACATGAATCCTAATCAACAAAATAATGGCGGAACTGCACCAAATGGTAAATTTTTTTATTACAAAATTATTGATTATTTTGTGGTATTTGAATGTCAAATTTTTTTATTTCAGGTGGTGGAGGAAAGAAAAAACAAAAAAAAAGTAATATAAATTATGATTATAAAGTAATAGAAAAAAAAAAAAAAAAAATGTTAATTTAATTTAAGATTCAATGATATTATTATTTTATCATTCTTTTATGGCTATTGATTGTCTATAATTTTTCTACAATTACAATTTTGTAATACATCTTTAATTTTTATTAGGGATGTGCTGATATCACTTTTTACCGATACCCAATATACCGATATATTCAATCGATATAAAACTGATACCCGATATTATAATCATAAGTAAAAACTAAGTTGATCTTTAATATATTACATAAAAAAATCACCTTTTTTGGCAAAACCATGAACCGATACTAAAATTAATCCGATACCTCAAACCAATACTTGATATAATCACAAGTAGTTTTTGTGGTATCGGTGCAAATAATGGTTTTGAAAATAAACCGATACCGATATTTCCAACACCACCAATATCGGCCGATACCAAGTATCGGTTTTAGGATCGGCCCACCCCTAATTTTTATACTTAATTATCTTTTTAGAAACAACCATAATCATGAATCTAAAATCAGAAATTGATATTTGCAACTGATTTCAAAATAATATTTTCAAATTTCATTTATTTAACACGTTGACTACCATACAGCAGCTGGCAGTTACATCTCTATCTTTCCTACATGGACATCTTATATTTTCCATGTCATCCTGTAATAGAAAATAGCATATTTATAGAACAAATAATTTCAATATTATTATTTTCGTTATGTCTTTATACGGTTGAAGTTAATATTAAAGTGTATGGTAGCCTGCAGTCTTATGTCGTTGTCATTATATTAATAATAATTATAATTAGTCAGTTGCCATATGACCGCCGGTGATCGTATATAATAAAATGTCATGTGATATTTTTATTGTAATTTTACTTTTAATTGTGGCGTTGTGTCCAAAGAGACTTGAGACTTAAAGTAAAAGACGATACGATATGTCAATTATTAGAATAAAGGATCACATTCTGCTCACTATATAAATCATACACATGTATAAGTTGTTTCAATCTGCATCATATAAATTAAAGATTTTCATTATATTTTATTTATAAATATGCTTCGATATTTATATTTTGTATTATGTTGATATTTAAAAATTTAAATTAAAAACAAATTATTTGAATAAATAAAGTAATAACTAAAGACTGGATTTATATTCTCTTAAAATACCTTAAATATGATGCTAATATTCTTTAAAAAACCTTCAAATATTTTCATTATATTTTCTTAAAAATCTTAAAAATATTCAAAATTATGCAAAAATAATCAATATATGCTTTATTATATGAATTAATAAAATATATTTTTCTATATTATGTATACTCATGTTAGTTCTTCTATCGCTTAAAATTTGTTTATAGAGATTAAATGAACATTATTCAACAGATGTTAAAGGTGCAAACTTCATGTCAGTCACTATACTGGGTGTAAAATATTTTGGAAGATCTTCATTGTTTCCACATAAAATGTTTAAAACTACATAAAACATAAAACTACCAAATAATATTTGGTAGTTTTTATTATTATTATTTTTTTTTTTTGATATAATTGAGACACTAGTTCTTATTATGTTATCCTTTTCACCAGGTATATTGGTTAGTTTGCAGATAATAATTTGTACAATTTCCAATGATAACACCAAAGTCAAATATTTTAAAATATGCTAAATGGGCTAAATTTTCTCTTTTAACCTATGAAATATGCTAAAAAAACTTTTTTCTACAAACACAGAATTGAATGAATTGTCCACATTTTTTTACTCTCATACAATTGCATAGACCCAGTAACGATATGTAAAAACATATAAATCCGGTCTTAAGTGATAACATTTTTTATATAGTGATATTTTCATAATATAATTAAGTGTATATAAAATGATCAGTATACAACAAGTAATATATATCATTTTACACAAAATATTCTCCTCTATGCTATAATTCAAAAATATTCATAACTTTGATGTCACAGAAAATATTCCCTTTTACATATAATCACATCAGTCCAATGTGCAACTTACACATACATTTTCAGTCCAGTGTGAGACCTACATATAAGTATTGACCTATACTGCATTTTTTTATAGTTATTAATTCATTTATAATTAATTATACTTCTTGTCTGATAAGAATTCATCGTAATTTATGTATAATTTATGTTTCTCTCTTTGGTACAACGATTATTATTTTCATTTAGTGTTGGTAATAATTTTCAGTCTTGCAAGAATTGTACAGACATTTTTTCATCGTGTATAATATGTCGATATAAATATCCTAATGTAGTACTCATAATAAAAACCACAAATTTACTAAAATCACAATAATGTAATTCGACAAAGACAGTGAAACTATAAATGAATGCCTAACGGTTTACAATTATCATGTTTGTATTTCTATTCTCTACACAAAAATAAATGTATTTTCCCATGTCATGTAGGAAAATATACACATAGGCCGTAGGTCGCACATTAGCCCGGCAAAGATAAGGATCAATTATCAGTTGTAGGTCACACATTGGACGGACTGATGCCAGTTGTGATTATGACAGCTCGTGGTCATATAGTATATAAATAATAATAAAGTGTGACCACCGGCGTCCAAAAAAATACTTTTGTATGCTAGTACTCAGGTGATGCCAGTGGTCGTGTGGTAGTCAACGTGTTAAGTAGTATTTTTATTGGTAACTAGGTTAGGAGATTTCATCGAATCAGACTTTTATCAAAGGTTTTCAGGCATGATTAATAAACTGGTATATGAAACAAAAAGGTTTCCGAGTTTCATCAAGAGTGTTGAGTATATATGTGAATGGTTTGGTTATATGAGTTAACATCTCTATTGAAGGGAGCATTTTAATATGCTGAATATACAATGATCATAATTATTATAATAAATAATCATCATTATCATAATAAATAAAAATATTGCCTGGTTTAAATTCATTCCAAAAATGTTTTAAAATTGTGTCTTAATTAATATTTTTAAAATAGTTTGATATTTTCAAACTAAATTATTTTAAATCTCATTATGTATAATGTATTATATTTTAAAGTTTTTTATGAACAATACTTATTATGATTTAGATCGCAATAATCCAAATGAGCAACAAAATCAAGGACAACATACAAAACAACCTGGACAGTTAGCTGGTTAGTGTTTAGAAGTTTTATTAATAAATTAATAAATGGACTATCTTTTTTTAAATTTTGAGGGAAACTTTTTTTTAATTCTTTGAGGTTTTTACTAGAGTTAAACTCACTAAAAATGTTTATCAAGCTTATGTGATGGATACCTATTTTACTTATTTTTAAAGTTGATAGAGAGAATATTATTTCTTTTTTCAACTCCTATGTTTTTTGGAATAGCTGCCTAAAAATGGAAATTTTGACAACTTTCTGGTCTAAATCATTCTTGATAATCACCATTGATTTGCTCTGACTTTCTATTTATTCTTGATAATTTTGAATTTTAATATTTTTATTGCACTAATATATGTACAAGTAGTATGTGTGTCTTGGCCAAACAAGTGTGGGAGTCTGGAACTGATCAATCCCGGGACCCTCATAATTTTTGATGTTCCTGATTACAAATTTATGTGGTTATTATGGGGTCCTAATCGCAGTACACAAATTTCATTTTTTCATTAGTTTCCATTTGAAATTGAGAAAAACTCAACTAAAAAATTACAATAAATTATAAATAATTTTTAAGAGTCATGGTGCCTCCAAAAATGCTCGTTGTGCTTGTTGATCATTGTAGTAGACAGTTTAGGAACTGTTGTCCACAAGTATGTTAAAGTAATTAGTATGTACAAAGATAAGGTCTTACTGATATTTTATCATGGTTTATCAAATCAATTTGACACCGGAAATTAATAGGATATAATTTTTATTTATTTATATAATTTTTATGATGTAAATTGTTATATTTTTTATTTAAGATATAATGTTTTATACAATATAATAATTTTCCATAAAATTTGTTAAACAAGACTATAATTTTTATAAATTTATTAATATGTAAAGGATCTTACATATTTTTTATTTAGGAACCCTTATTCTTGCTGCACAATGATGCTAATTCAGCATATAACACTCACTAGTCTATAATAAGTATAGCAGCATTAAGTGTATCATTCCCTTACAATGAAAATTTAAAGTTAAAAGTTAAGTCATGATGGAAATAATCGAATGATTAGTAATCGAAAAAAAAATGATCGAATGATTGGTAGTCGAAAACAACAAAATAATTAAATGATTATGTAAACGAAATTAAAATAATTGAATTATCGAATGATAAGTGTGTAGTAGAGATCTGCACAGGCTGTTTTTTTTCCAGCCCAATCTAGCCTGAAACTTCAATTTATAAAATATTCCCATCTAAACCTGATCCTTCATTTTTTTTTTTTAAGTCCAAACCGACCAGGCCCGGTATGTAATATTTTTCTTACAGTCCAACCGCCCGCCCAGGTTATGGACCAGGTCCATTAATATTTATTATTTGTTTTTATCAGTGATCTATTTATGAATATCATATATATTAATAATATATATGTATTTTTATTATGATTTGTGACAAGCCTACTCCATCAGTTTAGGAACATTTCCTTATCTAATGCCAATAATTGGCATTAGTACTGTATTCTTATATTATACTTAGGTAGTTTTATTTTTGACTGGCCCGGTCCAAAGAAAACACAATCCCACCCATAACCAACCCGTAATATTTATATTATGGGACGGACTTGTACAGGTTGTACTCGTCTGGCCCATGTAGATCTTGAGAAGGTAGGTAGTCGAAATAAAAATAATTGAGTATTTGAATGATTCATGATTTGTATTGCTTGAAATGCTTGAATAAATAATCAAATAATTATGAGTGTGAAATCAATTATTAGTTGAGAGTAACTCAATAATTTTATCATCTCCCTTCTACATGACATGATCTGGAAGTACTGGTTGACAAGTCTAATCTAATATCTAATAATAAAATCTAGCCCAACAAGAGTAAACCACAAACTCTGTAAGTTACCGATTCAACCTGTGTTATAACTTGGACTCATAACTTATAGCTCTAAAAATGGTAGTTATAATGGCTATAATATGCTTATATAAATATTGATATAAATGCTTAAATATGCACTAAAAATACAAAAATATGCGAAGAAATAAATGTCAAACTCTTACAAAATTCTCAGAATAAATGTTTTAAATGCTACGGAACTAAAAAAGACTTAAAAAAGCAAAATAGTAAATAACAAATTTCTAAATATGCAAAAATTAGTCAGAAAAATAGGAAAGAAAGCAAAATAGCTTTTATACTTTGAAGTATGCAAAAAAATGCAACATAAAATTTTGTATTGAGCTAGCTTCTTAGTTATCTGAAACAAATTTATAATTCTCATAGGTATTTCTAGGACCTCTCAAAAAAAAAAAAAAAAAAAAAAAAAATGTAAATTCTACAAGTTATGAGTCCTGGTTATAACATTAAGAATTTTATAAAAATTTAAAGATTTTAAAAGACTTGTTTATCAAGTGCTATGGAAAAACATTTTCATGCAAATGTTTTCTAATCTTTTATTTACTATCAATATAAATAATAAAAATAATTTTCTACCAGAACAACAACCGATTCAAAAACAGAATCAACCAATGAAAAACAAACAACAGCCAAAACAAAATCAACCTAAGGAACCTAAACAAAAGCCAATACAGAAACAAAATCAACCTAAAGAAATAAAACCTGCTGGGGCTGCTAAGCAAGCTAAAGGTATTAATTTAAAAGTAACAATTTTATGAATATAGTCATAAATATATGATTTATGAATTTATTTTATTTATATTTTTATAATTTTGATTTACAGCATTTAAATTAGATTTAGACAAGAAGAAATTGTTTAACCCATTTATTTGATATGTAATTAAATTTTGTCATGTATTTTATATAATTTTGTTTTAAGTTGATAGCTTGAATTGTATTAAAATAACCTAATTCATTGCCTAAATTATAAATGAATCCTTATAAAATTATCATTCATTCAAAATTGATTTATAAATTAATAAAATGATTAAGCATGAACAATTGTGAAAATTTAACTGTGATCTGTGTTGGTTGATACTAATTACTAAAATCCTTAAATCTATATTTAATACTTCAAATTCTAAGTGATCAAAAAATATGTTCAAATACAAAATTTAAAACAGATCAATTTATGTGCCAAAATGTGTTTCTATTTTGTATAATTTAAATAATAAATAAATTAGATAAATTATTTTTATAAATTAGAAATATTATGTTATTTTAGGAGAAAATGCTCCAGCTGTAAATCCAGCTGCAGCACCAGGAGTTCCAAAATCAGGTTAAATTATTATAGTTTTTAAGATTGTTCTATTATTTATATGATTTTATAAAATTTAGATTCTCCACAGTTGGAACAAATTATAGAAGTTTTTATGAAACAATTAAAAATTCCAAAACGAAGAAATCCTAGTGCTGGAGGTACCAAAGGGCGTAAAACTGAGATCGAAGTAAATCATCTTCCACTTAATCTTGACAAACTGTTTACAAAAACTGTTTATCATATTGATGTAACATTTACTCCAGAACTACCAAGAAGACTTCTGAGGTAAATATTTTTAATTAATTAATAATCAAAATAAATATATATCTAACTATAGTAATTATATGTATTAATATTTTCTTATACTTAAACCTTTCAAGTTCCTCTAATTATTATTTTACTCTTATGAATTTCAAATGTAAATATAATTATTATTGTATTATTATATTATATTATTATTAATGTTTTTTTTTTAAATATTAAATATTTAATATCAAATTCATGGTTAACATTTGTATTTAATTATTTTAAATATAAATTATCAACTTTCTCATTTAATTATGTAATAATTCTGAATATTTGTATAAAAAATTTAATTAAACCATATAAGGTGTTTTAATAATTTATTGTCTAAAAATATTTACTACAGTATACAATAGGTACCTTCTTATATTAGCATTATAATATACATATTTTTGTAATTGTTTTAACTTTTAGTAACCATTAACCATTATATTACCTATTTTATACAAATTAAAATTTAAAATTTCATTGAATCATCTGAACTATATAGAGCAGTGGCATAATATTTGTATTAAATAAATGTTTAAATATTAGAAGTTAAAACAAAATTATTAATTATTACTTTTCTCCTCAGATCTTGCCATTATATCTATACCATCCATATATTAATTAGAGCAAAATTGCAAATTAAATATTTAACTTTTTATTAGAAAACCTAGTTAAATTCTAATTTTTAACTTCTGAAACTTATATTTTAATCTTCAAATAATTAACTTTGCCTTGGTTTATTGAAAGTATTTATAAAACTGTAGACCCATAAATTTAAGAAGGATGTATTAATTTATGAGCTAAATTTCAATTACCAATTCTTGCTTATGCTACACTTATATTTAAGTAATTTATCTGCAGTTATCATAATTTGGTTTTCATAATTTAATCTAATTTTCACGCAGAGCTAAAAAATGAAAAAATATGTCAATTTATTTACCATTTTCATAATAAGTTAATTTCATATTATGTCTTCAAAAAAGTATTTGGTAAATATGTTTACAAAGTTAGAAATTTTATTGATTTTTGTACTTAGTGCAGGGTTGGTAATATTCGCATTTAAAACGTTTTACATGTTAAACATTCAATACATCACTAACAATTAGTATAAAACGTATATTACCAATTATCATAATTACTAAAACATTTTTTGTTTTTGAAATTCACTCTTAGAAAATTAAAAATATTTTCTATTTCAAATATAAAGTTAAGTTTTTATTTTTATATTTAATTTTTTAATTTAATTTTTTTTTCATTCTTTTTAATCTATCTAAATAAAAAATAATAAAAAATTGCTACAGGCAGAAAATATAATACGTTTATTATTACATTGATATAATAAAGTAAAATTTAAATGTTGCCAAAAATATTAAAAATGTTTTAAATAACACATGTACAATGAATTTACTATAAACATGTATGTAACAAGATAATGATAATTATTAAAAATAAATTAATAGCACCACACTTGTTTAATTATAATTTATATTTCCTTTTTGTATAGTTTGTTTAAATTATAAATTTATTTTTGTTTATAAGAAATTTTATTTTTATAGGTACATATAATATGTGTTTTTTACTAAATTATATTATACATTTCAATCCTGACTTCATGTACATTTTTTTCTAATGAGATGGTTTTTTGCAATTGTTTTTCTTAAACTTAGGAATAATATACTCATTGAAATTTACTAAAATTTTAAAATTATTATGTTTAATTATACATTTTTTTATTATATTTATTTTAGACTGGCTTTAGAAGAATTTACTAAAAAACATTACAAAAATGTTCAATTTGCTTTTGATGGCCGAAGAAACATGTACTCAACAAAAGAAATAAAAGGAGTATGTTATTTTGTTTTGTAAACTTATGTACATTTTAAGGTATATGATCGTTTAGCGGTGAATGTTTACAGTCACCAGTGTATGTCAACTTTTACCACTCATTTTGGTTAATATCTATTTTCACAAATACTTCACATTGCAGACATTCACTGGTGATTGTTCATATGCACATTACGTATTTGGTGAATGTTGACATATGAATCAAAATCATCAAATTACAATTATTTTACAATCGATCAAATTAATAAAAGATACAATATTATTATAAATGTAATTATAATAATCATAATAATGTTATTATTTATTGCAGTACGGTATACTATTATGGCATTTAATATTACAAATACCCCTATTTTTACAATTACATTTTTTTTGTTAATATTTTTGCTTGATATAAGTGTAAAAATAACAATCTCATTCGTTATATTTTTGAAATCATTCATTTATTTGTTCATTATTTTGTTTCTGGTATATGTATGTAAACATTTAAGTAATTCACACAATTTTTACTTTATTGTAATTAAATTTCTATTATTATATGTATAAAAGGTATATAAGTTTCATCGTTGGTCTATGTATATTTTTTTATAAAAATGTTTATTTTATGTTAAGGTTGCGGACACAATATCAATTTTGAATGAAGAAAATAACAAAACAATAGATTTCAATATTGTCACCGGAGTTGTTAATTCCATTTCTATGAAAAAAATTGAGGATTATTTAAAAAGTGGATCATCTGACAACCCACCTGGTGAAGCATTTCAAGCTTTAGACATTATATTAAAAAATCGACCTTTTGCATTAAGGTTAGTGGATTATGGGAATGTATATCCTGCACTTAATTTAATTTGAAACAAATTTATAACATTGAATATGTATTTTAATAATTTAATGATATAGGTTTACCAATATTGGAAGGTCTTTTTTCCCAGTGCCTCGTGGTATTCCAGTTGATTTAGGTGAAGGTATGGAACTATGGAAAGGATTTTTTCAAAGTCCTGTAATGGGTTGGAAACCTTTTTTGAATATAGATGGTAAGTATTTAATACTCACTCAAAATAACACAAATGTAAAAAAGTATTAAATTAATTTTTTTATGTTTCTAAATGCATTAATAATTGACATATAAATCCAAATCTTTACTATTTATTTGATGTGTTTACAACAGCGGTTTTCAAATTTATTTTAATATAACACAATATGTTTTTTACAAACTTTTTGTGGCTTCAACTATGAACAACATTCTAAAACCTTTTTTTTTTTTTTTAGTCATTATTTATTTTAATTTATTACATGTATACAAATTAAAAAGTACAAATCTTTTATATATTAAATGTATTAAAATTATTTAGTGGCAAACAAAGGATTTCCCAAGTATCAACCACTGGTGGAATACATTAGAAATGATTTAAGATATAGTCTTGATTCTGAAATGGACCGTTATGGTTTAAATTCACTAGCAACTTATGTCAAAGGATTAAAAGTTGATTTTATGATTCCAAATCAACCTAATACAAAACGATCATATAGAGTAGTTGGTCTTTTTGATTCTGCAGCTAAATTTTTGTAAGTACTCAATAATATATATATGGATTTTTATAAAATATTTTTTATTTTAAATATAATTTTTTTTAATTATTTAGTAGGTATAGCAAAATATTTATAAAACTTTAAATACTTTATAAATCTAACAGTAATATTATAAATCTGTTACAACTTTCATAACATTATTCAAAAATTAATTTAGATATAAAATAACAGCAATATAACTTAAATTATACTTATAGATATTATTTAATTTAAATAATAATTTTAATTTATTAAAATAATCATTCAGTTGGACAATATTAAAATTAATTTTATCAATGCTATATTTATATATTCACTGTTTAAATTAAAATAAGGTATTAAAGTTAAAAATGAATGCTATATTATATCTTTAAATTGGTTATTCACATCATGTATAAAAAATTATAAAAGGAGTAACTTAGAAATAAACATAGATTAATAGTTAAAAATTTAAAATTAGAATATTATCTAAACCCCAACACCTACTTTCTTCTTTTATGTTCTAAAATTTCTGGTTATTAAATTTTGTTCATTGAAAGAGAGTCAATTTTAATAGAAACTTGGCTTTTCTAGAAATTCTTCAAATATCAGCAATCCTAGAACTAGAAATTGGAGAAATAGATATAAAAGTTATACTCGTTTGACTTCTAATTACCATAAAATGTTACTGGATATTATTGCAATCCATTACCATAGTTTTTTTTTGGTACATTTTCATTTTTTTTTTTTTTTTCATAGCTAATTAAAATATTAAGTTTTACAATCATTAACATAAATAACTTAAAATCCATTTTTATTAGTGAAAAATGAATAATGGTCCATAACGGATTATAATATTTTCTTAAAAACAAAACCTAATTACTATAAATACTTTAAATTTACTATAAATTTACTTGTGGATGGTTTTGTTCTATATGAATCATATTTTAATTTTATTTCTTTCATCAAAATGTGTGTTTGTTAAATATTTGGCCTGATTTTGTTCTTTGAAAACTGTTAATGGTATATGTTATTGTTCAAAATGTTCCATTCAATTTTTTTTTATTAAGTATTTTTAATTTTTTGCAATAATTATCTTATAAAAATATCTTAGTTTGTAGTTAAATAAGTTAATTTATGGTTGTTACTAATCATTAAATTAGAAAATTGTATTTGTTTGTATTACGAAGTTTTCAAAATGATGATTTATTTTATATTTTCTTTTAGCTTTGACATGGATGACCCAGAAACCAAGAAAATAAAACGTATTAATGTAGTTTCTTATTTTAAAGTAACGCGTAATTATGTTATCAAATATCCACATTTACCTTGTTTGCATGTTGGTAATATTGCTAAGAAAACTGCCATTCCAATCGAAGTAAATGCAATTTATATCATGTTTTATATACTATTGTATTTGCTTGTAATATTAATTTAAAGTCCTTAGATTTATTCCTAATATCTTTATAATAACTGAATTGTTGTTTTATAAAATTACTCTTAAAGATTTTATTAATCGGAAGGATATTATTTTTAGTTATGTGTTGTTCAAAAAGGACAGTTAAGGTTGAAAAAGTTATCAGAAAATCAAACTGCAGTTATGGTGAAAAATGCAGCTCGTCCACCATCTGAACGACGACAAACTATTGAACAGTGTATTAAAGATATTAAATACAATGAAGATCCAGTATTAAAAGATTTTGGTATAAGTATTACCGAAAGATTTGCTTCTATTCCTGCAAGAGTTTTGGATCAACCTTCATTAGCATATGCTTACAATAAGGTAAACATTTCGTTTTAAAATTAAAATTTTATTTATAATGTAAAACTTACATCCATTCATTTTTTCAACTTAATGTAGTATTGTAATTCTCGATTCATAACTTGATGTTTTATTAGTTACATAGTATACTCATATAATTCTTACTATTATCATATTCCCCTTTAAATTTTCTGTTTTTAATAAGAATTAATTTTAATTTTAACCAAAATTTTGGATTCTATGTTATTAACATATATTTTCAATAAAATAATATTACAAATAATATTAGTGAATTTAATTAAGCTTAAGTTATAACATTTAAAGAACTAATTAATATGATTAAATTAAAAATTTATTTTACTTGATAAAATTTTTAATATTTTATTTACAATACCTGTTTGATTAATTAATTATTTACCACTGGGTAATCCAGTACTTGTAAATTAACTAAGTATTTAATCTATTGGCTTTATATTTAAAAAAGTAATCATTAAATCAATATTATTAATAGGTAGATTAGTATTAATCATTCATATGAAATCAATGAACATTAATAATTTTTTAGTTGATTTATTAATGGATTACTAAAATATCCTTATTACTATATTAATTTTATTAAAAATCGGAATGTATGATAATTATTATATATTGTTATGTAGTAATATAGTGTGTGGAAACAATACAGTGTAATATAGAACATCAAAAAATTAAGCATAGTAGTATTTATTTACAAAAATTATCAAAATGTACTAAAAATCATTCTTCAATTTTCTTAATTCACATTTTATTGACATAAACCTATTACTGTATATATTTTGACTGGCCATGATTCTTTTAATTATTGGTTGTAATTTAAATTATAAAAAACTGTAATTTATTTACATTAACATTTTTATTCTGTCATGTTTTTTTTTGATATTTTACAGTATGTTAATACATACTTAATTTTATAAATTTATGTAATGTTACCAACAGCTTATTATATTATTTATACATTCAGTCAATATATTTCATTATGAGTTAAATTTGATTATTTTAGGAAACTAAACCAAAATTTGGTGTTTGGTATGCAGACAAATTTTCCAAAGCTATAGTACTTGAGAAATGGACCATATTGAATTTAGATGGTGCACGTACTAAAATACCATCTTTAAAGTAAAATTGTCATAATTGTTTCTATAACTAACAATAGTGATAATAATTTTATATTTTATTATATTATAGAGAATTTGAAACTCACCTGGTGAATTGTGGCATGTCTTTAAATGTTAAGGTAAAGCCTATGGTTCCAGGCATTAACTTGACATTTCAAAGAGGTGTACGTCTAGGTGATGTGCAAAAAGATGTTACTAAAACTTTAAACAATCTAAAAGGAAAAGTAGATTTAGTTGTGGTAGTTATTCCTGACAATCCTTCAGGAATATATGGTAAGTAACTAAATTATCCTGAGATTAGAATTTATAACAAATTGTTTTAGGCCTGAGAATAATTTTAGCTAATAGTTATTGTATTATAATTTAATACTGTCATTATTTATGGAAATATTATTTTAGCTGCTGTTAAACAATCTTCAGAATTAATAGTTGGTGTTCTTACTCAGTGTATTAAATCTCGAACCATGTTTAAGATGAATAAATCAACAGCGAGTAATATTTTATTGAAGATTAATTCAAAATTGAATGGTATTAATCATACTTTGGCTACTAGTATCAGGTAATTTAGCACTTAATTTATCAATATTTACAATTATAGTCATGCTGAGTTTTTTTGGGCAACAGTAATCACTAATTATTGATTTATTGGCCTTGGTACATTTTTCCTCTGTCAATTAATATATTTATGAATGATTCATTATTTAAAACTTGAATCATAACATTTATAGATGTATTTTACTCTATAAATGAATTACGAAATATTATTTATGAATGTAAATTGTAATTATCAATAACAATATTCAAAATAGAGTTTTAATGTTTGCATAATGTTTTATTGTATTATAGTATAAACATTATACAATTTGCTCAATAACATAGCGTAATAGTTGTGTATATGTATGTGGTTACCTGCAAATTTTTATGTTTTAATCAACAAACTTAATTCATTATTGTTATTTCAACAAAGTTGTACTCAATAAAAATTATTTCAGACATCAATTAGTTTAATTTAAATGATGATACTAATAAATGAAATACTTGAGATTATTTAAGGTTCAAATTTCATACTGCCCCTGAGACTGGAATTTGCTTGTAATACAAATTATAATTATTTTTGACCACTATACTACAACTATAAGACGATCAACATAATATTTATCTTACTTATTTAATTATATTTTCATATATGGATTATATTAAATGAAATGAATAAACAATTTAAATTACTTTTGAAATTTAAGTCTCATTATTGAAAGAAATTTATAATTTTGAATTTCTACCAATTTTAGTTAAAATTTTCAAAATATATTATAAATTTACATATTTTTTATAAATCTCTGATAGATTAGAATTTAATTATAGATTATATTTGTGCTGTATATTTGGTGACAGATAATTTCTATATCAGTTTGTATCTTATTAACTATCCTTAAAACATAATATGAAAAAATTATCTTCATTCTTACAATTATATTTGTATTAGAGTTCAATTATAATATTTCTAAAATTAAGATACAATATTTAAAAATTATAGAAATGATAAAAACAATGAAATAAAAGATAGTAAAATCATTATCATATGTTATCTAATATTTAAATAAAGCTATTTAATTAAAATATATCTATATATATTTTGATATATAATGATAAAATTAATAATTTTATATTTGTAATTTAGTCCGCCTAGTATGAATGAGGCAATTATTTTTGGAGCTGATGTGACTCATCCATCACCAGATCAGACTAGTATTCCATCTGTTGCTGCTGTAAGTATATTTTATTTTTCTAGAAATTAGATGTATTACTAAATATTTGGAAAAACAACTTATGTTTAATGTATAATGAGATTGGATTTTTTTTGCTATTATTTATAATGTCTGCATAATAGGATTGTTAATGGTTATAATATATTTGAAATTATAGAATTTCATTTGATGGATAATTATGAATGGATTTGTTTAGTTAGAATAACCTACCAATGCAATGACTTCAGCATATTTAGCTGAAAATATACTATTATTATACTTATATATTTTATACTTTTTCTGTTAATATTATAGGTAGCAGCCAGTCATGATCTTTTAGGAACTCAATATAATATGGAATGGCGTTTGCAGGACCCCAAAGTGGAGATTATTAAAGACCTTGAAGATATAGTTTTCTTACAACTAACTAAATTTAGAGCAAATACAAAAACTATTCCAAAGAGAATATTTTATTTTAGGGATGGTGTCAGCGAAGGGCAATTTAAGCAACTATTGGAAAGTGAACTTGTTTCTATACGTAGAGCATGTTTACGGTTAAATATAAACTATAAACCCGCTGTAACAATTTTAGTTGTACAAAAACGACATCATACTAGAATGTTCCCTAAGTTTAATATGGATATGGATGGCAAGTTTGCTAATGTTCCATCTGGTACAATTATTGATACACAAATAACCCATCCAACTGAACTTGATTTTTACTTATGCAGCCATGCTAGCATTCAAGTAATTAGTATACATTTCTTATTAATAAATGATATGATTTAATTATTTTATGAATAAAATTAATGTATTTTTAAAGGGTACATCTAGACCTACCAAGTACCATCTTATCTGGGATGATAACAATTTCACTGAGGATCAATTGGAACAATTAACATTCTATTTGTGTTTTATGTTTGTTCGTTGTACTCGTTCTGTTTCATATCCAGCACCCACTTATTATGCCCACTTAGCTGCTTTTAGAGCACGAGCTTATATTGAAAAGTTAGTCCTTTTATATCACATTATTTTGTTAAAAACATTTTATAATATGTATATATTTATATATATATTTTTTTTTACAGTAAAACTATAAATCTGAATGACTTAGCGGCTGAACAATCGAAAAATTTATTGAATCCGTCATTTGTTGATAATACTCCTATGTTTTTTGTTTAATTTGTAAAACTAAATTAGTAATTAGTATTAAATATTAATTACTATATGTAAAAATTCTATAATATTGTCAAGTTTAATAATTTTTATTACATATTATTTATTATAGTTTGTATTATAATTTGATTATATTCTATAAATATGAATTGACTTTTTTTGTAGTTTAATTTTGAAATTATCATGTATTAATGAATGAAAAAAAAAATTATTAAATTTAATTCTTTATTATTAATTATTATATTATTCTAATAAATATTTAATAAAAAAAATGGGGTATTTTAATTTCTATAATCAATATTAATTTTTGCTAGGTAGGAATTAAATTATTTTATATGTCTATGGGGGAGGGGGGCAGTATCGTATACATGAGTGGGGTCAGATACCCCTTGGCCTTTTTTTAAATGTTATAAAATAATGTTCTTAGTATGGTAGCGTTAGAAACGAAAAATGAAATTATGAAAATAAAAATGATGATTTGTTTGCAAATTATCCTCCTCCATACTTAAGTGATATGTATGCCACTGGCTATACACCATATCCCCACATGGTAATTGATAACAATTAACTTAAACAGAGATAATAGAATATTAATATAATTATCATTATAACAGTCTTGGATGATCTAACCGCAGATGTCTATATTATACATATATATAGATATATCTGTGGATCTAACTGACCGTGATCATTATTGTTGTGGTGATACATACCGTAGCCCTCAGAGTCTGCTTATCTGCAGCATAATTAATAGAAATAAATATAGAATTATCTACGATTTGCAGTTGATGACAGAGTTGGGTGTTATTCGAATAAAATTTTATTTAGATGATTATTTAGATAACATTTAATTGGAATGATTTTTTTCACAATTATTCAAATTTTCAAACAATTATTATTAGATATCATAAATTCAAACAGATAATTTTTATAGCTACATGCCCATATCTATCTAGTATCTTTATATTTTTGTGTAGTGCTCTATATATTTGAACTTATAAATATGAAATACAACATTGAACATACGTAGTTAGTACATAGTACCAAAATATCTGAGACTATAATATAGTACAGAAACTGGACTAAACTAGATATAATAATATCTTCAATATTGATAATTACTATTAAGGTACATACTAAATACATGTAGACAAACTAGAATAATAATCATTATTTCATAATACATATTTAGTAATTAGTACTAACTACTACTATATATACTAGGATAGGATAACTATGTTTAAAAATTATTCAAATAACATGATCACAAATTATTCCAATAATATTGTTTCTAAATTAATCGAATAATTATCTAGATAAAATTTTGATCAACTCTGGTTGATGAGTGCACCACGTTATCATTTTTGTTATCACTATATAATAAAATACTCTATGGGTAAAATATAGCCAATATAGTAATAAATATATGCTAAGTAATGTTTTAAGTACCAATAATTTAAATGTAGAAATTTATGAGTAATACTATTACATTTTTATTATTGTTTTTGAATTGACAATGAGGTTCATTTACACATTCATAATAAACATGTTCTTTAATTAAAAACGGACAGCCCATGAATTTAATTGGCAATTCTTCCCGTTCAAGTGAAAATATGTACTTACAATTTTCTCCTCGTCGACATATTTTATTGTTAATATTCATATTTTTAAATGATTTCAACCGTTATTTACAAATATACACATTTATTATTTTAAAGATATCTTTATAAGTCTATATTGATAATTAATTGTTTTTACTTAACCATGGTTAAAGTCTAAAAAGATAGCAAATAATGAAAATATTATTATATTTGGTATATTATATTATTTGTTATGGATATTAGCGAATAATAAAAAGAAAACGACATTTCTCTACTGTAAATATAAATGTTTTATACATTCTGCGATTCAACATGTTTCCGTGTTTCTAATTAATTATTTCAAAACTATCGTTTCGAAATCGATGTACCATTATGTTTGCGATGTACCCACAGTCGGTTCATACAACGGCTGAAAAACTTCTGAAAGCATTGAACTGCTTGTTGGTTGAAAACTTTACAATACAAGATAAAACCTTATTGGAGAAACTCTTGACTGGCTTACAGAATGCGGGTTAGTGTTGTATTGTTGAAGTATTTTTTTCTTTTCATTTTTTTTTCTTATTTAATACCTATTATCTATTAATTTGTTAATGTAATTTTGTAGACATACTATTGAAGACCATACCGACCAGTACACATTGCAAATGGTTTGCTAATGTCTTGGATTTGTATCAACTGCAAAAAAAGGCATCTAAAAACCCATCAATACATTTGTATGTTTTTTCTCTAAAATACTTGGCCATATTAGTTAAAAGTAATGACAGACTCGATGAGCTTATTAAAACGCATACTATTCGATTGATAATCAATAATCTAGATGTTGAATTTAATTTAAAAGAGTCTTCAATTTTTAATGCTTATATGAAATTATTGCAAACATTGAATACTCATAAACAAGGTGTTGAGTATATTTTCCAAGAAGGTAATTGTTTTTAATTTATACTATACTTAGCTTAAAATAATTAAACTTGTACTTATAGAAGTACACCTAAGTGTAATAATGGATGATTCGTAATTTAAAATATGCTGAAGAAAGTTTTATTTACTTTGTATAGTTCATCGTTTAAATAATTCATAGTTGCAAGTTCTATAACTAAAATTATTAATATTAATAAGAACATTTTTAATGTTATAGTATATAAAACATGTAATAGAATGTAATAAATATTTGAAAAATATTATATGGAATTAAATTTGACATCATTTTAAATGTACATATATTGAATATATCAATATATGGTGTATATTCATTAAAAATGTATATTTTACTAGTATATTAATCATACAAAATAATAATAAATACATTTAATTAAAAAATAGGCATTCAAATAATACCAATAAATTTAAAAATATAGTACACCTTTATGAGCTATGTATATGTGTATAACTTTCAAAGTATTTTAATTTTGTATTAATTTTTCTTAATATTTTATAATTAATAATTTAGTTATTTATTTGGCTTTAAAATGTACATAAGTAATAATCTTTTTTAAACTATAATTTTTTTTTAGGTTTGTGGAAAATTATACCTTTTGCTATAGATGGATTAGTTGTTCCTGCAAAATACATTGAAATTCAGTCAAGCCAATACATCGCTGAACTAATTTATAGATCATTTGAGTATGGAATAGCACACTATTGTGAGCCTTTACTCAAAGTACTGTTTTTTAACGTTGATAAAATAAATTATAGCATAATTGCTAATCGTCACATAAAAGATTTTGTAGTACTTAATGTTTATCTAAGAACATTAATTTTAATTTTAGAAAAATTCATTGGGACTATGTATGAGTCTGATGTATGTCAATTAATAATTTTTAAGTATTCTTTATCAAATATATTAATACAAATTAAAAAAATATTCAATATTTATCCTATGATATTAAATAATTATATTATATTACATTTGCTATTTGATTATTTCACGGTTTGGCACCAATCTGAATCCCAATACATATTAAAAAATATATTTTCTTATATGAATATACCAAAAGATGTGCAATTGTATAAACAAATTAGCAATTTATATATACAAGCAATTAAATATGTACATATCAGTAACACTCAATTGGTTGTTAATGCGGCATTTGAAAAAGAATTAATTATTGGCCAGGTTATTTTCACATAAGTATATTTATAGTATATATAATCTTTGTCATTTCATTATTTGTATATACTTTTTCTTTTTACAGCTAATTCCTTTAAGGAAATGCACAGAATGGCTAAAGTGTTCTAAATATGAAAATTTAGATTGTAGTGACATTATTGAATCAAAATATATTCTGAATTATTGTAATAATCATGATTCTATAATGAATGAAATGGCTATTTCTTCTATTCTTAACATTTTAGATATTGTTCCTATACTTAAACAGGTAAATATGTAATTTTAACAAATGTAATTATTTATGTATTTTTAGTTTCAAAACTTAATTTTAAGGTAAAAGTAAAAAAATGTTTTTATTTTGTCAAATACTTACTTGAATAAATATACAAACCAACCATCGATTAGAATCTTTATTAAATGTTTCAATGTAAAATATGTTAATCTCACTATAATATAGATAATGCATGATACATAATTTGAAACTAATTTAATATTTTTAAATAATTTATTTTTTAGTAATTCATTGAAAAATTATCTGAGCAAAATTTATTTTTATTTTTTATTATAGAATTTTGTAGGTTTACAATTTATTTTGATATATGTACATATATGATATATATAAATAAATAATATATAAATGTATATATATATATATATATATATCTATACATGTGTGTGTGTGTGTGTGTGTGTGTGTGTGTGTGTGCGTACGTACATACGTACGTACGTACAATTAGTATAAACTAAAATATTATGTTCCATATTTTAATTACTATAATTAAATCTAATTAATCGGATAGACTAATTTCACGAATAAAGGATTAAATTTGGATTATAATAATTTCAGAATTGGAATTAAGAATTAAGAAGAGTTAGTTGGATGTTTTGAGATTTTAAAAAATTAAAAAGAATTAAACGATTAGAGGATAATGAAGCACGATTTAAAATAAAATGGGAGAGGTCACAAATTATTTCTTCAGGATGTTTAGTATAATAAAGAGAATAATTTAGAGAGAGAGTTGATAGGAATGGAAAGAAAGTTAGAAAACATTGGCAGAAAAAGATGGAGAAGTGTGGGAAGATTGTCAGAATAGGATATATATAATTTAAGATTATTAAAAGAACAACCTGCTGAAATAGGGGAAATTGATTCATCAGTGTAGACTGAAATTAATAATGGGAAATTATCACTAATATAATAAAAAAAAGATTGTTGGCAATAGAAGAGGGAAGGAATTTTTAATGTATCTGAGCAATGTTATTAAATACATTTTAAGACACAATCATCATTTTAGTCTTCATATTACTAAGCTTGAAAATATTGAAGCTTCACAATTTTATAATACTATTATGGCTATTTAGAACTCAAATTATTAAATTATAAAGTAACAGCTCAATTTTCAATAATAATCTAATTCTTAGTTATTATTAACTGCTTAATAATCATTCATCAGATTTCAGACTATGTTATAATTATCTGAGATTATTAATATTAAGTAAAATAAAATTTAAGTTATTATTATCATATAGTATATTATAGTATATGCAAACAAATAAAATTAGTTTTATTAAAAATTAAATAACAAGATTACATTTTTGGTGGCTGTAAAATATATAAAATAAAGTAGTAAGTTCTTCTTTAAAATTTAATGTCTAGGGTTTTGATCCAATGTATTGCTTCATCAATGACATCATGAAGTTCCTGTATTAATCCTTTAAATGAGCAAATAGGGCAGTCTATTAGTATGTGATGAATAGGCTGAGGGAGATGTCCACAATTGCAGTCTGGTAGATCTGCCATTTTCTATTTATAAAGCAATTATTTACAATGCCATATAGCAGGTGTGTCTGTTGCTGGGTATCAGCGCCTTGGTGGTGATATTAGTTACGTTCATAGTCTGTCGTACACTAGAGTCTTCGGATTGTCTACAAGCGCATGTAGGGAGGGCCATGTGCAGGCTACCACCATCCTCTCCAATTTAGTATTAGAATACATAATATGAAATTATTTGTAGATTTTATGTGGTTAAATTATTTATAATTTATACTTGGTCTATTATTTTGTAAATAGTAATTTTATTTTTGAAATTGTTTGTATGTTTTATTATAGAATTCATTGGATTATTTAGTCGTTTTTTTTTCAAAATTATTAGATCAATTTTTAAATTCTGAAAGTTGGCTTGAAGAACATCAAGATCAAAATTCAATAAAGAACAAATTCTTAGAAATATTATCATATGTGTTTTTATGTTGGACTAAAATATTAGAGTGTAAACTATATATTGAAAATGATACACAGAATTCATTTTTAGTGCCACTTGTTCAATGTCATAGTCAGTTTTTTCATAAACCTTGCCACAATTCTACTCTTTTACAGGTAATGTAACCAATTAAATAATATCAATATATAATTTTACATTTTTTACTGTTTATATTATAATCATACATAATTGTTTAGAATGGCTTGAAGTTAATCAGTACAGCTATTAATACAATTAATCATAGAAATGTGCAACATACTGATCAACAGATAGATTTTGATAAACTATGTAATACACTCAATGATTTTCTGTTGGATACCAGACCAGAAATTCGTGATAGTAGTTTACAATGCATTACTAGCATAGCAGTTGCTGCGTCTAAATCCAGTTTTGGTAATAAGTAATATTGCTAACCAAATACTACTATAATAGTGATTTATTAATTAACTTAACCAATGTAACATGCTATGTATATTTTTTTTAAACAGGACAAGTTTTTATTCAACTTTTGTTGAAAATAGATTTACCTACTGCTGTTTTCAACACTCTTAAACATGACAATGATCCATTTGTTAGATCTAAAGCACTTGAATGTTTAGAAAAAATGGTTTCCATATTAGAAATTTGGGAATCATCTTTAAAAGAGTCTGATTTAATAGTAATTATATACTGAAATTTAAATAAAATTGTTTTTGTTCTAATTTTTTGATAAAAATACATCCAATTTAGACCCATTGTTTAAATTTAATGCAATTTGAATCTGAAGGTATCATTAGACGACAGATAGTTAAGCTCATCACTGCTTTATTCTTCCATAATGAGCAGCTCAGGTATGTTTACTTGTATCAAAAATGTAAAAACAATTTATTTTTATGAAATATATAATATGTTCACATACAACAAAGTGAAAACATGATTTGAACAATAATTTTTTATAGATAAATTTTTAATAAATTATTGTGTATTATTGATTAATAATAATATTTTGTAAAGGAAAATGCTTAGTTTTTTATTTATCAGTAATTATTAAGTAGTAATATATTAATTTTATTTTCAGTGATGATTTGCGCAATGACATTTATATAGTAATGGTACATGTTAGCACTAAAGATCCACTTTGGGAAGTAAAAGCATTCACTTATGACTTTTGGGATTCAGTTATTCAAACTATGATGAGAAAATTTAGTAAACAAAATAACTCTGAAAAACTAAATGATAATATTTTTTTATTAAATGAATTGAGTTCTATTGGTTGTTTACATGTTAGTTTTTTAAACATTTAATCTAACATTCAAATTATTCTTGGTAGTTTTTCTTATAAATTAATAATTTGATTAATATATTTTTATTTTAGGTGTTTTATGTTGCATTAAAAGAAGAACATGATTTAGTTGTTCAAAAAAAAGCAATTTGTCTAACAAAGAAAATACTGTTTTCTGTAAATTCTACTGATTTTAAACTTATGAACAAGTCGGTAAATTGTTTGAATAGTATGGATGTTGTCTTAGAAAATTCTACTGATCATAAGATAAAAAAATCTAGACAAGTTGATTCGGCAAACAGAGTCTTGAGTTCTATTACAACATCAAATGATTGTGAATTATTATCAAACTTAAAAATTGAGCATCATAATAGTATATATCCTGATGAAACGTGTATTCGTCTTAAATCTGACATCTATATATCAACAGCTGAGTTCTTAAATTTCACTTCTACTTATGATTTTGATAACTGTGATACTAAAACACAATTGGTTATATCAACTAGATCTGGGTTAAACTCTATGCTGGATGATATAATTGATCAATCATTAAATTGTTTTATTGACGGAGCAGATCTTTTAGATTGCCATTGATTATATTTTGTATTAATCATTTTTATTTATGTTTAACTATTGTATATTTATTATATGCTTTTAATTTTTCATGTAAAATGTCTTTGTAAATGTGGATAATTTATATTTATTACTTCCTAAGGTTTTATGAATTAGAATTTTGAATGACTCAAATTATATATGTTACAAATTTTTATTGGTACTAATAGTGATGATTTTCTTAGTAGGTAAGTTTTATACTAATGGAAAAAAAAAATTGTTATAAGTTTAAATATAGTATAATATTGTTATTGTTAACAATAATACGTAAAATCAACAACGTAGCATCATTTTTAAATTTTAATAATAATTGTTAAAAAAAAAAAAAGTGTTTCCCGTTTCCAGACTATAAAATCAAAAAGTAACAAACTAAGGAAAAACGGCTTTATTGTAAGGCTATAAGATTTAAATTTTGAATGCGATTTATATTTAAAAAAAATTTAAATCTTGACGTTTAGTATAAATTAATAAACAAAGAAATAAAAAAAAATATCTACAACCAATAAACGGATGAAATATCGTCAGTACGATTGTTGTAATCTTATGCAGTTTGAATCAGTTCTGTGAATATATTAACAATATGGTACATATAATATTATTATGATTTAAATAAGTACTATATAATATATATATATATGTATTACTTCAATCAATTCATAAATATAAATAACTAAAAAGATAGTTTTCTAATTTAGGTAATATATTATATTTATATTTAATGTATTATTTTTACACAATTTCTAAACGTTATCACATTAAAAAATGTATACAATATTTAATATTTAGATTGTCTTTACATGACAAGGATCGACCAGGGATTTTAAAAACAAACAACTGATTGTCATTTTCATTTTCGAGGACGAATAGTATATAGAACTACAGAATATCGTTTTGTAGCCTATAAATATAATAAATATACATAATATATTAGTATATTATATTATATAAATGAATTTTGTGTATGTATGTATAGTTGGATACCTAAATATGAATAAGTGTACAATAATACATATATAGTCAGAATTCCTGATTATTTTTTATGAAATAAAGCTATAGTAAAAAATGCGTTGAGCAAAAATTTGAAAACGAAGATATGTGGGGAAACTACATTATATAAATGATAATCTACATTTTGTAAGTTATTAGATATATAGTTAACGACAACGAGAAAATAAGTAATATAATAAGAAAGTGATATTAATTTTCGTCATACGGATATGTAAATATCTTATTTTTTTTTTTTCGTAAAATATATATAATTTCCCTTAAAGTTATCATTAGTAATAATAATTATAATAATAATAATAGTACATACTATATTGTAATCACGTATTAGTTGGATCTAAAACGAATGAGATATTTAAAAATTAGCATAAGTATACACATAGTCATACACTCTAATGAGGTATGTAAAAAAAAAAAAAAAATAATAAATAAATAAAAACAAACCAACAATAGTCAAATCATGCTTAATAATGAACAAGAATTAAGAAACTTAAATTACGATATATTAATAATAATTGTTGACGATTTCTGTGTAACATTATATTGTTACTTTTGTATATTTTATCGAAATATTCATGTTTTACGGAAGTAGATTGGCTACAATGGGACGTCGGACCGTTTAGCAAACATACACCATCAACTGTTTAATGTCATCTGTTCACTTGTTGCCGCTAAACAATTGATACTAAAAAAGAAAAATTTTGCAAATTAATATTTTTAAGTACAATTTTTGTTTTTTTATGTACCATATATTCGACATATAATAAATGTTTGACCGATAGTCTTAGACAGGGTTTAAAGTGACAAAAATGGACAGGACTCTAATCTAATTCTCAGCATCCCATGTGGTATATATTAATTATAAATAGGTATTTACATTATGAGGTTTTAGTGAATAATTTCCTTTAAAAACTATTCATGTGCTATAAAAACTTGTAAATTACTTTCTTATAGTTTTAAATAACAGATTATAAATATTTTTTAATAAAATAAAAAAATGTATTTAAAAGTATATATTATTATATAAATTATAATTTAAATTTAATATTAGATAATTTTGTTTATAGAACACTACTTAACACCTAGTGACATAAACTAAATTGCAGAGTACATTTTTTAACAAATATTTAACAAATAGTTGAGGGTTTCTGTAACCTTTTTGGAGAGTTAAAGAAGACACTAAATAAGCATTGTGGGAGGTAGAATGATTGCGTCCCTTCAAATTTAAGCCTTGATCCTAGATCAATCTAAATAACATTTTAAAATTTTAGCTTGCCTATCATTATGAGGGTAATTTTTTTTAACCAGGTATAGTAAATTGTGCATTTTTTATATAACTTAATAGAGGTATTTGCAGGGAGAACCAAAAAAAGATGGTTGTGTTATGTTGAAAATGATATGAGAGCTGTTGGTGTGTACGTAGGGAATGTAAAAAATCGAGACGAGTGGAGGTTTAGGACAGAGGTGGCCGACCTCAAATGGTTGGGAGAAAGGCGAGGGGGAAGAAGAAGAATGATATATAAATCTAAAAATTGTGATGTGACCGCGAAAGTCTCGTTGGTAAGTATTGTCATCTAGGTGTATGGATAATGTTTTGGTCGGTGGTGCATTATATTGATTTCTGTATAGGTATAGTGATCCAGCTAATTTATGTTATCCACAAATATTCACAGAACAGAATAATAGCGGGTCACACAAAAGCACTGGGTGTACGAAACAAACCAAGAAAATAAAATGTCTTGTTCTCGTCGATATTATTTTTTTAAAAGTGATGATAAATCTTGATTTTGAAGTTAAATTAACTTATTTTATAATTTTATATCTTTAATAGAATTCCCAGCTATTCGATTATTAATTTTTTTAATTTTCTTTATACGTAATACCCAGATAATACAAAATATAATATTAAATATATATTTTAAAATTGATTTATTTATAGTAGTTTAAAAATTTTATCTACACTTATCGTTTTTTGTCAAAATAGAACACTACTATTTTTATGGAGATTTTAGTTGTATAAATTAAGGACACACATTTTTTTTTGATATTTTAGGTGTGAAAATAAATTACATATATGTATCCGAACACCTTCCTTAATCACTTCTACATTTTTAACTCTAATTCGGAGCACATTATCAATAAAGTAATTTCTTGTATATTGGAGGCGGGTTTTCTTATTTGAATTGGCAAAAATGATTGTGAATAATTTTTTTTTTCAAATTGTAAATATCTGTATAGCTGTAAATTTGTTATAACTGTTATAAATGTTGAAATCTCATGGTATAAAAAAGGGCTAATAAAAAAAAATAATAATAATAATAATAAAATGATACACACATGCTTTTTAGTTTATTAGTTACTACGAGTTTTTAAACTTATGTAAGCACTTACAGTTATTTAAAAATAGCTTCATCTTCGATTAATGTATTTTATACAACATAATAATAAAATAGGACCTTTAAAATTATATAAAATCAATGGGATTACATTCTTGCACTTTTTTATAAATCATTTTTAGATTTTCTTGATTTTTTTTTTCAACTATAACAAAAAACTGAAAAATATATTTTCAGGCATCGATCTGTTAATATTTATTTCAATAAAATAACTGATTTTGTATCTTTTTGATTTGAAAATTGAATGCATAATAGGTTTTTTTAATTTTTAGTGTTGAAAAACTGAAAGACATGGTTCAACTTCATGATTTGAAATGTATGCAAAAAGATTGATATTAAATAAAGACAAAAGCTGGATATTACTGACATTAGAGTCTATAACCGACTTAATTTTGTCAATCAGTGTCAATGAGTAATGCACATTTACTTTTTGAATTGTCTAAAGTCAATAAATCTTGATTTATCAAAACGCTGGAATATATCACAAAGAAAAACTTTTTTCTTATAAACACACTTTAAACCGAGCTTTAAATAATCTTTGAACTAACATTAATTTAAGGACTTTAGTCAAGCTTTTATAAGAGAGCAGTATGTTTAGTTTTTAGTTTAGAACACACAAATAATAGACAAGTATGGGTAGAATGAAGTATTGAATATCTTTACCCCTTTCATAATCATTCTATTGTTAAATATACTCTTTCCAGAGACACAAGGGATCATACAAAAATGATTTAATTTGTTTTATTTGATGTTTAAAAATATTTTAGCAAGAAATCTCAGTTTCACGTTAAGCAGTAAGTTTAAATTCAAATTTTATTTTTATTGGATCAATAATTTCACGGCTGAGAGAATTGACATTTTATTTTCACTAATCTCTTTTAAACATTTTGAATTGAGAGAGCCAAGTCAACTGGTTATTTTTGATATCTCCTAAATAAATAATATTATATAAATGTCAGACTGCACAAATTATAACATAATATCAATCAATAAAAAATAAAAGTAATATATTTATATATATATTTTATCAGTCCATCGGTTACAACAATCAAAAAAAGCTTTTGAAACAGTTGCGGGTCCGTTATAATATATTTACAAAAACTGTCTGTACGTGATCGTATGATAATGAGAAACACATGATCAACGCAAGTTATAATACGATACCGCGTATAGTATATGGACGTAAAAAAAGTTTTGTTGAGCGTTGGATATGTATTAATAAATTATAATATTCATACCGGGTTTTGCAACGTCGACAGCTGCTTCACTACGCCGGAACCCAACTGCTGTAGAATGCCAGTGCTGGAATTCTGCGAACACGTGCTCTGCCTTCTGGACCGGATGCTGTTCATACTGGAGCTGAGTAAGTATGGTACACTGCTGCTAGTGTTGGGCATGCTACCTCCCTTCAAAAGTTCAAAGACAGGTTCGTTTATTACGACTTAATAAGTGTATAATCGACATCACCGTTCATGAAGTGAAGGGTTCGGAAGTTATATGAGTAGCATATTGTTTTATATGTTTACAATGTATAGCAGACAAAGCTAGAAATCCGAGTTATACAAAGGTTATTTTAAAAATCGAAAATTAAACTTCCATATTTTGCATATTTAGTCAATTGTAATGAAAAATTGCATGTTTATTGATTTTCATACTTACATTATACATATTTAATAATTTGTAAAAAAAAAAATTTTTTCTTTCTGATATTGTATAAGGCTTACAAGATTTAAACCTTTAACCGGTCATCGAAAGAAGTTTTTTTCGGTATAAAAATATATCGGATAATAGTCTGTCAATCGAAATTTAAAATCTTAAGGAAGTATTGGTGGTTCAATGTAATAATTTAAAAGGCATAATAAAACATGTATTTTTTTCGTTTTTGAAAAAATACCGAAAAAATATTTATTAATTACATTTTCAGTTTAATAAGATGTCAAAATGCCAACTGGTTATTTTTCAATTAAAAATAATTTTTGTATATATGAATAATTTATTAACAAAATTACATCAGATGTATTTTTTTTGGAATTCTATATAAATTTGCATATTTGGTTTTTTTTAGATCTTACAACTTCTGAGCCCTACTCATCACACATAAACATCTATTGTACTGTATATACTGTAGGTATATGATATTATATAATGTATAATGCGTATTGAACATTACATTCAAGTGATTCTTACTCTTCGATTGAGAATATTATACTGGTCTTGATAATAAAGGCTGTATAACACATGATGGGCAGAGAGAAATTTACCACGTATTTAGTGAATTATAATTATTATGTTTTCTTCGAAAATATTCTATGCTTTGGTTTCTTCAATTTAATTCATAAAAATTTGTGTTTTTTAGTGTTTAATAATTAATAATATACAATATTTTTTAATGGAGCATTCGAGTTGGGTCCCGAGTACTAGGGGCTAATCGAAGGTAGTGTACTAGTTGGATTTCGGATTTCGGATTTTTATAGGTACTACACTAGTTAGGTCCTGAATAGTTTTAGGTATCTCACTAGTTCCTGAATATTTTTCGTTAAGCACTGCATTATACTAACATTTTCCTTCACATTTTAACAGACTTAGGACTGTTTATAATCTATTTAGACCACAGGTATGGTTAAACATGTTTTTAATCATTTTTTTTTGTTTTTTAGTTTCTTTTCCATTAAAATATAAATTATTAAAATTGAGTCGGTAAAAATACTAAAAATGTTAAAATCATTATGTAGTATAAATAAAAATTAATGGAAAAGAAAGTAAAAAACAAAAAAAAAACTATAAAACCATTTTTAACCATATCTGTGGTCTAAATAGATCATAGACAGTCCTAAGTATGTTGAAATGTGAAGGAAAATGTTATTACAATATAGAACTAATCAAAAAATATTCAGGAACTAGTGTAGTACTTATAAAAATCCGGGACCTAACTAGTGTAGTACCTAAAATAATTCGGGACTCAACTAGTGTAGTCATTTTAAATTCGGGACCCAATTCGGATGCAGCTGTTTTTGATATAGTTATGATGAGATTTTATTAGGTAAAATGTTTATAACAATTTCAATAGACGCATTGTTTATTCACATCGTACATACCACATATACATAATACAGAGACAAATATATTGAGATTTATAGGACATAAGGGGTACGTGGTTAATTTGTTAACGTTGTTTATTTCTGGTGAAATGTTGTTTACTTTTTAAAAAAAAACTGCATAGACGTTTATTGTTAGATAAAAAAACAATTCACCGATACAAGAATAAAAATAATTAAACTAAATAAATACTTTAATTGTTTTTATACATAAAAATTAATAAACTAATTAAATACTCTATTAATTTTTATGACGTTATGTTTTTTTTTTTTTTTTTATTGAATAAATATTTTAATTATTTTAATTTTATATTTTTAATTCAATTTATGGTAAAACGAAAGAATATTACATAGCGGTAACTGTAATATAAAATACGGTAGGAAGATAATTATAATTATTATTGATGGTTGTTCGAAGGTATAAAAATTGCAAAAAAATAATTGTAATTAATTAACAAGAGCAAATAATTTTAAAACGAATATGACAGGAAATTTAGAATTATATAAAATGTATTTAATATTTGAATCCTATTAAAACTTTATAGTTTATTTTATTATCTAATCAAAGTTATAATAATTATAAAACATCTTAATTTTACTTGGTCTTTACTTATTTGTTAATACTATCTACAACAAAAAGCTCCCATCTGATAGTTAATTAAATTTTTATAAAATTATATCTAAAGGAAAGGAAAATAATGTACAAGTTTTTAAGTTACGGTAACATACACGTTACGAAATTTCTTTAAGATTAAAAATGTTGATATAATTTGTGAATGAATTTTCGGTAATTCGTAAAATGAAACAGTGTGTTATTATTTTTAAAAGGCTTAGTACAAATATATAAATTTTGTTTGTTTATGTCAGAGGTTCTCAATCTTTTTTGACTCACGGCACCCTATAGCCTATGCCCTATACTCTATAGCAGTGGTGGCCAAACTACGGCCCGCGGGCCAAATCCGGCCCGCCATCATTTAATATCTGGCCCGCGAAAGTCTTCTATATTACAGCACTTATTTGTATAACTGTAATATTTTGCATTTACGTAAAAAAAATTTAGAATGCATTTTTTTATGGCCCGTGATAAAAAAAAAGTTGTTTTTTATGGCCCGAGGAAAATAAAGTTTGGCCACCATTACTCTATAGTTTATACTGAATGCGCAATACTAATATATCGTATACTTAAATTTATATTTTGTAACTTCGGTTGGTTTTATTTAGCATTAATAAACAATAAAGATAAGATAAAATCACAAGTATTTCACTATGTGTTAATAATTAATTAATTGAATTATATTGTATATACCTCATTAATTATACACAATAGGTTTTATACTATAGACATAGAGTATAGTCTGTTTTATTACTCACAGTGCTATATTTTTCATGAAGGCGTTTAAAAATAAATATATATTTCAAATATTTTTGCGGCATCCTAAATTTTATCTCGCGGTACCCTAGGGTGCCACGGCACACTGGTTGGGAACCTTTGATTTATGTAATTGAAATCACTGCCCGTTGAAATCGTTATATTTTTCAGACAAATTTATTTGTGAAGTTAATAATTAATATTTAACATATTAGACAAATTAGTTATGGAGGAGGGAAGAGGAACGATTCTATAATATTGTCAGTGATTTTTAGTTATTATTAATATATAATATATGATAAGCTTGGCAATTTAGTTAACTACATCAAGTAAATACTTTATAAAATACTCTTCATTATTAAGTTCTCTGCTTTATAGTCGAAATTAATTTGAAGTACAATAATAAACAATTAATATAATATTACCTATGTCATCTATAAATTTTTTATTTCACGTTGCACTAACCAAATGGGCATAGGATTGCTATAAATGATTTACAAGTGATTTTTTAAATTTATTGAAATATATTTATTAGTATTAATGTATTAATATATTGGGTTAATATTATGCGCTTATAGTAGTTTTAGATGTTCCCTATCCTACATTATATTTTTTTTAGAAGGTCGTTAAAATAATCAAAAAAATTGATAAACTACAATAATTATTCTACAATCAAATATTTATATTTTTTGCTTATATTTTTAAAACATTTTTAATACCTTATCTATATTATCTATATAAAACTTAATTTAGTTTGTATATTATTTATAATCATATGTATTGTTAGCTATGTACCATATTACATTTTTCAATTAAGTTGATGATTACGGACAGAATATGCAAAGTACACTGCCTAATTCAAAACATTATATAATATTTACTGGTAATTTCGTTTGGTTAATGATTTAATAATGATTTTTTGATTGTATATTAAAAAGCCTAACAAAATTGAAAACATTGCCTACATAAAAGTAAGGGTTATTAATAATAACATTGTATATTATTGTATTTTTTAAAAGAAATGCAACTTAAAATGTTTATGAAAATAAAATTAATGGTACACAGAAATTGCATGAAGTATATTTAAATATTAAGCGTGTTTGCATATCGTAATAGTTTTCCATAAAATTAGTTTTACTGTCAAAAAGAAAAGAAATTACAATATTAATTATATTTAACCTAATCGATGAACGAATTATTCAATAAATAAAAGATGATTTGAATGAATATGACTCAAAAAATATTCCATTACGACTAAATCGAAGTCATACTTACTAAAGGAAAATATACCATTTACGCATTTTTAAAGCAGATAAATTTATTCAATGAAGCATTTAATAATTATCTTAATGGAAAATCAACTTAATAATACTCACAATCATGCTCCGTGCAAGCTGCATTCCGCGTAAGTTGCAATAAAACAATAAAACAAAACATAATAAAAAATAACTCAAAATGTTAATTGATTATAACTTAAAAAGCATCATTAATAATAATATTATGATTATTAGTTGTCTGTTATAAACTATAATAATCTAATACTGTATAAGCACGGCATTTCGTACCGGCAATAATTATATATTGTTATGTATTTTTATAAACGTTGTTATGTTAAGTCAGCGCGAACTATATTTTGGTGATAAGAAATTAAAATATTAGCGAAAACAGTTTGACAAAATATTATAAAAGATAATTTTTATACTTATTTACAAATTAGTGTATCAGAAATGAAAATAGATAAACAATTGGTATGAATACGTGAAAGTCTGAGTAAAGAGTGTTTAAAAATTATTTTAAGGTATACTGTGTTCGGAGGTGAATTTTAATATTTAAAATTTATTTAACTTAAATTTAAATTAAGTTAAATAAAACACAATATCAGTGTTTATGTAGGAAGTATTGAATACATAATTTACCAGAGATAAAGTAATATAATAAAGGGTTAGAAAACCACTACAATATTATATAAAAAATAATCAAATGAACAGCGCATTTGTTTGTTAAATTATTCGCTGAAATAAATTGAAAATTTATATTTTTATTTTAACGAAAATAAGCATATTATATTTTTAACGAAGTTTTAAGTTCGATTTTTTATTTTATACGTGAAAATGCCGAGTTAATTTTTTCAATCATTATGAATTATAGAGATGTTTAATTACTGTTATTTCAAGTTATCATGAACTAGACATTTTTCAGTGATTCGTCGTTGGTAAATATATATATATATATATTTTAAAATAACTAATTCAGTGAATAATTAAAGTATAAATAAATAAATAAATAAATCTTAGCCTGGATTATTATTGTCCAATATTATAATTATAATGTACGATCGGTTCCGAATTAAAAATTCATCATACTGTTATTTATATACATATTAATTTACTAGTTTACTAATTTGTATTTTATTTTTATCATATTATTAATAATTAAAAAGTGATTCTGGACGTAAGGAAATATTTTGGAAAACCACGTATATATATATGTGTGTGTAAAAGTAAAACTATTTTTGAAATAAATACAAACAGTAATTTACTTATTTAAATTTAAATACAATTTCCTAGTACAATTAATTAAAAGTTTTTTAATGACAATAAAATTAGTCTTTTGAATTAGTATAACAAAAATCTCTTAAAATGTTCATTCTTAATGACTTCTTTTAGTACAAAATAATATCAAATTTTAAAAAGAAAATGATTTTTAGATTTTGAATGAAGCGTAAAATATATTAGTTTTACAATGATGTGCCTTTATTATTTTTTTATTTTTTGTTTCTGTTAACATGATTTCGATCAGAAGGACTGGTCCGATCATCAAATGGTTTGGTTTCTGAAATAAAAATGTTGTCAAGTTTGTACTTTCTGAAGGTTATTTTTTAATTTAATGTTTTCCTAATAATTGGACCCAAAAAAACTATGAATAAATAAAACTAACAAAATATACGTGATGTGATATTTAAAATATTTTCTACAAATAAATATTTTTTAACTTAGTCTAAAAAATTCGAAAAATTGAAAAAATGTATATTTTGAAATTCCGTAATCGCTCCTATTTTTGTGAGCGTTTGAGTTTAAAATTTTAAAAATATTCAATAAAATTATAAAAACCCATAACATTTTTGAAGTTTCAATTTTAATACTTCTAACTTGAAAATTGTACACAAGATTTTTCATAAATTATCATTTGTAATTCGTATTATTGTAGTCGATAAAAAAATAGTTATATTTTGCCCCTGATTGTTAGTTTAAATATTATAAGTATTTTAACGTTGTTATAAAACTTAACACTAATGCACGGTAAAAGCATCATAAGAATTAAGTGAAATAGTATAATATAATATAATAATAAAAATAATTAGTATGTATTGTTTGCATTTATTTTGATAGTTTAGTTTGTGATTCTTGATTTGTAATTTATTCTGTACAGATATAACAATGAAGCTCATAATTTATAATCATGTAGAATGACATATGACAGGATTTTAAAATAAAATAACGCTGATAAAATTTATTTATTTTTGTTGCACTATTACTATTACAAAAATATGTTTATAAATTACAAACTTAAAATTTATTGACCACATTACATTGATTCAAATAATTATTTTTTTCCCTAAAAAAAGTTTTTCAAAAAATTATTTTGCCACAAATGGCCTCCTTTGTATTTCATTTGGTGCTGATTAAAAATTAATTATTTTGCATGCACATAAAAAATGTATGGGAAAATTAAGTATTCTGAGTATATAGATGAGTTTTATTTGTATATAATACGAATTAAATATATTCCGAGTTATTAAGATTAATTTTACTGAAAAATGTAACACTGTATAATTTGATATATAATATTAAATGTATTATAATTATTAATTAACAGTCATAAGTATAATTGTAAAAACTAAAGTATAGTTCTGGTAATTAATTTTAAAATTTGAGAAACTAATATAATATATATATAATTAACAGTTGGAAATAAGCATATTTATTTATCGAACACTTATTTCGAACAAAAGTATAACTGACTTTCTAATTGAAGTAATAATAATGAAAAATAAAATAGTTATAACACTCATAAAATAAATAACTAGTTTTATAATGTCAAATAAATGTGCTATAAAAATATATTATTTTTTATAAAATTGTAAATACAACACTATGTTTGTGGTTTATTTCTTAAACGGTAGAACGGGGAAATAAGGTAATATTTATATTACATTTTAATGAATATGAAATCTGTTGTTTAAAGATTGATTTATGTTAATCCTTACGTTTTTATGTTATTTAATTACGACAAAAACAACCTGTAACGCTGCAAGTCATGTATCAGTTTTTTGATTGTCTTGATTAAATTGCTAATATACATACTTGTATATAATGCATGTACTTGTAGGTAAATATATTTATAAATATGTAGTTTTAACAATTCAGTCTAGTTTGTATGATTTATAAGCTCGTATTTTTACTGTCGATTCATATCATGGATAAATTAATAAATATAACACTTAATGATTAAGGTTTTAATTTTGAAAAGCTTCCTTTTTTCTTTAGTTAATTAGATATTAATTTAGGTTTTCTTAAATTTTTAGTTTTATTACATTTTTATAGAAAAATAATATAAATAATAAATTCATGAAAGTATGTAGAAAGAGTTAAGGTGATGTTAATTTTTGTTCATACGACCAAAAATATCTATAATAGTTTAATAACGTATACTATAGTTAAACTTTTTATAGTTTTCAATAAAAATACATTATTTTGTTTTGCGAGTAAATTTAAGTTGTAAACTTAATTTCAATATTTGTGTCAGATATAAATTATAGATTCAGCTTTAATTATTATTAAAATATTCCATATTCATCAATAATTATTGCATTTTTATTTTTATCAGATGTATTATTAGATAAATACAGCAAATGTTGAATGAATATATTTTGGTAATTTAGTATTTGGATACTTTTATTGTTACGAAGATTATAATTAATACATATTGTATATTTAAATAACAATGCTTGTTGTACAATATATAAGTATTGAAATATGTAGGTACAACAATCAGTGTGAAAATCACTTATGTATAATATAAAAACAATAAAAAATATTGTCATATATGTGCGCAGACTTGTCTCAGAGGAGTCTACAATACTTTTGGGTCCTATCTTAACAAAACGTGTCGGTATATTTTATAAATTATACTATATAGGTACACAATTGAATAAACATATCTTAAATTGGTTATTTAATATCGTGGTAATTAGTCCTCCAATGAATATGTTTTTCTCGAATCTCGTATATTTTTCTCAGACAGCTTCGATTATTTATAATATGTATTTTTGTAGTTAATCGTACCTGTTATGTCATCATAATACATTTTTGCATGAAGATTTAGAATATTCAGTTTTATTTTTTCTATTACGAAACGTCATTTATTTTTTACTAAATATTTTAGGATAAATATAATTTCATTTGAACAACAACATTTCAAATATGGTCCTATATTTTCGAATATATTTTTAAAATACGATTTCTCATTTATAATTTAAATTTTTTTATTATTTTCTTACGAAAACATTGAATGTCATATAATTTTTTTTTGATGTACTTTGAATTTTATTGGAAATTACGATTTTTTACTTTGTACATATAACTGGCCACAAAAAGCAGTATATATAATAAAATAAATATAATTTACTTCGAAATAAAAAATATAAAACAAAAAACACTCTTGTAAAAGAGGTACAGTGTATATATACGTTCTTATTAACGATAAATTCTAACTAACGTCAAAAGCGAAAAAACAACAGAAAAATATTCAAAGATAAAATAAACGATTCATTATAGTTTGAAAGTGAATGGTGTGGCATATCAAAAATGTGTTTGGATCAAATCATTATTATGCATATATGCATATATGCATATGCAATAAAAAAAAATATTATAATACTAGCATATTATCTCTATCAATAAGCGAAAAATGGCAGATGATGTATATGATGATAAAAAGGTAATTTAATTGACGATGGTCAATTTGTCAAAATTGTCGACTAAAAATGCTGCTAAATTGAGATCAATCTAAATTACCTAACAAGTATAATTTTTGATTTAATGAGATAATGCATAAAATGATTGAAAAAGGACTCAAGTAGTACACGAATAATATTAGCTGAAGCACAATAAATTATCATAAATTCAATTTTACTATGAATCGATATAAAAAGAATAAAATAAAAAATAATTAATCATACCGAATTTTCTATGGAATAGAGTACATTTTTATTGCTTACTATTATTCAATTTTTTTAAGCGGTACCGATTATGTTGTGAAAAACATGAATTAAGAAATTAAAATTCAGACTAAACGAACATGAGTACTCGTTTTCGTTTTATACTTATTGAATATATTAATATTTATATCATCTGCCATTTATCTCATTATTTATAATATATCTTAAGATATATTATCATTCTTATATTCTTAAAAAAAAAAAAAATAGTTAAAATAAACTCAAATAATAATTGAAAAAAAAAGTAACATGTAATATCATTATTGTAATAATAATAATAACAAATAATAAAAATAATAGTTAAAATTAAAATAATAATATTATTTATGTAATCATGCTGAGCGAACGCATATTCGCCATAACATAGGCCTGGCGTTAAAAATAAAGTACAAGGACAGCGGACACCGTTTTATGCAACATTCAGCTTTCTCATTCGCTAGGTACTCATGACTTACATACGTCGATGATGGCACCGACAGTGTGAACCCGTCATGGCCGTTAATCGGTCTGAAGAACTGATAGCCCTGCGCAAAAAATCAATTTAAAAGCTCCGGACACACATCGCACCCAAAGCGTCATTGTAAAACAAAACACATATAGTAGAACACGTGGAAGTATTGTCATAGTATACCGTAAAAGCGTTGTCAGTAATATGAGTATGTTATAGTATTCAGTAGTTTATGTTGTTCATCAACGCACACGATGTGGAGACGAAAATACTTTTGGGGAAGAGAGGGTAATCAAAGTGACTCGCAGCGTTATCGGTTTATATTGTGTAATATTAAACATTTGTTCTAATATGATAATAATAATAATATAGAGTATCCCGGGAAAATATGTATTAGAATGTTGATAGCGGAGGGATGCAAGGAAGCTATTTTCTATCCTCCATTTGAAAAAAAAAACCTCGTCATGTTTTTGGGACACTCTGTATAAGTTCACAGAAATATCACATACATATTATTATTTTCTTTCTCGACTTTAGAGACTCGACGTTGTAGCAAAGTGACGAGACGAATAGCGAATCGCACAAAAATCGGAATAAAATAAATATAATGATAAAAAACACAATGTAATATATATATATATATATATATATATGACTATCACATATTATATGGCAATAGTACTGTACAACATAAAAAAAAAGAAAAAAAGCGTTGCGCGTGCGCGTGTGTGTGTGTATGTGTATGCGCGCATGTGTGTGTGTGTGTACGTGTGTTTATGCGTAGTTATCGTGTGAATTACCGATGGCGGCGACAGGTTGATGGTGGATCCACGCCTTTCGACGTTCGAATGTCTCCGGATGGGTAGGCCCGTGCCGACGGGTGTGCTGCCTGGCGAAGAAGCGCACGAAGGTGCGACGCGAATTTTCGGCGTGTTCAACATGTTGTCGGATAGCCGGCGATTTGGGAACGAACTGACCACACGCAAAAAATTGCTATCCGAACCGGAAGGTGAACCGCCGAACCACCAGCTACCTGTTTGATGCAATATGACCCATACATTATTATTATTATTTTAATTATGTATTATTTTTTATATTTCAACGAAAATCTATAGTATAGGTGTATTGGATTCGGTCGGTTTAGTTAATGTACTCGTATGTTTCAAACGTTTATTCGATACCGTTTATCCCAGAAAACACATGTAACTTCTATCTTGAGAGTGCCTTATTGGTCGAATAAAAAATTATTCGTATATTTTTTTATCCGAATAATTTTAGATCATAATATTATTCATATTACAATAATATAAAATTATTATTTAAAAAAATATATCTAATTCTTCACTTTCTTCTATTGATCTATATTTGTTTTATGTATAATATTTTTACATTTTTCCGAATAAAATAAGATTAATATCATGTAATTTAAAGTGCAATGCCAACTATTATTTATAAATTATAATATGAGCCTGTTTTAAATTAACCTTTATGTGACTGAGACAAAAAACATCTTTTTATGACGGTCTAGGTACCTATAATATTATTAGCTGTTTTTACGATAAATTATTTCGCTGTCGTGAATTTATCGGTATTATATTTTACAATATATTGTTTGAATTATAAATAAACATTTTATGATATACCATTTTTATCAAACACTTTATAATAATAGTTTTTCTATGATCGTCATTTTAGTATATCGAAATTGACGTGCACACATAACAACTGTTAATTTAATTTTTATTCAAACTCGTGTCTACAACAAAAGTATTCGTGTTTTTTTATACTTTATTAGTGAACTATACGAAATAATATGTACTGATTGTCAGGCTAATAATCAACGTCGTTCGGCAAGACTACGGAGATCTAGGTAAGTTTTAATAATATTTAGAAACATTCTCAAACATGTAACGAACAAATATACATTTTAGAAAATTTAAAATATTATCTAATTGTTTTATATTATTTTACACCTAATTCAGTTTTATTATTTTGTTAGAAATGTTAAAAAATTCCTATAATTAGTTCGACAGAAATACATTGGGTAATACAAAATAAATACATAATATATATTGATATGAATAATTATAATTCTAAAATATCATAATATGCACATTATACTATTACTACTTATATGCTATAATGCACAGTAAATGTTTTATATTTTTCTAAGATTACCTACTGATTAAATAAGAGAAGTATTGTCGGAATCTCATTCTGAAGCTGAAATTTATCATGCATCTGATGAAGACAATTATCCCGAACTAGTAGCTATTGAAAATGAAAAATCAGATACAGATATAGAGCATGTTATCAATCACGATGAAGAATTTGATTCAGATGAGAGCAACGAAGATGAATCTATAGATATTATGTCTAGAACTGGTAAAGATGATACACAGTACATGCATCATTTCCTCAAGCTCAAACAAGTTCTCCTACTATTTTGCGCCAAAAACCTGGACCATCAAGTTCCACTGCATTATTTACAGCAAAATAGATATTCAAATTTATTATGATAAAATAAAAATGTGATATAATCTTGAGAGAAACCAAAAGAAAAGGACGACAAGTTACATAAGATTACAACAAAAAACTAACGGACAAATTTCCATTAATTAATTGACCATCAACAAAAAAATTAAACCATTTACTGAAGAAAAATTTGATGCATTCTTAGAAATCCTTCTTGTATCTGGTGTAAATCGATCTAATAAAGAACGCATATCAGAAATGTGGAAATTCGACTCGTTACCTCTTATTTGTGCTTCTATGCCTCGAGATCGATTTAAAATATTGCTAAGGTCCATTCGTTTTGATAATGTTTACACGTGTAATATACGTATAACTACTGACAAAGTTGCGCCAATTCGTGATATTTGGACAATGCTCAATCATAACTTACAAAAAAACTATAAACCTTACAGAAAATATTACAGTAGATGAATAACTATTTCCTTATAGAGGACATACAAAATGTACACAGTACATTCCATCGAAACCTGCAAAATACGGAATAAAAATTTTCTGGGCTTGCGATGCAGCAAACGTATACCTTCTGCAAGATAAAATATACACGGGTAAACCGCAAGATGGTGAACGTCAAGTGAATATAGGTGAAATAATAATTCTGGACTTAGTTGCTACGTATAAAGGTTCTGGACAAAATGTGACAACAGACAACTTTTTTACAAGTATGCATCTGGCTACCACATTAAATTCTTGGAATATGACTTTGGTAGGCACTGTCAGAAAAAATAAAATATTTTTATTTCCCAACATGCAACCGTCGAAAGAGAGAGTCATAAATTCTATAAACTTTGCATTTAGAAAATATGCTACTCTTTGCTCATATGTTTCAAAAAAAAAACAAATCAGCTATCCATTTATCTACAATGCATATGACAGATGACGTAGAACAAACTGCTACCGTCAAGCCAGAAATTATAAAATATTATAATCAAACAAAAGGTGGTGTAGATATAATGGATAAAATGTTATCAGAGTATAAAGTGAAGCGTAGAACTAACGATGGCCACTAGCTTTTTTTTTAACATGATTGATATTGCTGCTTTATCTGCATATATTATATACACAGAACACAATCAAAGACTTCACTCAACTGACCGGCGCCGAACATTTTTGAGAGTTTGCAAATCAGTTATGTATGCTTGTAATAGAAATTCGTACTTCCACACCAAAAGTAGTAGGAAATAATTTTGCCCGTAGTTCAATGGAAATGGTTCTTGGGTGGCCAATACATCAAGTTATTGCTATTACTAATGATTTTCTACCTCGTCATGCTTCTTTAGTCATGTATTCAAATAGTTGGAAGCTGCCAGGTATGCCGAGAATTGAATCATAAACAATGGAAAACTCGAAAAGCTTGTTCTACTTGCTCAAAGCCAGTCTGCAATGAACACTCAATAAACAAAGTAGTTTGCGAAAAATGTAATCAATAAGCAAAATTAATGTAATAGTATCTAATAATTATGTAAATATTTTTATTCTGTTTGTAAGTAAAGTAAAAAGTTAAAATTAAATAAAATAAAAATGATAATCAAATAAAATAAAACTTTTTATTTATTTAAATTAAATCTTTATTTGTATAAAATACATAGATGTACTCGGGTACCTATTCACGTCCTTAAAATGTATAAAAAGTAAGAATTTTTTTGAAGTTCAATCATTAAACATTTTTCAATTAAAAAATATAATTTTGTAAAATATATATACTATTGAAAGATGTCACGGAATTACAAAACTTGCATACTAAAAATTGAAGAGAAAAATTAATTTAAAAACTAAAAAGTTACCTGGGTACCTTTCCAGTCACATAAAGGTTATAAGAACCCTATGTTTACTTAAAAAAAATTAATAAAAGTTATTCGAATAACTATGTTTGAAAGTTATTCAAATAATTGTGAAAAAATCACCCGAATAATAATTTATTCCAATAAAATGTTATCTAAATAACCATCTAAATAACATTTCATTTGAATAACGCCATACACCATTGCTCAAGACGTTCCTATTATAAAAATGAATGTACACAACGTTCCAACTGTTGAATTTTTGTTGCGATTATGTTTTTGATCATATGAAGTTGGTGAGCATTACTTTATTAATTAACTTATTTTTTTTGCTTCAAACTGAATTCAACATTGAACTTTAGCCATCGCGGTTCCATCAATACTTAACAGTCATCGGATAAATATTTTTAATAGAATTAGAGCTGGAAATAAATGTTGATCAAAATAATACGTGTATTAAATTTCCAGTTTTAAAATAATAACCAATTAATGTTGATCAACAGATTGAAGGCAAAAAAACGTTACTTTAATGAAACGTGGAAATGGACTCGTTTTGTTCTTTAATAAATTATAGAACACGAACAAAAAGTTTTTAAGCTGGAAGAATACAAACATAAACAAATTAGTTTTTAAAAGGAATTTTTCATAGTATCTAATATAATTATAGCTTAAATGTATCACACTATAATGTTTTTAGAAACCATAGTTAAAAGTTTAAACTAAATAATTAAATTGTAATTATTAATACTACTGTATTTAACTTTAAAAATAAATAATTATAATAAAAAAAAAAAATCAACCGATTACAAAATTGTAATAACATATAATTAAAAAGTTATTATTTGATATATCATTTGAATGTCATAATGGATTATCTACATGAATAAATGACTGTTTTATTTGGATAATAATTTGTTTAAATTTTTTTTCTTAACTTTGGGAAAATGTATTGACGATAAATTATGATAATAATAATAATTAATAAATAACTAATTTTTATTAATATACCACTAACCTGCTGAATTTTTTCTAACCATATCTTCAGCACTCGACGTCTTGCGCTGTTCAATTTTTAAATTTGGTATATTAAAATTTTGTGCATGCATATTGTCTGAACTGTACAAATGTCTTAATGGCCTGTGTCTATCCGGACTCTGCATTGATATTGTATCCAATTTCAATTTATTTCTTTGATTTCTAAAAATTAAAATATTAACTTTTTAGTTATAACTTTTATTTATATTTATTAAGTCTGGTACATACATTTTAATATTTTCCTATCGTGTAAAAACAAATATCTATAAATGTTAATTGTTATTGATTATTTTAACGTTACATATTTTTTAATATTTACGGGGATTTTTACTTGAAAAGGAACTTTTATTTTTTATTTCATCTGAATATATAAAAGTATTTGAAAAAAATGTATTGTTTAATTACTTCAGTTGTAGGTTTATTAATAATAATATTAATCGTCATATTTTTATTTTCGAAAATGATTTTGGTAGAAAAAGTAAATTAATTAAAATACAATTTTTTTGGTATTTTGACTATTATAAAAACCTCCAAGTGTACATATAAAATTAAGAAAAATAAGACCTTAATCACTAATTTAAAAACCTTTTAACTATATTATAAATATATATAGTTTTTCATGAGTTTTTAGGGCATCAAAGTCTGAGCCATATTTTATATACACAAGTTAATCATCGCGAATATGAAATATTAAAAATGTTTAGTTTCAATGAAGATGTACATATAATTATTAAACTTATTGGATAACTTAATTAGCTTCATTAATAAATTAACTTAATTATTTAACTTATTGGATTCTGAATACATATTTTTTTTATGTTTTAATTTGTTTTATACATTAGAAAAATTTAATTTAAGAATTTCGAGTACGATATTGTATTTTTAAATTGTTAAGTATATTATTACAGAATATTTAATATCATTAATTAATTACCTGTCAATCTGTTCCAGCATGTCTTGTAGGACTTCGATGAGGGTTTGAAATTGTTCTAAATTCAAACCAGGATTCATTGTGTGTGGAATCAATGTTGGCATTATTTTCGTCGCAATCATGTTTACTGATAAACCATACTTTTTGTCGCGTAAAATCATACTGTATATCACTGAAATATTTAAACAGTCTATTGTATTTAATTTAAAATCAATAAATAAAAAAATATTATGTCGATTGATAACATTTTTCCATTTAAATGTGTTATAAATTAAAAATGAAGTTTCTACTAAAGTGTTATACCTTATTTTTATATCCATATCTTAGACGATATAAAACATTACGTTATTGATTCATGTTTCATAATAAAGTTCATAATCGTTTTTATGCGATTATTAATAAGTTTTCTTTATTTATTTATTCAAGTATTATATGGTCGTACGATTCTTATATTGATATTATTTTACATCTTACCCTAATACTTACTAGAGATTATTTGAATCGTGGAAACTCACTGTCTTAGAACTACTAACCTACTAATTTTCAAATTTTTAATACAAACGTATTCATACTTGTAATGTTCGGTTACTATTTATATTCTGATCTAAAGCTCATATTAACATTTTTTTAGCCTTTGTGATGTACCATTTAACAATAACTGTTGTTGTTCGATCATTTACGGTGAATTTATTTATTTATTATGTATTACAAAAATATGGATTACCCTTTTAATATTTAAGCAATAGTACAATAATAATAAATATTATAGTAGGAAATTCTAAATACATTATATATATGTACATAATATATAATATATGATTGTATATATGTTACGGCTAGTGTCCTAAGGTTGGCTAATATTAAGATTAGCCGGCTAATCTTAAGTTTAGACAATGCTTTTGGCTAATATCAAAATTTTGGACTTCAGCCAACAAAAACAAATGGATAATTTTAACACTAGCCAATAAAACCAACATTATCCAACCGTTATCGGCTAATGACTAAATAACATTAGCCATAGATAAATTAAAAATTTAAAACTATTTACAATAATAATACAATATTTTTAAATTGTAATTTTTAATGAATATTGATATGTTGGGTAGTTGTATAGAGATAAGCCATGCACGTGGTAAGTAAAATATTTTCAATAATATAAATATTGTACACAGTTGTGTGCATTTTAATATTATTTTAAATTGATATTGCTTGCAAATTGATATGCATGCGGTTGCATACAATATTGTGTGCTCAATAGAGACAGTCCGTAATAACAGGGGGTGGACACAATACGGCGGCAACGAAATCAGCGGCCATTTTAATTGAGGTAATTTTGTTAAGAATATTACTAACGTTTCATGATGGAATAAAATGTTACTAACTTCCTACTGTACCTCAAATAAAATGGCTGACTGATTTCATTATTGTCCTATGCTGCCCATGTAATTTTTTATCAGTGTCCATTATGTTTTATTCTGTGGTAATAATCTACCATAATTACCGACTCAAATTTGTAAGTAGTTAAGATACCAGCTTGTAGTACTTTGTAGGTATGTCTTGTTTTCAAGCCTGGGAGTTAATAAGTTAAAAGTTAAGTTAAATTAACTTATTAACTTAACTTATTTCCTTACAAATTAACTTGAAATTAACGTATTATTTTTTCGTTTATCTCAATTAAGTTAATTTTGATTTTCAAGACCATAAAAATATTTTTGTAAAATACCGCATTCGATAATAAGTTCATGGAATTTAAAAAAATATAAAAATAAAAATTTCGAAGAATTTTTAGATTAGACCATAGTATACATCAAGGTATTAACTATTGATAGGGGTCTGACCGTTCTCGGGAAAAGTATTCAACCGTCTTCAGACTATTGAGTAAAAATAGTCATGCCATCCATGAATTACATTATTATTGTCATGAAAAGTAACCGTAAATCTATATAATAAAAATAGGTACATATTATCATTGACTAAATGATTCTTAATAATAATTCTACTCTATTATTATTAAAATTATTCCTTAATCTATGATATTATTAAATATTATTGAATAACAGAAGAAATTAAAGAATTTTTTTATGATTTAAACCGTTTAATTATTTGTATGGATAATGTTACTTAGACATTAGCCTTATGCATCTGGATAATGTTAAATATTGGTGGATAAAGTCCAAAATTTAGATATTATCCAAACGCAGTGACTAATCTTGAGTTTAGCCATACTCCTAACATTAGCCGTAACACATATACACATTATAATAACAAAAGTACTAACATTTAAACATTAAAATAAACCATTATCAAATGAGGGGTCCCCACATTAGCAAGTCACTTAATACGCCCGTTTAATAGGCTCGTTTTGTAAATTATTTATGTTAGCGCTGGGAGTATAGAAGTTTTTTTTGAAAACAAGATGTATGCAAAGTGACTTAAAAATTTATTTAGGACAGCAAAAATGGTGAATCAATTTGCTTAGTTATTAAATCGTAAATAATTTTTAAGTTTTATATTCTTCTTCGATCAGCAAGAGTAAACAGAGTCAAGTCTATTTACAAATAATGAAAGTAAAATCCGTGATAAATGTCAACTTTGGGGTATCTCAGACGATGCTGGAAAAATTATTTTACACACTTTTGCCTATTGATTAAAAAAGAGTGTAGAGGTTCACCAAAAGCAGACACTTCTAGGACTTTCAATAAAACTTCATGGTTGATAGTATTAAATGTTTTGGCTAAATCATTATAAACAACATAAACTTGAGATCGTTTTTCAAGAGATTCAAACACCAAAGTTACAGATTAACTAAATCGAAATCAGTGTTGTTCTTTAATAACAATATTATTCATTAACGGTTTAATAATGTTTAAGACCAAATATTTAGATTGGACAAATGAAATTATAAAAATAAATATTTGTATTTGTAATATTTTGTAAATATTTGTAAGACTCACATTATAAATATTATACACGTATTTTATGTAAAATTCAAACTTATTCTTATATATATATATATATATATATATGTGTGTGTGTGTGTGTGTGTATATGCAAACTATTCACAATATACTATTAAAATGTATCAATTTTTTTTATTAGTTGGATAGTAAAAAAGGCTATGTTAGTGTATATTTTATTTTGCTAAATCAACTAAAATACTCGAGTATAATAACGGTTTTATAATGGAATCGATATGGGGAAACAAAAGTAAAGAATCATACCAAATACTAAGGACTATGTTAAGCTTTACAAAAATAAGTGCATATTGTTGTAACAATTCTTAGTTGGAAGGGAAAAAATATTTAAATATGTTATAATCTCATTGGATTTCTACGCCAATTTTAAAAAAAAACAAATGAGATAAGTTTTTTAAAAGTTTTTTTTTACCAAACAGTACAATTTAATTATTGAACTTTTGTTTTTATTATTGATTTTACATAAATCAATAAGGTTTTTTTTTTTTTTTTAAAACTTCTAGTGTTCGTGAAAATTTAGATACGAATATGATAGCATTATTTTATTTGAGATTTAACTTTATTATAAACAAATTTATAAAAATATTTAAGTATCTAATTAAAATAATTAAATGCATATCATCATGTAAATATTAAAAATTTAATTATAGAAATCAGATTAATATTTAAAACAATTTTAATTATTTAAATTTATTTTGGCATATCCAGCTGAGGGTATATTATCTGAGATAAAAAATATAAATTAATAATTGTAAAGCTCAAAAAATTTGTGTTTTAACAATGATGGTGGTTAATAAACTAAATATACTCGTATATTTGGTATTATCAAACACATTAGCCATACAAAACATAAGGCAGTTATATTTTTATATGTCTATAACATTTTTATGTTGTAAGATGGTATTGGTTATTGTTATATATTTTAAAAGTTATAATATTCTAAAACGGAAATAATCTGACGTTCGATGGAGAAGTAATCAATTATCACTAGTCCATCAACAAAATTAATGGATTAATAATTGCTCTTGAGGTTTGATATTATTGGCATTATTTCGGTCACATAAGTTTAACTATAGTTAGGGAGCTAACAATAGGATTTTGAATGTCCAAGCTTTGAGATACTTGTAAATTCTGGAAACAGGATTGTGAATTTAAAGTTAAATTTAGTATAACTTTTGACATGATTTCGTACTACGGGTTGACTAAATGATGTTGGCTTACTCGTCTGTGAGGAGACGTTAATTAACTCACAAATTTTGTTGATGTACTCGTAAGTTCTTGTTAATTGTTTGCATAAACTCTTTATCGTTAGCGATGATTAGGTGGGCTATGGATCTGATTATGGACATAGGCCCAATCAATCATTACTATGCAGCATAATTTGTTTCCCCTAAACTATATGTAAAACGTATATTACGTTTGAAAGTAAACAAATCCAAAGTATAATATTATAGTAGTATATCTCCTTAACGATATGTGATGTAAATAATTAAGTTTAATGACCACTATGCTATCTGATTTTAACCATTCGAAATCATTTCAAACAACTTATACCTATCATTATTTTAAGTTGTTGGGAAAAAGGCAAAGGAAAAGAAGAAGAAGAAGGTATTGCACCCCCATATTTTTCGTAACTCAACTGTCAAAACTAATTGTAAATACAAAGTTTATATAAAAAATTAAAAAATAGTGTTTTGAATTAAAATATTATTTTTTTTTATACGTCAAGAGTTTTTTTAAACAAAAATAAATGTTTACAAACATAGTGATTATAAATAACTGTTTTACCTGCTATCCTTGCTATAACTTCGGGATCAGTCTGATTTACTATCCAAAGTAACGGTAATACATCCTCAATGATTTGTTGTTTTTCAAGCCTGTGTAGTATGATTTCCAAACACGCCAATATGTTTAATATTATTTTCAAATCGTTGGGGTTAGTTTCGTACACCATTTTGAGTTTGGGCAGCACCATTCTTCTTATAGCCGTATCATCCATGTATTGAGAGACATTGGTTACAGCTAATACAGCCGTACTCTAGTTAAGAAAAAAATTAATTTACTTCAAGTACAAATAAGTTTATTTAAAAGTCAATATTAGAACTGTTTCATTGTTGGGATTTGTATTTAAGAATAAGTTGTAATACTTTGTATATAGAATTAATTTATACAGAAATTATTTTTAGAGATTTCGAATCTCATAAAATATTTATTATAACATCACACTAAATGCATTTCAAATACATTAATCTAATCATATGCTTGTATTTTACGTAAGTTTTAAGGTATATAGTATTATATAATTTTATGAGTAGTTCCATGATTTTTCATTTTTATTTATAATACGCTTTACTAAGAGTGCAATATGTTTAAATACCAAAGTGTATTCTATAAAAAATATGTATCATAATTAGTGAAATAAAATAAAATTAAAGTACTTAATGCTGTAAAAAAAAAATAGTTGAGAGCTGTATACGAGATTAATTTTAATTTAGTTTTTGAACATATATAAAAAACTATTAAAAAATTAGAACATTAGGCGAAAAATTAGAAAATGGCATATTGTAAAATTATAATTATAATTAAATTAAAATTAATAATTATTTATAAAGTATACGTATTTGTGGTAAACGAATAAGATATTATTTAAAAATTATTTAAATAATTTCGTTGTTTTTGTTTCTAAAAAAGAATAAATAAATTATAAATTATATTGTGATCCCTTATGTACCTAGTACTATAAAAATATAAATATAGTTTAAAATATATTTAATTTTGAATTAAATTAATTTAATTTATATATATTTGATATATTTAATTTAATTATATATTTAATATATTTAATTTAATATTTTCGTGTGATTTATCTAATAGTTATAAAATGTATGATATATGAAATTACAGATTTATTTAATATTTTCTTATAAAAACACGTAGAAGTTCACATAATTGCTTTTAATTTTAACTAATGGATATTTGTCTTTAATGATCTAAGGGCAAATTCAAAGTCAATATTTGTTGACGAAAATTGGGTCAAATTTCAAAGTTATACAATCAGTTTGTACTTCGCATACAGGAAATCAATATTAACGCGTTTGAATTCTTGAAGTATAAACATTTCAAAATTAAAACACGGAAAACTTGATAACGTATAATAATATAATCCTAAAAAGTATTACTTATTAATAATTCTAGTAACTATTACCGACTTCATTTACGTAAAATAAACACTATAACATAGTTATAATAATAACAATATAAAACACATCCAACTCATGTGTCAATTGATTACAATATGAATATTATTTTGATGTTCGATAGTAGTAGTTTATACAAACTACCACTACAATGATGTGTGACTTTTCCTTATACAAGTGAAAATAATGGTAAATTGCAACATGCAATAACAATTCAATAATGTATAATTTAAAAATGTACCTAGGTAGATTAAAACAAATATTTTAATATGCCATTGCGAAAATATAGTAGTTACTTATGGCCAATAAATAATGCACACGAATCGCGTGTGTTTTGTACATAAATTATTCGTTCGAACAACACAATGATAATAGTTTTTACACGAGAAGGAGTGAAAAGACCTAAACATTTATTTTCTTAACAAAACGAATACATTTTACGCCAATAGTAAAATAAAAGATACGAAATTAATATGCATTAGAGGGATATGCATTTGATTATCTACTGAATTGCTTGGTAAATAAACAATTAATAATAACTACAAACCATTTCACAAATTATTTTGTTGTTTTATACGTATATTTATATTTTCAACAAGAAAAACCAAAGTGAGAAAATTTAGCTACTAATCCTACACACTACATATATAAAATTAAAAAATATCAAAATACATTGACTACTTGCTTTATTGAAAAAAATTCACGAAAATTTTTTTTGATTTTTGACTGATTATTCATGCCCAAGCTTAGAAGATGAAATCGGTATTTTTTTTCCAATTGCGAATCATATTCAGTATTGAGTATTGTTCTCTTGCTCTATTTTTTAACTGGCCTACTGTGAAACAACTTCATTTCTCGCATGAAGCTTGGGGAATAATTTATTCAAGTAAAGTTCGTAAACTTCAATACAGAGTAAAGATTTTGTATAAAGCAACAATGTTCTATAATAAATGACGTTTGAAACAATACTTGTTAGAATTGTTCTACCTCATAAAATTATACTCTTTTATTTTATTCTAACCTATATATATATATATATATATATATATATAAATTATAACTAAATTAATATAGTTTTAATTTTTAAAAATTATTGAAAAAATTGTATTGATTCACTATTCTAAAATTATGTTGATTTAAAGTCTCAGTAGTTATAACTAAGATATGTTTAGTAATAACGGATTTGATTTTAAAATCGAAGTATAATTTTAATATTTTTTTATTTGTAGTTTTAGAATAAATACAGTTCAGTAGGTACCTAAACATTTTCTCAAGTTTTATCTTAAAATTAGTTTTTTTAAGTCAAAATTTCGATAATTAATATATTTTAAAATCATACATTAAAACAATTATTTTATTAAAATTTATGATTTCAAGTTTAATAAATTAAATATTAACAAAAACACCATTCCATGAATTCGAATTGTAAGTTTTAAACCTCTAATAATTATGATATCATATTATTTTTTTTGTCGTATGAGTTTAATTATATTTCTTGAATGTAGCTATTGGAATTAACCATAAAAATGTGATCTATAGTTTTTACAATAGGCTGTAATAACAATAAATTCAAAAAGATACAAAATGCACTACTTAAATGCGAAAATATTTGAATGTTATTTCATTGAACATGTGTCATATATTTTTGGTAAACATTATATTTATAGGTATTGTATTCTGTGATAGTAAAATGATTCTAAAATTCTATAATTATTATCAATTTATTTTAATTGTTTTCCAATATTTAATAAAAGGGATCACAGTTATTTTATTTACCTAACATTTTGATTATAAATAAATTATTAATTGTAAACTTTTTAAATATTAACAATTTTATACTGATCAATAGTTAAAAAAATAAGCTATGCTTTATATATATTTTTTTAATCTGAACCATAAGGACAATGGGAAACAATTTAATAAATTAGAATTTTAGTTGAATAATTAGTCAAAACAAAATATAAAAATCAATGGATAGCACTTATCGATTAGACATGTAGTTACAGTTCACTTGTAAATACATGTGTGTCAGAGTACTATTTTGGCAGGAGCATTGGGGAATAAACATACTTTTGGCAATTAATTAAATTACAGAGTCGAGTAATAGAATGATTTATCAAAACAATCAATTATATAGATTTTAACGGAATAATATAAATAATTTAAAAATAATAAATTAAACTATTTATTTTAATATTGAATACCGATTGAAATACGAACGCGAACAATTCTCAGTACAAGCTTTAAACGTTTATGATGAGTAATTTAATCCTGGGTTTATAATAGAAATAATTAATAAAAAATGGAAGTATTTTATTTTTTATACAAATCAGAATGACTAATAACTTGAATATTTTACTATTATATATCAATATATTACAATTTTTACAAATTGGTTTATGAATAACGAATAAATAATTTAAAAATTAATCTCACTTACGTTAGAGTAAATTGAAAGTAATTAATAGAAACTTATTCGTATGGATAATTTTTATTTTTATTTAATAAAAATAATAACGTAACATTCAAAAAAATGTTAGTTAGATATCTAAAAATTAATTTTATTTCAACTGTCTAACTTAACTAGTTTATTTAATAATTTATTTAATAACTAACTAATGAGCTAATTCGATTTTTCAGTAAATAATTTCATAAAAGAACTAGTTAAGTGAAAATTAAAAATTAATTTTACTATCATTAAGAAGTTTGTAATTGTATATTTATTAACATAAACGTTGACACTATTATGAGCATTTAAAAAAATATTTGAAGGATTTTAAATAATATCATCAATTTTTAAATTCTTACTTGTACACAATTTTTTTAAAGGGTATAGATAATATTTATTTAAATTTATAAATTTTAAACTCAAAGATTGCTGATTAGTTCAATTTTTATGTTTGAATTCACTAATCTAAAGTAATATTTTTATCAATTTACCAGTCATTAGAATCTTAAAAATGTCTATAACATAAGTAAAACAATTAATTTTGTTAAAAAAATGTATTATACAGATTTAGTTATACTTATATTTAGGTATAGAATAATATTATTTTTATAATATTCATATTAATTGGTAAGTGTATATAGCATTAGTTGATTAATATTATTGTTAACAATTTTGGAGAGAAATATACTCTCCATAGTTTAATATATTTTAATAACTTATATTTCACAAAAATGTAGAAATATTTAATTTAAAAACCGTTTTTCTTGATTTAAAAATTTAAAACAATTTTAACATACGAAAACATTATTAGACTTAAACACTAAGATTATGTTAACTTTACTCTCGTTTATCTAATATCTTAATGCGTATATGGCTAACTTCACGAAACTGAACCTACAAAACCGTTCTATGCAAATGACGTGGGATCACAGACACTTTTGATAAAATGAAATTTATACACTTGATATTGACATAGAAATCTTATACAGTGTTTTAGCTCTTAATGTCAACTGTGAATTTAATGATTTCCTTAATTAAAAAAGAAACCCTTGAGAAAGCTTATAAAGGTATAAAAATGGAAACATGAAATACTAGTTTATGGAAATATCTAATAGACGGTTTATCAATAGTTCATTAAAAGGTTTACAATGATTTAAGTTGGTATATTTTAGTTAGATCAATTTAAATAATTATTTTTACTTGATATTATGATTTTCTTGGACTATATCGAATAATGTAAAGTTAGAAAAAACAATTATTGTAGAATATTATTCATTATTATTATTATTATTGTAATCACGGTAAATTATATAACAATCGTTAAAATCGAATATACAATCATTTTAGAAAGAGTACACGTGTCTGGAATCTCTACAATTTAAATAAGTATGAGTTTTGCTAAAGATTCTTAAAATTAACATACTGATTTACACGTAGGAGTGATGATTTATTAATTTTGTGCAATGTAAATATTTGCTCGATTTCTGTGTAGGTTGTACAAAACATACGATTGACGTATATAGTAAGGTGCTTATGATTACTCAAGTAGAAATCCCTCAGACTCCGAAAAACGTGGGTAGAGTAAAAAAGTATCAAACATGCCATTTGGAAAAATTACAGTTAAAAAGCAAAGGTGTTTCTTTTATTTTCATCATAATATTGACATTTTTTTGGAATAGATTATTGTAACTCAAAATTTAAATTAAAAGCAGAATAAGTGAAAACAATTTTTAAACCAAAATTGGTCACGATATTCTTAAAAGGTCTTACAGTATCCGTCTTTATATGGCAGTTTTAGGGTGCAGTTTACATAAAAAAAAAAAAAAAAATGAATGGAAAATGAATTTACTTTTAATTAACTACAAGTGATTAAATACTAATTAAATAATAAGACAATCGTTGTTTTCGTGGAAATGATGAGTTATACGAGTACAGTAATTTAAACTTAAAACCCGATGTAGAAAAAAAATAAAAATAGAACTAAATGTTCTGATTTTTAATACAGGGCAAAATTGCCTATGGATAGTACAATATTTCATTTCAGGTAATTAAATACATCACAAACAATAATAGGTGTCAGATGGTTGTTTACTCAGTGTCCAATGATATTTAACGTTAATCAGTTGTATACGATGATATAATGTGCAATTGATACTTTTGAAAATATCAAAATCATTTAAAAATAATCATTACAGCTAAAAAAAGGTTTTTTATTTATTTTAAAATTGTACACTATCATATTTTATTATTATCTAATTAAAATAATGCTATTATATTGAGTTCAACATGATTATACACAGAAGGGATTATGACGTGTTTCCTGATTATTGGTTAATACAAAATGTTACACAGTGAATACACGTAATGATCATGGTTAATGGACATCATTGAGTAGTGAGTGTAGGATAGAAACACAATGATTTTGTGCAAATGGTTAAACAGTATAATAAAAAAAGGTACAACCGATCACACGTTGGTCCGTGACAGTCCACGTAATAATGAACATCATTGAGAACGTTGTTGGCTGAGTTTTTATCCTAGCACAAACACTTTTCATTTAAACGGCTGCGACCACGTTTTGCGTTGTTCGTGACTGTGTATTTTGTTTTATAAATACACTTTTCATCGATTTTTTCGAGACGATTTCGTTGTATACCTGCTGTTTGTTAAACTTAACACGTTTAGAACAGTATTATATTATTATAGTATCTATCACAGCTGAGTTCTGAGAAAATATGAAATATGAATTTTCTATAAATTGAAAAAAAGCTGTTAGACGAGTAATGAAAAACCGTGTGGGATCATTTTACGTTTCATTCATTGGAAATATTTGATAATGATGAGTGTTGGAACATGATATAAATAAAACACTGTGTAGGATGAATGTGTGATAGATGATATAGTCATATTATTTGTATACGCTTGGAATCAATGATGAATCGTTACAATTGAATATCCTATCATATTTTACTGAAACTTAAATGTAATATTTATGTAAAAAAGAAAATTAGTGTATTTGGGTTCAAATGTTAAGTTAATAAATAAAAAACTAGATATATAAAATTTTTGTTTAAAATGAAAGGAAAAAAATTTAAAGGAACATAAATTATTAAATTATTTTAATACTCGAGGATTACAGTCCAAAACTTAGTATTTCATTTTCAGAACTTAGAAATAAAATTGTGAACCTTATAGGTATTATTTAACTATCTAACGTCCTTCGCTCTCTTCGGGTCTGAAATGAAGTTACTAGTAACTATGATCTGCGTTCAACCTCATAAAATTAAGTATATATTTCGAAAAAATTTATGATTTATTTCATATAAAAAAAAAAAAAAAATTAAATACTTATAGGATATTTATTATCTTTATAGTCCATGACACCACAACAACAATTTTTTCGTAATTTGTGACTTTTTAGTGTACAACAAGTAGTACTTAGTGTTTCTTTTAAAAATTAAATTATTTAGTGCACATTTGAAATGTCATGATAGTGCTGTAACCGAGATCTACCAATGACTTAGAAAACATCCAAGTCGTGTTTCATTCACTCAATGCCAAGCATATTAATGTCTGCCTCTATTGTGTCAATCTGGCATTTTTTAGACATAATATTTATTTTATTTATATATTATATTAATACATTTTCTATATTATTTGATATATTTCATATGAACAAAAATAGAAAAATATGCCAATAACAAAACTTCAAAAATAAAAATCTGTTCACGTATTTTATTTATTAGACATACATGTCTAAAAAATCAGTCATAATACATGCATTTAAAATAAGATAACAAACTGACAATTATTTCATTCGTAATAATTTAATAACGATTATCGTGTAGACTGCATTTTATTGTTTTTATTGTTTTTTAATACTCATATTTATACCATTTAAGTAATAAAAAAATTAAAATAAAAAAAATACCGAGTAAAAATAATGTTACTAAACAAATTAAAGTAATAGTGAAAACGGTAGCTATTGTTTTTCCAAAAAGGACGGAAGTCGCTTGTTAATGGTTACATAAGACCATAAAGCTAAATATTTTTACAAACAATATAAAATGAAATATTATTTATGAACCACAATATATTAGTTGCATTTTATTAAATGTATTAAATTAAACTGCATTGTATCATTTTATATCATCAAAATAAATGTTAACAAATTTCTATATTAGTTTTTATGTATTAGATTTCAATTTTTGATTGTATATTAAAAATTATATGACTTTTTGGAAAAGACAATATGTGTGTTACAACATGGTCTAAATCTAATTTTAGATGGAGGAACACCAAGCGGACGAGTAAAAAGATTTGATCCATAAATTATGTAATACCCAAAAAAATATTTAAATTTTATGAGTATCGTTATTAATTGGAATAAGTTTCTATGGTAAATGTTTTAAAACAATAAATTCAATATTATGCTTTAGTCAAAATTTGAATAAATATTTGTGTAAATAAATTTCGTTGAAATAAATTTAAATGTTTTTTTTTAAGAAAAATGTGAGCAAAATTTTAATATTTATCTATACAAGAAAATAGTTTATAGAACATTATACATATATTTTAAAAATTTTTGTTAAATCAACATTTTTTATTGACATTTGACGAAGAAAATTTAAGTTCTGTACAATTTAAAATAAATATAAATAGAACAACAAAAGTCAAAATCTTTTGAAAAATATACCATATTTAAAAAACCAAGATATTATCATGATAAATTAATTTTTTTCTTAGTTATTTTTGAGTTGTGAGTTATGATAAACGGTTAACTCATATATTTTTCAGTTTTTTCTATGGTTTTCGTCAGTTTTTCTCTATTATTTGGAAAACTATTAAATAATTAAAAAAACGAGTTCCCAAATTCATCAATTTGACAACAATTCGTTTTAGAAATCATCTTTTTCTTTTGATAATTGGACCAGTTTCTCTGGTCGAAATTGTGTAGGTAGACAGAAAAATAAAAATAAATAAATAAAACACACATCATAGTAAAGCCAAAACAATAATTATTCAATACGTTACCTATCTAAAATTTATAAAAGTATATTATTAAAAATTAAATATCTTACTTGTACTTCGATATCTGAAAAGTCAAACGCTGTGTACAGTAGAGGCAACACTTCTTTTCTAATATCATCTCTTGGTGTTTTTTCTAATATTACATGCAAGTTTTCTAATAATATCACTTGCACAGGAACATGTTTCGGACCATTAAATATTTTGCTGAAAGTATTAATATGGATAAAGTCATTGAATAATATTTTAGTTTTTTTTATCAGATTTTTTATGAAACATATAAATTTTAATAAAATGTTTATTCGCAAAAAAGTTTTATAAATAATAATAATAATGTTGCATTTAATACCTCATAGCTGGCAGCATTAATGTTTCGTAATCTTCAAGGCTGGATTCTTGTATTAGGAATATTACTGGATGCAAGACGGCAGCAGAAACGTCAGATTTCATCATTTCATGTTGCAAAAATGGCCATACTCTTTGGTACCATATTTTCTGTAAACAATTATGATTATAGGGTTTGTTAATATGAAATAATGACAAGATATTTTATTAAATAAGCTATTTGGTTTGAATAAATACGGTGCATCAAAAGAAGTCATCAGGAAATCTTATTAATATTTTGTGATCTTGTGCTATCGAATCATTTCTAATACAAAGGAAAATAATCACAAATAAGATTTTAATTTTCCTTGAAAACCGGAAGGTTGGTTTTGACTTAATTCTTCATTTTTTTTCATCGGAAAGATTCTAGTGTATATATCTTATATTACCGATTTTTATGTCTTTTCAGACGAAATAATTGATAGCTATATTGAATTACACAAAAATATTGAAAGGTTATTACAATATTGATGTGTAATTTTACATAAAACATTAACGTTAATTTATTTTACATTATAAAACTAACAGATTTTTTATAATAATTACGAATATGTTGAAATCAAGTATGTTTATACAAATGTCTATACATATTTATAAAAATATAATAAAAATATACATATATTTTATAAAAGTTCACCTGTGACTTGAAATTAATAATAACGTTCTGAATACTGGCTCTACTATAAATAATAGTTAATTTTTACTTAAAAATTAAGTTATTTAACATAGTTATTATTGGATAACAAAAATAGTTTTAAAAATTATACTTGTAATTAAATTTACAAGCTTAATAGATTTTTTCTAAGAGCAATGCATTTACTAACAATGAACTCATAAGTGTTCATGACATTGAGTGATCATTTAACTCTATAAGTAATTTTATTGTGTTGTCATACACTTCATGCAATTTAAAAGACCTACTTATCGTTATTCCAATTCACGTGTATTTGGATTTTGCAAATAGATCATCAATGTAGATGACGAATTTTTTGCAATCATTGTATGCTTAGACAATTTTAATTTATATAGTGAAAATCAGTGTTCATAATAGAAAAAATTATCCAGTTTGAAAGTTTTTTTTGAACAATTTTAAATGTTTTCTTATCATAATTTCTGGATATTCAGTGAACTCATTCAAGACCAATGATATTTTTGTTTTTTCTTTAATGTATAATCAGGGCCGACGTAAGGCTAAATGACGCCCGAGGCCAAAATTCCAACTGGCGCCTTTTTCATACAACCCGTATATTATTATACTTAGAAAAAAAATGTTGCTTGTGAACAGAAATACGGAAAAATTATATATTATGCTTAACTTGTATATCATTTGTTATCGTCTAATTTTTTAGTCACGAGGCTCGACGAATCGATGCGATTCCGATTGAACGATAACAAATATTTGGGAATTATAGCAACATATACCATAAAATATTCTACGATCAACCATAGTAAATATACTTAAAATATAGTTATATTAATTTAATATACAGCTAAACGAAAGAACCATAATTATTATCAATATTTCAATACAAAGTCTTAGGTATTTTACATTAAAAAAAAAAAAAATAATAATAATAATAATATTACTAGTATTATGTGCAATATTGTAAAAAAACAATTTTGGCAACCCTCTGAAAATTTCGCCCTAGGCGACCGCCTGAGTCATCTTATCCTCACTCCGGCCCTGTGTATAATACTCTAGTACAATAAACTATTATCGCATACAGAAATTATTAAAATCATTTTCAGTTTAAAATACTTTTTTTTTCATTTTACTTTATATAAAATAAAACAATAATTCTAACCTTGAGATGATATTAATATTTTGCTATTTATTATAATTTCCATGTTATTTTGATTTAATTTATTTTCATTAATAAATTAAACGTTGGATTATATATAGGTTTATTTAAAATTAAATTTTTGGAAACTATCAACTTTTTAACAAAATCATATTTGAATGTAGTGATTTTAATAAACTCAACAATACAAAACTTATATAATTATATTTTATTAGTTACTAGGCAGATATTTTCTTATAAATTAAAATATAATTAGGCAACATTGGTATAATTCATAAATAGGTATTTGATTTAGAAAATATTTCAGTTAATATTTATATAATTGCGTTGTTTAACCTATTTTTATTCGTGATGATGCGATTTGTTTCATTCATATGTTTACAGTAACTGTATGTTAAGCACAACTGTTGTGTTTTGATATCAGAGAAATTAGGTAGGTGCATTGTTGATATTGTCAGATTGACATTTAAGTAATTTATAATAATTTCAGTGGATAATTACTCTCAAAACAGTATTGTTACAATATATAATTCAGTTGAATTAATGAGCTTAAATTGCTTTGTTAGTTATTTGTTAAGTTGTGAATAAGGCAAATGGTTAAATAATAATTTTAATTATTACACGATTTATTATCACCTTTACCATGAATTTGAAAAAGTTTTTTTCACTTTATTCTGTATACTTTCTATAGTTGGTTTTCAATTACATATAAACTGGATCCAATTGTGCCATTTTTCTACTGTGCCATAATATTTTTACTGTGCCATAATATTTACTTTCTTTTATGAGAAAATATAATATTGATATTATAAACATGTTGTATTTTGTTTTTTTTTTTGACAAAATTCTGGTTAAGAATTTTTATTTTATCTCTAAACCGACCTCTTATAATTCATAGATAATATGTAAAGAAATTAAAAATGTTATTATATCTGTTTCGTTTTATAATAAGACTGTGCATTCAATCAAAAGCGAATTTGAATTTATATTACATATTTTTTCCTACTCAGCAGAAATTCAAAATCCATTTATAACTTTTCAGATTATTTTTATATCCCTCTTTTCACTTTTAAAATATGTAACATATTCCCAATATTCTTTAAATCCTACCTCTAACAAAACGTGGGATATTCCAATAACATTAAATCATAGCGTCTTACTATGCTACCCTTACTTAGTTGAACACCATATCATGACATCTTTTTAATTATACAAAAATATTCATAAATATGCAATGTTTAATGCTTAATATTTTTATGTTTTACATGATATTATAAAATGTCACACATGTATACATTGAGTTTTTGTGTTTTATTCAACTTATGAGTGTAGATATTTTCGTATAGTTTTGAATATAGCGTCAAGTATTCAATAATTATTATTTCATTCGTATAGTAAGTTCTATGAAGACATATAAAATACTTGCATGTTTTTTTCTACGGGTATTACAAATTATAAGTTAAATATTAATGCACATTGTATATATTTTTATACTTATATTATATTATAGGTCACTTGTATTAACTTTCATACGTTCTAAAAACTATCGAAGTTTGTTTTACCAACAATATCTTTACCCATATAATTGCATTTATTCATATAAGATTATGAAAATGTTTAGCGTTTTGTTTTTTTCAATATACACTTTCTTTTTTCATTTCACCTGATACAGAAAACATTTATTTTAAAATTTTGAATAACTTTTGTACAATTCAAATCTTTAAATATCTATTCAAAATCAATAACACTATAAGTGAACGATTCCTATCAAATCGTTCTACTTCACATGTGTAAATATTTTCTTCAATATTGAATTTTACTGTTCGGTTCACGCCATGAAACAATCATCGACGGCGACGATGTTACTGTAAATATTTCCATTGAGTGTCTAATGAGAGTTGAAAACAGAACAATCTATCTTGCAAAACGATTCTCTTTTGATATAAAAGTACACAAATTATGTAAATCATGTTTTCGTATGCAGCAGTTAACATTAAAAGTTCAGCATGTGTGTGAAACTCAGATGTAGATATTTGAGTAATTGTTTCCACACCAATATTATACGAACGTTTATGAAAATAATTTCAATAAAAGATAAAAATTCACTAAAGCTACATCTATAAACCGTAGTTTATTTATTAAATAATTTGAATACAAAGCCTATAGTGGTTCACACAATGGATTAAATATAGTATATTGAATTAGTATATTTAGTTCATGTTCAAACATAGTTTTAAAAATTGTTTTCCTAATCTTAAAGTCGTAGTTGGATATGATAAGATAAATATACGTAGCAGGTAATGAAAATACTTGATTTTTCAGTTGTAAGAAAGATTGGTAATAGAAAATACAAATGGAGTATGTATCAAATGCACCGTTTATAACGAGAATCAAACGTTTTGAGTTATGTGTAGGTATATAAATTGGCAAATGGTGTAGTAGGATAATAATATTACTTTTTGTATACAAACCTTTGGGATGAATGGAAGTGATTCTTTTAGTGTTATCTTGTAAAACTGACATTTTTGTGTTAGGTCTTTCATATTAATAATATCCAATGTCTGAATAGTTTCCACGAAACGATCACTGTGAACAAAGTATTATTGTCATTCATCATAGTTAAAATTATATTTTTTTTATTTTATTATTTTATTATATTTATGTTCAAATACATTTTTTATAAGAATTATTATGTTATAATATTATATTTATGTACAATTTAATTTTAGAATTGTATGATTGTATTTATTATTACGAAAGCAAATAATTAATTTCTTCTATTAATTGAAATAATACTAATAAAATAATGTTATTGTTAAAATTAAATTATAAATATACAATATAAATTAATAAAATGTATTATTACTTTTTTTATTATTGTATTATTATTATTCACTTACGACAGTTCCACGAATTTATATTTTATCAATGTTTAAAGAGAGTGCATTATTTTTTAAATTTAAACTTAAGTTATGGTTATTCAACATAATTTGAATAAAATTCTAACAGTTATTCGTTGAATACTATTGATATTTATAAAAAATACTATGTAAAATGAATAAAATATATTTTGGTCAAATTTGATACTAAGTATTAGTTATGTGGTTTTATCATAAATGTACTAAATTTAAAACAATCAATAATACTATTGTATTATTTTCTTTACTTGTATTCTTTATGCTTTTATGTAAAAATAACAAATAAATGTACCAAACTTGCTTTGCTATAATGTGTTAAGCAAAAGCAAAAAGAAAGAAATACGAGTAAATGCACCAAACCTTAAAGGTTATATTCCAATGGCAATTAACTATCCACGAATAATGGGGCCAAGAATGAACATGGCCTTTCACGCTGTCACATTGGGTAAACATTAAACAAGTTAAACGTAAATGAGTTATATATTTGTAAAGCCTCTGTAAAGATAAGATTAAAATGGTTAATGTTAAAAATGTATTTTAAATTTAAAATACTACAACGAAGAAGGTTGTATAATTTTATTTTTTTTAGTAATCATTTCTTAAACCGTATAAACTTCTGGATTGCAAAAACATTTTATTTCTTCTCTATCTCTCTCTCTCTCTCTCTCTCTCTATATATATATATAATTTATGTGAGTATCGCTAAAAATAAAACATAATCAATACGAGCGTAGATTTATTGACGAATTAAATAATTTAAGAATGAAAATGTCGATGTTCAATTATTAAAATATCGTAGAGTTACAACTAGCATAAATATATATTATTTATAATAATCGAAAATCAATTGAACTATGTCTAGAATGTTTGACGCCCATGGTGAGTTATCAAAACAGTTTACAACATCAGTGATAGCGCTACTCATTTTTTTATGATATAAAATACATTTTTAAGACAGATATTCGATAATTAATTTTCTTTTAAAATTAAATCATTATTTTCATACTATTATTATTTTCAAATCAATAATATAAGATTGATACATATATATGGTTGTAATATATTATTTTTAATTCACCCCGTAAGATTTTAAAAAAAAATATTTTTAATAATATATACCAACCAATTTTTTTGTATTTTATATTGTCTTAAAATCCAAACTTTGCTTATTAAAATGTATTGGTTATAAATTATTTTTAAGATATTAAGATATTATTATATACTTAATTCACAATAGCGTATTACATTAGTATGCAGTATAATATCACTATACATAAATATATTTTATATTTTTGTAATACATTACATAACATTGTTACAGCTTCTTTCAAATAATAATAACAATATCTAACTCCAGTAATATTCGGTATTTGTATGTTTTTTATCAGTCTTTCCCTATTACATGGAAAACAGTTGAGAAATTTAAAAAATGACCTCCCATTTATAACAACTAGTTAGACTTTGTTATCATAAATAATTTGTTTTTATGATCAGAATATTTCTTCTGGTTAAAATCGTGTAGACAGAGAGAAAAACAGAAAATTTTAAAATTAAAATAAGTCTTCAAATCAATATAGTCCTCTGTTCATTCAGAATATAAAAACCAATCAGCAAACATTTACAATTATATTATCACGAATAATATTTTATAATTATTTAATTTGATATTATTAAATATTTAAATATTACTCATCGTAATAATTTTTCGAGTGAAATAATGATTTAAACAAATTTATAAAAATAACAACATAAGAAAAGTATTTCGATTAGAACCAGTATTTTAATAATTTTGTATTGTAAAAAAAATTATCCCGATACAAATATGTAATTAGAGGGGGTAAAATTCTGAGGATTACAAAGTTTTATCATAATCTAAGGATCAAAATATATGTTATTTTATTTGTTCATATTATATTTCTGTGTCAGATAAATAAGGGTGATTTTGAAATACTTATAATTAAAAAAAAATAAAAATAATTTTTTTGTCATGAGTAATATTTTTATTTTTATCTAAAAATAAGTATATATACTTAATAAATTATTTTTTGATTTTAATATGTTATTAAACATTGAAAAAATCTTTTAAATGGAAAATACAATAAATAAAAGTATATTATTTATAGTTTGATTGACAAATTAATAATTTAGTATAACACTCATACAATATCCACTGGAAGGGTATGAGCTTTATTATTTGGATTTTTAGATGTTTATGTATGGTTTAGAGTTTAAAATATTTTCTAAGCCATAATAAAACTTATTTCCTATTTATTGTATCCTTTGGACTAGTATCCATCTTCAAGTTGGTTTTAGTTCACAGTTTTTTACTTATATGGTTTGTCGTGGTTGGAATCCAATATTTTTATCACTAAAAAGTAATAACCAAATATTTCATTTTCTGCCATGACTGATAATGCGAATTATAGTTTTTATATAATTTTGAAAACGTATATATCAATGTATATTAGATTGATTTTTATCGTGTGCCCAAATTCAACTGTTGCGACCGAGTTTATTACATTATTTGATACTTTGAGCAGGGCCGGATTTAGAATTTGTAGGCCCCTAAGCTCAATTGTGGTGTGGGCCCTACCAGAAAGTTTTTAGAAAATAGAAAGGGTATACACACAAATAGATAAACTAAGCCATATTTAAAACATTTTCAAATAATTTTCTATCCAAAATCGAGGGTAGTGCAACTTTCTAACTTTTAATTTTTTGACCGAAAATAATAAAATTTAAAATATAGTATATTAAAGTGTGGATTCAATTACCACATAGTAGTTAAAAAGGTATTCAACGCTCTTTATTAACATTACAACGGTAGTAACTAGTAATTAAATTTACAACATAATAATTATAATACAGCTTAATAAATTATAAAAATTTAATTTAAAGGTTTAAACTTTAATCAGTTTACGTCTAACTTTGTATTAATGAAATCACTTATAATATCTTCATAATTTATTTGTTTTAAAATGTCACTCTCAATGCTAAGTAGAGCTAACGTGCTGAGCCTTTCTTCTGTCACGGATGTTCGGAGATTGTTTTTGATCAACTTTAATTTTGAAAAAGATCTTTCTCCGCTGCTGTTGGTGACCATAAGTGACAGGTACATTCTTAAAGCTACCTCAATATTAGGAAAACAATCTTTTACATTTTTTTCGATTAGAAGCTGGTACATCCATTTTTCCCGAGTTATAACTTTATTATTTTTTCCATCATCATCTTTAAGAAACTCTTGGTAATACGCCTTGAATTGAATCAGTTCATTTCTTAATTGATCGTCTAAGTCATTATCATATAATTTTACTAAATTTTGAGCTGTTATAATTATCTTTTTATCATCAAGTATATCTAACTTATAAAGAAACCCAAAATGGTTATCAATTAGTTCATATGCCTCAAGTCTTTGTTGCAATGAAGATTCAAGTTGATCTATTACAGAGAGAAAACTCTGAATTCGAAATTTGTTTGAAGAGCTCATCTCAATTTCTGGCGTTTGGACACTGTCAAGAGGGGACAAACGCACATTTATTTTACGCTTACGCTGTGTTTCACTGTCGTACTCAACAGAATCATCCAACTCTGCAACTTTCACAACATATTCTTCAAAGCTATCTCGTTTTGTTCCTATAAAGCTTCTTAGCGATTTCAGTGCTAAAACAGCTGTGTTCACATATAATCTAGGATTCTGTAAAGTTTCACTAGTTTTGTTTACTTGTCCCAAGATATCGTTCCAAAATACCACGTAGAGGCCTGTCTGTATATTTAACATTTTGTTATATAAACTTAAAGCAACAATACGCGATTTTCCTAATTCTTCTTTATTCTCAGAAATTTCTAAAAGTGCATTTTTTATTTCTTTATAACCACGTGAGAGGGCTTTTGTAGCATCTGCTCTGCAAAACCAACGTGTTGTTTTTGTCCTTTTTGGTATAAGAATGGGGTTTTCAGTTTCTGCTCTTTTTAAATAATTTGTAAGAACTTTATACCTGTTATTTGAGGCAGTGAAATATACATAAAGTTCTTCTAAAAAGTCGAAAAAGCTCACAGCACTCAAACAACACTCAGCAGCAGCTTGCACTACGAGATTAAGTAAGTGCCCTGCGCAAGGTACCCATAATGCCAAGTTATTTTCTGCCAGTACTAACGCTTGAAGGCCATTATACTTTCCACTTATTGAAGAAGCATTGTCGTATGACTGACCACGACAGTTCTTTATGTCCAAGTTATTTTCTTTCAAAAATGTGTCTAAGCCTTTAGACATATCCTTTGCTTTGTGGTCTTGGTTTGGCATGAATGCCACAAATCTTTCAACAGGAATGTTTTCTTCTAAATACCTGAAAATCAAAGTAAGTTGATCAACGTGACCTGCGTCTGGAGTTGAGTCCAATGATATGGAATAGTACTTTGAGTGTTTGATTCGAAAAATAATTTAATTGAAAACTTTTTTGCCGATTAGTTGCACTATCTCCTCGCAAATCTTTGATGATAAGTAATTTGTGTGGCTACTTCCTTGGTTTCCATTTTCTTTATGTGGTCATTTAAAAAATGATCATACTTTGTAATAAGCTCCAATATTCCTAGGTAGTTACCATTTTTCGGAGAGGAGTTTTGTTTTCACCTCTAAATGCTGAGCCCCTTTCACTAATAAAAACTATCACACTTATTAATCTCCTGAGAACTTCTCCCTAGGATTTTGCTTCATATTTTGCTTGTTTTGTCAGTTTTTGATCAATACGTCCCACTTCTCATGACCATGTAGCTAAATTAAAAAACAGAATTCAGGTGGTTTTTAGAAATTTCGTGTTCTACCAGACGTGTTACAGGATTTTTCCAATCGCAATAACCACCATGAGTAAACTGAGAACGTATTTGGGAAAAAAGTTTACATACAAAACAGTATACATGTCCATTATTCGGAGAAAAGCAGAGCCATGAACGTTTTATAATCTCACCGTTTCTTGTTTTTCGTTCAAAAAAATTTGTTTGGCATTTTCTTGTAAAAATTTTTTCAGAATGTCGGTCACTTTGCTTAAACGATTTACTATCAATTATATCTTGGTCGCAGTTTTGAAAAGCTGAGGCACCTATTTTAGTGCAATAGTCAATATTACTTGATGTCATATTCTCTGGCCATAATCCAATGTAATTTTCCGAGTAAATATTTTCATTTAGAACAAGTCCAACAGAAAGCACTTGAGTTGATGAAACCTCGAGAACCTCCTCTACAATTTCTGAAACCTGAAAAATACATGAAAAATATTCATTTTTAATATTTTAGATTTATTGGTAGTTAATTATTTGCAAGCTCGGATTAAGGGGAAGGGGGCACGGTCCCGATACCTATCTTTATCTCCAAAATATAACGGGTATTTACAGACGGAATGAAGTTTGTGGTACAATAATTACTCACTTTTTTAGTACGATTTTCATTGTGTTTTAACGTATTGATTATAAGTTAATATTTAATTGATTTAAGTTATAATTCTTTAGTAACCAATACAGTATTTTCTTTATAAATATAATATATACATATATATATAATATGCTTGTAATAAATTATTACATAATTATTAATTTATATAGCCTTATTATATATTTTTTATATAGTACAAAATAATACAATAACATAGGTAGTCTTTAAAATTTAGTAATATAATTTTTTTGAAATTTAAGTTGAAAAGAGGCCCTCTAAATTTATGGTGTCCTGGAGGCCCAATCTATCTTTATTCCGGGCTTGAATTTATATTATGAACTTACCTTTTCTCCGTTTTCAAAGTTCTGAGGATGACACGAGCTGGCAAGTGAACAAGTTTTATCATTTATGTCAGAACTTACATTTAACTTCATATAATCAGTCATACGACGTGATTTAGCAATAACTTCTTCGTTCCTCTTGTTTTTTCTTTTGCTATTTTTCGTTTGTAACTTCCGCTTTTATATTCTTGTTTTTTTTTTTTGTGACGATCTAATTGTATTTTATGGCGATCCATAATAATATAAAAGTTTAACTATTTATGAATTTAGATGGTACATTGAGTCATTAACTATTAAGAGTGTCAAAGCCAGTAAATTTTTATTAAAAAAAAATAAACAATAACTTTTAAATGTTTCTCTATGAAAGAAAAGAATTGAATTGACGGAGCCATATTTATGTGGAACGAAAATTATTTAAATAATAATTCATATTTTTTAATGGTGACTTTGTGACAATTAGAAAAATATACTATACAATAACAAAAAAAAAAAAAAAAATAATAAAATTGAATTATCTTTTCTCAACTATTTTTATGTATAAAAAATGTAAATAAAAAAAAGATTCATAACTCGGTTAAAAATATTCCAAAATTAAGAATATTTTATATCAGTATATATTTTTATTTATTTATATAATTTTATAACATTTTCAAATTTTTAATATAGTATGTAAAAAATACCTATTATTTTGTTCAAATAAAAAAAATTTATCTTAAAAATAATAAATTAATAAAAATTACCTGCAGGCAGACGGCAAACAATGTAGACAATTCTTTATAAACAGCGTCCAGCGATCAAAGTTGCAAATAACGATATTGTCATAAATGATAATAATATAATAATTTTGCCCATAGACGTGTTTACGTACGAGTCGTTAATGTCAATGATGAAATAAGAAACGGTTCGGTCGGGGAACGAATTAATAATAACAGCAAAAAAAAACTAAACGTTATCGAGCGATAATCAAAGTCTACTGATTATTTAACCCACTATTGCCGACTGCATTACGAAAATAGTGATCGCATCTCATACTGACGCGCGACGTGGTATATGGGAAATTTCCATTATATATGTACACACTACAGTCTACACACTATATAGTATATTTTATTATACAAAACCAATTTTAGAAAACTGAAAAAGAATGAAAAATATTTAGACGGAGCTTTTTTTTTTTTTTTAGTTGTATGATGGGGTGAGGGCCCTGTTGTGGTGCGGGCCCATAGGCTACAGCCTATATAGCCTACAGCCTATATAGCCTACGCTTTAATCCGGCCCTGTATATGAGTGGTAATTGATAATAGAAGAAAATGTACATTCTTGTCCTAGACCTTAATTAAAATTGTAATTCGAATACGATGATTTATTAATTAAAACTTTAGCATATACAACTATCAGGACCAACATAAAAAAGACCAAAACCCATATTTAAAGGCAATTTATACTCTTCGGATATATTCAACCTCTCAGAAAAAATACATTGAGCAATTCCAACCGGGTTCTTTTTTACCAAAATTCAGAATATGCTGAAAAATATATTTTTTCTCCGAAAAATTATTTTGAAGTGGGCAAAAACATTAGAGTTTAATAATTTAACAATTAAAGAAAAATGTTTCCTCCATTATAATTATTCTAAGACATCTAAACATTTTCTAAATGATTGTTTAAATTATTATAACTTTATCTCCAAGACGAAATAATAAGTGATTTTATTTTAGGTTTTATTTATTTATTTTTTTGATAAAAATGATTTTTTCATCTCCTAGCTGGTCACATGGGTTAATATTTATGGTCTTGGCCTGCATAAACGGTCTGTAATATAAGGTATTTGGTACAAAAATTGTACATTTCTAAGATATTCTAAAAACTGGTGAAATAATGAGAAGTAATTATTAAATCATGTTGTATGATTTTACAATATATCAATGTATGATCATAAGTTAGAAACTGTTTTAGTCTCAAGAGAGATACCACACTTCGGCCATAATCTTAGGTTATGGAAGTCATTTAATTTTGAATATGTTTTAGTTACAACTGTTATTCTTGTATATTTAATGGTAAAATGATAAAATCAGTTAAGATATTTTATCAGACAAGCTTTTCGAATTACACATATATAAATATTGATGTCCTAATGCCACGAAACCAACGTTCATACATTTTCTAGTGAAGTGGTAGGATATACATCCAAGACAACAATGTGAATATGAAATGTGCTATTGGGTTTTATTGACATCGGTATCATTACAATAATCCTTAAATTCATTGTATTATTCTCAGAAGTATTTTAAGATAATAAATCGAGAAGTGGCTCAGTGTACAAGTACCTTATTGGAACGATCAAGGATGTAAGGTTTGTGATGATAATAAAGACTTTACTTATGTTGTTATACAAATGAAAGGGATATAATGACAATGCGTCATTATGGAAATCTAGTTTAGTATTAAAATATCACGGTTATTGATTGTATCTCTCCGACAACTAAGATTATAGTAAACTGGATTAAATATATAGTTTTAGTTTATTTTTCAACCGATTTAAAGGTGAAGAAATAAGAGGAATACTTTCTGATATATTTTAGGTTATTTTTATGAAATTAAATTTTTTAAATGAAACTTTATGAAACTATTAATAGGTAAGTTCTAAAAGTTATTATTGTTCTAATTCAAGACAATTAAAACTGTATCGGCCTCAAAAAAAAAAAAAAAAACGATTCGCATAAAAAATATAAGAATCTTGTAAATGGAAATTGTTAAAATGGTTATATTATAAAAATAAGATTTTGAGTGATTTAATTTTTTATTTAGTATACTTCATGGAGAAAACAAGAGAATGCTTTATGATATTATATGTTGAAACGTAATATTATAAGTTGGTATGATAATAATTAATTTTTAAAATATAATTAAATATATAAACTTACCAAAAATAGGGTGTATGTAATAAGTTTTTGACAAATGGTCTTGCATCTACGTCTTTGCTTAGCATTTTAGTTGCCATTTCTTGCAGCTGTGCTGGTAGTTTAGGTAGCACATTGTGAATTTGATTTTCTAACTGTAATATTATACATACAAATTTGGTTAACATAAAAAGTAAAAAAAGTATATTAATATGTGATGTTAAATGAAGTATAGAGTACTTTATAAAGTATACAGTATTTTTAGAATTCAAATATCGTATTATTTTTTCTTAATATTCTGATGCGGACCCGTGCGGCAGCCGTGTCGATAACGGCTGCCGCTCGGGTCAGCGTCAATTCTTTATCTCTTTTGTAATCCAACATAAAACATAAATAAATTTTAAATCCCTTTATATAGTTAATATTATTTCTGTTGGAGTTTGTAAAATAGATATCCATGTATTTACGTGATTATAAATGATGTCTATTTTCTGTTTTTTATTAGTTTTATTATTTTTTCTTATGCAGTCTCTATGACTCACTAAAATATTTACGTTGTGTTAGGTCTTTTAAATAATTGTCTTTACTTATTTTTGTATGATGGTTCGTGTTATGTGACGTCACTTGTAAGTGCCAATTCACATTTTAGTTTTGAGGTATTTTGTAATATGTTATTTATAAATAATATATGTATAATATAATATAATATAATGTTAAATACATTTTAGAAGCTTTGATAAAAAAAAAAAACAAGTTTGATTGCGAAGAAATGCTTTATTTACATTTGTGAATATGTTATATTTATACTTTCACCAGAACCACGACTCTAGATAACTTTATCATAATAGAAAAGTTTCATAGATGGAAGTTTTAAATTCAAGTTCTTCAAATAGAATAAAGGAGAGATTCTCTTTATCATATAGCAGATATAAAAACGAGACAATTATTATTTTTGAATCACTTAAATGCTCTCATAATATTCAAATATTTTAATTTTTAGGATGTAAATAAAATGTTTAGAGTAATAAATAAGATTTATTATATGAGTTTATATTATTTTAGAAGATTTCTGATGAAAAAAAGTCTATTGATTTATAACCAACAAAGAAAATAAATTAATTAACAAATATTTTCAATTTTTTTTTTAATAAATTATAATTTATTATCTGATCTAATTCAATTGTTGGTGATTTTAAGGTAGATATTTTGATGACATCGAGAAACGTATTTTAAGTAAACATTATGATTAATTTTATTAAAATGTATATGTATTATCATATATTACTGTTATGCTAACATTTTGTTCAAAACGGCACGCCATGAATAATATGTTGGATGAAAATTGCAAAAATGTATCTTCATAACTCGAGAGTAATGCAAAAAGTACTTAAATAATGATTTGAAGTATAAGGAGTGGGGAGAGAGGAGTGGGTGAGAGTGGATTATTTTCTGTTTTTGAAGTGATTCAAATTTTTTTCTATAAGAAATTATACATTTTCACTTAGATATAATTATCAAGTGAAATGTCAGAATCTTGTACTTTTGAATTTCATGTATATTTTTTTATCTGCAAGGTTATATTTGCAATAGTGTGATTGAGCTCTTTGTATTCAACATTAAAAATGTTATACTGAATGATCACTATTGTTCATAAGTGCATTTGTTATCAACAAATCAATTGTATGAGACTCGTCTAACCACAACACATTAAGAGGTATAATATAATTAAAATTAATGGTTTAAATATTGCATGCGATGTCAACCATAAGTCTTAAAGATTTTTTATTATTATTGATTTGATTAGAGTTAAAAGAAGAGAAAAATAGCAAAGTAAATTAATATTGAATTGTATTATTTTTACAAATATTGATAACTATTTATTTTTATTTTTTATAACGGTAATTTTTTTTTTTTTGTAAAATAATTGTACGACTGTTCTTCTAATACTAGTAGTTATCAAATTAAATAATTTATTGTTAGTTTCAAAATCAAACAAATTATACAAATATTACGACAAACATACAAAAATTAAAACATCCTCTCTGGCATTATGTCATTCAACTCATGTATTTATCGAAAAATAATATTTTAATTTTTAAATACAGCTATTCTAGGATGAATTTTTTAGACTTAATTAAAAAAATAATAAGATCGATTTTTTTAAAAGCCCGTGTATTATAAAAATATTACCTATTATTTAGACTTTTCGGAATTATTTGGAAAACTAATTTTAATCATTATGCTTTTAAAAACCTATGCATTAAAATACTTAATATTAAGTAAGTTAAGTACAAAGTTATAAAAAGCGAGAATAAATACGTACTTAAAAAAATACTAATACTTAATGAACTATATCACTAGTTATATTATTTATTGTAATTATATTACTTCTTATAAGACAATATTATTTATAATGTTAGATTTATTTTTACAATAAAAAATGAATTAACTATCTTGTAATTTATTTACTTATTTGTATTGTTAAATAAAGTGACAACACTCAACATTTTTCATAAATATAATAAATTGGGTTTAATTCACAATCCTCACTATAACCCTATTACATCTAAAACGATTACATCATTGTGTAAGATAGTTAGGTAAAATCTAATTACCAAGTAGATCAAATTTGTACTACGCTGAGCCGCAAATGGGCTTTAAAATCCGTATGAAATTCAATTTAATTATACTTAAGTAGTAAAAACTAAGTGAAATGACAATTTTAAGTAAAGATAAAATAATTTTAAAAGAGATTATATTAAAATATATATAAATAAATAGACTTAAAGTTTTTCTTAAGGAAAAACAATTTAAAAATACATTTTGAAATACTTATATTATTTTTTTTTAATTAGATTTTAGTAAGAAAAGATAATGGGATCGGAGGAAAACAGCGTCTTAAGCGAGTTTTACTGTAGTTTATATATAAAAATAAATAAATAAATAAATACCCTGGGGTATTATTATATTTGCAATGTATGACAGGTTAAACATTTATTTATTTTTGTATATTAACTTTTTATTTAAATATTAATTTAATAATTCTTTACTCCTGCTTTGTAAGGTTTAATAATGATAGATTTGAGTTCGACTATTGCTAAATTTTGTTGGATATATTTTATTATAAGATTGTCATCAAGTGTTTTCGTTCCTATTTCGTTAGTTGGAACAATTAAATGAAAACAATTACTATATTGAATTGGTAATAATTAAGTTTATAGCCTAGATCAGCAATATTCAACCTTTTTTTCTTCCGTAACTCTAAATTTAATATTTTGCTAGGCTTAACTTTCATCATAATTTTTAACCTTATTTTAGAAAAATACTATAAAAACTATTAAATAAAAAAAACAACAATAATTTAATATAATATAATATTGTATATATTTTTATATTTCATAATAAGACACACAAAAAAAAGAAATTAATTTTTATTTTTATTTAATAAATAAAAAAAAATAAAAAATTTAGTATAAAAATTTAGTGAGATCCTTGGCCTTATGTCGAATTATATAGTTTTTTATTATCAGGTTCAAATCTTAAATTGGAGCTACGTTCAGTTTATTACTATACTTGATACTATGTGTATATATATAATATTCTATAATCTACATTCTATACCCCATTTCTATATGATAAGTTTATGGTTACTGATTGTAAGATTATGATTAATTTTTAATGACATATTAAATTTTATATAACATTGCATGTTTTCAAAACAAATCGCTTTATATAAAACAAATTCAACTTTTTTGCCATTACCCAAATTTTTTCATATATCCTTTGAGATCATCTTACTTACTCCAGGTTGTGAACCGATGGCCTAGATAATATAATTCAAGAACCAATAATATTTCCAAAACATAAATTTTCTAAAACTTATATTTTTAGTATAAAAAAAAAAAAAAAAAAAGATGGGCAACTTGTATTTGTTCAAGTCTTACAATTTAACATTCAGGACTTTTTAAATTGTTAAGTAGGTAAATGATTATTTGAAAACTTATATTAACTTATATTTAAATTACAGTATAATTAAGGCGTTAATTGTAATTAATATGAAAACACTATTGTTAAATATTGATTGTACATCTTACCACATCTAATTGTTTCATGTATGTTGAGCTACTATGGTTCGCTTGTATCAGAGGTCGACCGTTATTGAATATTGCAAATATAACCATACCCAATGAAAACATATCACTATGAGAACTACAGTAGGAAGACAACTGGACTTCTGGAGCTGAAATCATATTTCAACTATCAATTAGAATTTAATTAAAAATATTATTTTTACTGTCAAAAAATTAAATTAGTGTAGAAAAAAAAAATGATAATCAAATTTTTATTTAATTAATATTTTCGAATTTGTAGTAATATAAAAAAAAATGTTAACCTAAATTTCTTATTCGTATGAATACGTGAATCCTACATTAATTAAAACGGCGGGAAAGTTATTTTAAATTATATTACTATGCCGGTTTAAATTAGTAGATCTTCGTGGAACACTGTATATATTTCACTCACCAATATAATCCAAATCGGGTTGTGCCATTTTTGGTAGTCTGGACGTCCATGGTGTGCAAGTAATCCGTTCTCTAGCCTCAGTTTGAACTATAAATTAAAAACCAATTATTTGCATGACGAGAGCATGGTAAATTACGACTGTATTGTAGAATAACTAAATAAAATATTAAAAAACAAAATTATATTTATTATTGCAGACTTATATATAAAGGGCATTTTTAATTATTCTCTTTGTAGCTTTTAAGTTTTAAGTGAGATGACAAATGTCATAGTTTTAAAATGATAATTTTTGAATTTTATTTCTGAATTTGTATTTATAGTTTGTAAATAAATATGAGTAAATTAATATTTTATATCAGTTTATAAAAATACTTCAAACTATTTTATCTAGAAATAAAAGTATTTTAGGGAATTTATTCCCTCATTTTTTTTTTAAGTTTGAACTATTCACGTCCGAGATGTGTAGATGAGCACGTGTTCTTATTTTTTCTGTGATATATTTTGTTGTTTCATATTTACTTCTTTACCAATTTTAATAAAATTAGTATTATCGAAAAGAGAAAATTCATACCATCCTGTATTTCAAATTTCATCTAACACGAGAGTCTGTGCAACCCTAAGGTAAGAAAAATTATAAATTTTTAATTACTATAGCACAAAATGTCTAATCAAAATAACAAGTCTTCGCGCTCAATATCTAATCAAAATAACACGCCAACACGCTCGGGATCTCAAAATAAGCCATACATCAACAAACCGATATCACTCAACATTATTATTAATTGTAATCAAATCATAACGAATAAAACATAATGAAATATTAGACACCGATTCAGACGATTTATTATCCGTTGATTGGTATCTAGTAGTGTATCCGCGTTCTCAAAAGCATCAATATACTTCTTCACCTAGTACTTCTTCCAAAATCAAACAAAGGAATTCGATTAGCCAGTTCACAACCCAAAATCGTTACGCTGCACTTTCCGAAAACTTAACTACTTAGGATATGGAAACTAACTAAATTTTGGATTTACTAAATAGCACATCTTAATTTCCATTCCAATTTTTATCAAATCCAATCTAAATTACAAACATTTCTGCGATATCATCAAATTATTAATCGACCTCGATGAATTCTTTTGTTTAACTCTTATCAATAATCTAAAACATCAAACAAAAACGTCTGATTAATTTAGAAAAGTATCTAAATTATTCAAAGAAGAAGAAGTTGATTTTCACACGTTCCAAACTAAAGAAGAAAAACCATATAAAGTAGTTTTTCGGAACTTGCATCATACTATTCTTGGCGATCTTATAATACAATAATTAAGTGAGAATGGTTTAAATGCAAGACAAGTTATAAACGTTTTTTTTTTTTTTATTATTCCCAAGTATATACACAATCTATACAAGTTAGTATAATAAGTATTTAAAATAAAACGCCATACATAACATGAATTACTAATAAACCACCCATTAGTAACACTTAGCTTGGCATATGTTTACAATTGAAGAAATATATTTTTAATTTAAATGGTCATGCCACCATTTTCTTTTTAGTCTACGTTGTGGGTTTCCAGGAAATGTAAAGGTATGAAACTCTTTTATTAGTGGGTTGGGGTAATTTTATATTTTGGAAAAAATCCGTTTGTAAAATAATTCCGTTTCAGTTGTAACAGGTTTGATACTTAAATATTGGTGGAGGGTTAATTTAGAGATATAAAAAGTAGCGTTAGTGATATATCTTAAAGTAATATTACGAAAGACTTGAATTTTATTCAAGTTTGATTTTTTTTGCCGATTTCAAGAGTTGTAACCCATATGTGCAGATATGCTATAGAAGAGTTTTGTAAATTAGTAATTTAGTTTTCAAACTAATAAATTTATTTTTAAATAATAACGTTTTTAATAACCTAGACCGAACGTTAATGATCAATTTTTTAGCTCATATATATTTGTTACGTGTTTAATTTTGGTCAAGAACCATACCTAAATATTTAACAGTATTGAGGGGTGGGATTGGTATACTATTGACTGGAACATTTGGACAGTAACCGTGTAAAAAATATTGTTTCCATTTCCACGTTCTATTTTACTCAGGGCATAATTATTAATACATTAATGTATTTAAAAATGTATTAGTCGCCGGGAACGAATAATTTTACAATAAAAGACAGATTTCCATATTAGTCAGGTTTCGTATTAGACAGGTTTTATGATATAACAATATTAAAATGTTATAGAAAAAAATAAATAGTCATAATATAATTTCAGTTTTGGTTTAATCATACGAAAACCACAAAAAAAAAAAAAAAAAAAAAATTAGAAATTCGATATTTAAAAAAACTGAAAAATAAATAGTTTGATTTTAGCTTATCATAAATAGTCAGACTGACATTAAATGTTTTCCTAATCAGATTGAGTTTTATAATAATGAACAAATTACAACTGTAATAATTATTTATAATTGTGATTCAACCGGTATTATAATGTGAATACATTGCGTGCTGTTCATTATTGAAATAGATTATCGATAAATTAGTTTTTGTCAGTAGGTTTGTATTTTGCCATACTATTATTATGGCGGACACTAGTGTTTCCATCATACTGTATAGTATTTAATACAAATTCAACTCAAATCAATTTAAAATTTAATTAATTCCAAGTATTGATATTTGTCAGTTGTTTTACCTGCAAAATAACCCTATCATCACTTCACAAAATGACAACTATCCAATCCATAGAAAATAATGAATAAGAAAAAAAAAAAACAAAAAAAAATTCTCAAATTTTTAGATTATCTGTCTATTCTTGCAGAAAATAACTGTTTTAAATATACATTTCACGTTTCTTTTTCCAAATTTAATAAGGATGAATCAGTCAAAAAACAATTACCGTAATAAAGAAAATTGAATTTTGATCCGTTCTGTTTCATCCATGACTGCTTTTTCCGTATAGATTTTAACGGTATCTACGTGTATTAATTGACAGAAAATACATGCAAGTAATTGCGGCTTTCGCACGGGACGGTTGACGGTTTTTTTTTTACGTACTATGGTTAAAATACAGCCTTGTCAATGACTGAAAAGTCGGTGACGGTCTTATCAGTGACCTACATGAATTAGTGTACGTTTTCACAAAAGATGATTTTTATTCGTTTACCGTCCGTTGTCAAAGCTGTTCTTTGTCGCTTTTTTTTAATCAAAAAATATGGGTATTGACAAAGAATTGTTTATCGCTTTGCTGTGGAATGCAGACCTATTATATGGGATAAGTCTCAAGATTTTTACAAAGATATAAATTAAACTAAAAATGCTTGGGAAGAAGTGTGTTTTCATTAATTGGGTGTACCAATAAATACGTTTGTTATGTCGTCTTCTATGTAATTGTAAACGACAATATATAAGACACGTGGTAATGGTGTATTTTCGATTTATGTTGAAAGCAAGCCGAGTTTAAAGTTTAAAAGTAAAATATAACGAAACGAAGACGACTCAAGGGAAAAACCGTCATATGTGAAAACAACGTCCGTTTGGAAAACGGATTTTGAAACGGGCTAATCCTGCTCATGTCAAAAAAATTTCCAATTCTATAAATTTCCTAAATAACTTTGCTCTAAAAGTGAGTATTGATTTTACTAAAGGCTACTTCCACTCTTTTGAGTAATTTGCATCAATGATTGAGTAATTTATGTTACATAGTAATATATATAATAATAGTAACTCCGACTTAGAATTCCATATTTGTATCTCACGAAATCTGCAAATGTTTAATACTGTTAACAGAATTTCAACCGTTTGATTTTTAAATGTGATATTTTTGAGATTGTAAAAGTTCTTAGCCATTGTATCATAAAAATGCACATCAATAAAATAAATCACACTTCTACTTTCTTTATGGCTATCCTACCCTGTGATATATTGTACCAGATTATTTAATTATTTTTACTGTAAGGTCACTTTAGTATTATATTATTTTCTTGTTTATACCTATATTTGTTCTGCTATAATTATACTTTTTATTACCTACAAAAAAAAAAAATTGTTTTTGTCCAAAAATAGTGCAACAATAAATTAAAGGTGTTATGCTACTGTCCCTTCACTGGTAAGGGCAGCTTGAAATCATTAACATTGACATTTTTTGAACACTTCCCTTAAAAAAACTTTTAAATTTTTAATAAATGAGCATTAATGACTCATTATTATGTTAACACAAAATTAGGTTCATATTTTTTTAAAGGCATTATAAAGTTTAATTTACGTCACGAATTGCCATGATTTTATTGAATATTTGTAAAACCATATTTTATAAAATAATTTTTCACCAATGAATATGTTTTAAAGATTATATATTATTTTAATTCATATAAAACTCGATATTTATTAAAATTATTACTTTTCAAGGTTCTGTAAAATAAATTATTGTTATTTAACTGTAGAACTAGTCGATTTTTTATAATAATATTATTATTTTTTTATTTTATCTGTATTAAGGTGGAATGTACTTTTAAGCTTTTCAAAAGTTGTTACTCATTATATTTAACTTTGTTGTTTTCATAATTAATTTAAACCAAAATCTTGATTGTCTAAGCCATTTTAAATACCCAAGATGCGAAATAAAACCAGTGACGGATGATTAATGTGCTTGTGTATGTGATTATAATATTACGTACACATTTAGAGGTGTAAAATTTCAATAATTTATGTGTTAATATTATTTGAATATAAATAAAACTGATAAACATAAGTGTTAATTAATTAACACTACTAGCTTAACTTCTTAGTACTCTCTTGTAAACAATTGTGACAAATAATTTATACGAATAACTTTTTATCACGGCAGTAAAAGTTTTAATAGCAAAAGTATTATATTAACATAGTTGAAAAAAAAAACGTTTACTAAGAAGTTTATCAAGATATTCGCTATTGATTATTAATAAAAGAGAGCAACCAATATTTAATTGTGAAACAAAAAAATAATATATTAAATAACAAATTAAAATACCTATAATATAATGATAAAAAGTTTATTTTTTTACTTAATGATCAGATAAAAAAAACAAAAAACTAATAAATTCACTCATATTA